TATAGTAGCGTTCGTAACACTAGTGTAGAGATATTTAAGTAGCCTAAAAAGTCTAGCTAGTAGAGAGAGAATTATAAATCTACACACTACTTCTAACTATATATCTGCTAGTAAATAGTACTTATAGAGTATTTTGATTCTGTTGACTGATTCTTAGTCTTAAGTAGAGGACTTGTTAGAAATAATAAGTCACTAGTCACTTACGTCTACAGCAGCGTTAGTACTGGATGCCCCCGTGGCTTAATAATACTTAAAAAATATATTAGATAAGAAAATATATTAGAGGCGATATTAAAGAATACCCCCTTCTATATAGGCAACTACACACGTAAGGGGTGTTTTTTTAAATATAATAATAATACGCTATCACGTAGAAATTGTCTTTTTACTATCTAGTAAGACTATTGAAGTATCTAGTATAACTATATAGGAGTTAATATAGATTAATTCTAATATATCTAAGTGGCTTAATAGTGTTACTAGACAGCAAGGAGACATTATAAACGGGAGACGCTATATGGCTATGTGCCCGCGTAGGTAGGTAGGAACCTAACTACCTATTTAGGTACCTAGGTAGTTACAAACGTGACTGCTGCTAAGTACCTACTTCCAGTGTTGGCAAGTTTCGCAGCAGCCAGCCCCTTTTTTGGCGCCCAGCATTTCAATTTTCCAGCTTTCCAGCACAGCGGGTGGGGCGCAGTGGCTAATAAGTACCTGCATCTTACCAGGAGGTGCCTAACTAAATACTTTTTTCAATAGGTGAATTGAAAGGCACCTAGGTTACATAACGTACTCGGCAAGGCAGGTGGGCAATTGCCTCGTAGGTACCGAGGTAATTGATTGATGGATTTGGGCTCAACAGACACCGCTGTGAAACACAATGGTGTCGCGTTACTTGGTCGTGGACTCGTGGCAGCAACAGGGCACGCCTAGGTAGCTTGGTACCTGGATATATATTCAAATAAGTACCTAAGTCAATGGGCAGGCAAAACTAGGGAAATATCTACAGAAGTAGGTATTTAGTTAGGAGGCATTGAGTAAACAACTTAATAAGCAACCAGGCACGGACCACTGAGGCATCAGGGGCTGCTTATTTAGGGGAGCATTTGTACCCACTGACCAACGGTGACACCCCCTGCTCCGTGACCACCAACGCAGCTACCATACCTACCTACTTGTCACCTTGTCTGTCTGCTAGGTGGCTATCACATTTCTTTTCCCAGACCGTAACTTTTTATTCCCGTCACGGCAGCCCCTTGATTCGTCTAGTGAGTCCGCAAATGGGTGGTTGGTTGACGAAGCTCTCCTTCTACTCTTCGTCTTTCTACATTACGTCGCAAGCTGTGTGGCATTGATCTTGTCCGTTCCAATCCGGCCTCCACGGCAGGCGGAATCTACTTGACGACGGTCTCCCGACTTCAGCGTTAGCTGTAGCTGACGGCGGCCGCATCGCATTTGCGAACTGCCTCTATCTTCTTTCAACAGCGATCTCTTCTGAGCACCTCCAGTAACTGACCACCCGCTGTCGACTGCTTTCCTGATGGCGTCGACCTACGATGTCGGCACCAAAGCTTGGCAGCCTGATGCTGCCGAGGGTTGGGTCGCTTCCGAGCTGATGAGCAAGACTGAGGATGGCTCAAAGGTTAAACTAGAATTCAAATTGGAAAATGGCGAGGTTTGTTCACATATTGCTACATTGCTGTGGATGTGCTAACCTGGACAGACAAAAACCATTATAGTCTCGACCGAGGCTCTTCAAACAGGCTCAGATCCGGCCTTACCTCCTCTGATGAACCCAACGATGCTTGAAGCCAGCGACGACTTAACAAATCTTTCGCATCTGAACGAACCCGCTGGTATGGCATTCGCTTCGGAAGTAGCACATACGTGCTTGAACGACGGATCTAACATGTGCTTTGCGGACAGTGTTACAAGCTATTCGATTGCGATATCTACAGAAAGAGATATACACATACAGCGGTATCGTTCTCATTGCGACTAATCCCTTTGCGCGTGTGGACTCGCTCTACGTTCCTGGCATGGTACAGGTATATGCCGGCCGTCATCGTGCAACTCAGGCGCCGCATCTTTTTGCCATTGCCGAGGAAGCCTTCATGTAAGAGATTTTGGAGACTATTGACAGGCAGAAGGATTCTTGTTAATACTCTCTAGGGACATGGTGCGTGACAACAAGAATCAAACGGTTGTTGTATCTGGCGAATCAGGTGCTGGGAAGACGGTCAGCGCCAAGTATATCATGCGCTACTTCGCAACACGAGAAGCACCAGATAACCCGGGAGCCCGTTCGAAACGTGGTACGGAAGCCATGAGCGAGACCGAAGAGCAAATTTTGGCGACGAATCCGATCATGGAAGCATTCGGCAACGCGAAGACGACTCGTAACGATAACTCCTCCCGATTCGGAAAATACATCGAGATCATGTTTGATGATAAGACAAATATAATCGGTGCGAAAATTCGAACGTATCTCCTCGAGCGTTCACGTCTCGTGTTTCAACCGTCAAAGGAGAGAAATTACCATATCTTCTATCAGCTTGTCGCCGGTGCATCGGACCGGGAACGCCAAGAGCTCAATATCCTAACATTCGACAAATTTGACTATCTGAACCAGGGCGACTGCCCTACAATCGATGGTGTTGACGACAGAGCTGACTTTGAGGCGACTAAAAAGAGTTTGCAGACCATTGGAGTTGCCCAAGATCAACAAGCCTATATCTTCCGGCTTCTGGCTGGTTTACTCCATCTCGGAAATGTCAAGATCACTGCCTCCAGAAATGACAGTGTGCTCGCCCCGACAGAACCATCTTTGGAGCTAGCTTGCAAGATCCTAGGCATCGATGCGACTGAATTTGCCAAGTGGATTGTGAAAAAGCAGCTTATTACACGAGGCGAGAAAATCACTTCCAACTTGTCGCAAGCTCAGGCAGTTGTTGTCCGCGACTCTGTGGCCAAGTTTATTTACTCCAGCTTATTCGACTGGCTAGTCAACATCATTAACCACAGCTTGGCTACTCCTGAGGTGCTCGATCGTGTTAAAAATTTCATTGGTGTCTTGGATATCTACGGATTCGAGCATTTTGCGAAAAATTCCTTTGAACAGTTCTGTATCAACTACGCAAACGAAAAGCTTCAGCAGGAATTTAACCAGCATGTCTTCAAACTTGAGCAAGAAGAATATCTCAGGGAGCAAATAGATTGGACCTTCATTGACTTTTCCGACAATCAGCCTTGCATCGACTTGATCGAAGGCAAGATGGGTGTCCTCTCATTGCTAGATGAAGAGTCTAGACTTCCAATGGGCAGCGACGAGAGTTTTGTTAACAAGCTATATCAGAACTTCAGCACCGACAAGCAGCACCAGTTCTTTAAAAAGCCCAGGTTCGGCAAAACCGCGTTCACGGTTTGTCATTACGCCGTTGACGTCACGTACGAATCCGAAGGCTTCATCGAGAAGAATCGAGACACCGTCCCAGATGAGCACATGACAGTTCTCCGCGCTACCAGCAACGCCTTCTTGCGAGAAGTTTTAGATGCTGCTTCTGCCGTTCGCGAGAAGGATGTCGCTTCTGCGTCTTCAAATGCTGTGAAGCCAGCTGGCGGGCGTAAAATTGGCGTAGCTGTCAATCGAAAACCGACTCTTGGTGGTATATTCCGCTCTTCTTTGATCGAGCTTATGAATACAATCAACAACACGGACGTTCATTACATCAGATGCATCAAGCCAAACGAAGCCAAGGAAGCCTGGAAATTTGAAGGCCCGATGGTTCTCAGCCAGCTCCGCGCCTGCGGCGTACTGGAGACCGTTCGAATCAGCTGTGCCGGCTATCCTACACGATGGACGTACGAGGAGTTTGCTCTACGCTACTACATGCTTGTTCACTCCAGTCAATGGACTGCTGAGATTCGTCAAATGGCAAATGCAATTCTAACAAAGGCTCTTGGCACCTCGACCGGCAAAGGACTTGATAAGTACCAGCTAGGTTTGACGAAGATATTCTTCCGTGCCGGTATGCTGGCGTTCTTGGAAGGCCTTCGCACCAACCGCTTGAACGAGTGTGCTGTGATGATCCAAAAGAACCTCAAGGCAAAGTACTACCGACGCCGCTTTCTGGACGCTCGGGAGGCTGTCATCCGCACTCAAGCCGCCGCTAGGGCTTATATCGCAAGGAGAACAGCTCAACAACTTCGCACCATCAGGGCAGCCACGACTATCCAGCGAGTCTGGCGTGGCCAGAAACAGAGGAAATTGTTTTTGCGCATCAGAAATGATATGGTCCTGTTCGAGTCTGTGGCCAAGGGCTTTCTCCGACGCAAGGCTATCATGGAAGCCCGTGTAGGTAATGCTGCTCTCGTCATCCAAAGAGCATGGAGGTCGCGCCTTCAGAAGCGGTCTTGGAGAGATTTTCGCAGGAAGGTTATCATGGTTCAAAATCTCTGGCGTGGCAAACGTGCTCGCCGTGAGTATAAGAAAGTCAGGGAAGAGGCTCGAGACCTCAAGCAAATTTCGTACAAGCTTGAAAATAAGGTTGTCGAACTTACCCAATCATTGGGTTCTATGAAAGAAAAAAACAAGGGCCTTATCTCGCAAGTTGAAAGCTATGAGGCGCAGATCAAGTCATGGAAAAACCGCCACAACGCTCTTGAAGCTCGAACCAAAGAGCTGCAGACCGAAGCTAATCAGGCCGGCATTGCTGTAGCTCGCCTCGAGGCTATGGAAGACGAGATGAAGAAGCTCCAACAGGCGTTTGACGAATCCACTGCCAATATCAAGCGGATGCAGGAAGAGGAACGTGAACTTCGTGAGTCGCTCCGTGTGGCCAACTCGGAACTTGAATCTGCAAAGCAAGTAGGTACCGAGAGGGATAAAGACAACTCTAGCTTGAGACAAGAGCTTGAGGCCCTACGAGACGCTCTGGAGGTCGCGAAGAGAAGTGTACCTGTCAATGGCGAACTATCGAATGGTACAGCCCCAGCGCAGTCCGTCGCAACTGGTCTCATCAACCTGGTTTCTTCCAAGAAGCCAAAGCGTCGCAGCGCCGGCGCGGAACCTCGTGATGTCGATCGCTTCAGCGGCGCATACAACCCTCGCCCTGTCTCGATGGCAGTTACCAGCACCGCCCATAGGCAGAATCTTTCGGGAACGACGTTTATTCCAGGCGTTGATAATATCGAAATGGAATTGGAGACTCTGCTTGCCGATGAGGATGGATTGAATGAAGAAGTTACCATGGGCTTGATTCGCAACCTCAAGATCCCGTCGCCAAACAGCAACCCACCGCCATCTGACAAAGAAGTTCTCTTCCCGTCATATTTGATCAACTTGGTCACTTCGGAAATGTGGAACAATGGATATGTCAAAGAATCAGAACGATTCCTAGCAAATGTTATGCAATCTATCCAGCAAGAAGTTATGCAGCACGATGGCGATGATGCTATCAGCCCCGGCGCGTTCTGGCTTTCGAACGTCCACGAGATGCTATCTTTTGTTTTTCTGGCTGAGGACTGGTATGAAACCCAGAAGACGGATAACTACGAATACGATCGCCTCCTGGAGATTGTCAAGCACGACCTTGAAAGCCTCGAATTCAACATTTACCATACTTGGATGAAGGTCCTCAAGAAGAAGCTTCATAAGATGATCATTCCTGCCATCATTGAATCGCAGTCTCTGCCCGGCTTCATTACAAGCGAGAGCAATCGTTTTCTGGGTAAACTTCTGCAATCAAACTCCCAACCAGCATACAGCATGGATAACCTCCTGAGCCTGTTAAACAGCGTCTTCCGCGCAATGAAGGCTTACTACCTGGAGGACACTATTATTACGCAGACTGTTACTGAACTTTTGCGTCTGGTTGGTGTTACTGCTTTCAACGACTTGTTGATGAGGCGCAACTTCCTGTCTTGGAAGCGTGGTTTACAGATCAACTACAATATCACCCGTATTGAAGAGTGGTGCAAGAGCCATGACATGCCGGAAGGCACTTTGCAACTGGAACATCTAATGGTAGGCTCATCGATCTATACAACATTATGTATTCCCATTCTGATCTTTCTCGCAGCAAGCTACCAAGTTGCTACAGCTAAAGAAGGCGACATTAAATGATATTGAGATCATTCAAGACATTTGTTGGATGTGGGTGGCCTGGCCCTTATATCCTACTCGACTCTCCCTGAGTACTGACTTGTTGTCCACAGGCTGTCACCCAACCAGATCCAGAAATTGCTTAATCAGTATCTAGTTGCTGATTACGAGCAACCCATCAATGGCGAGATCATGAAGGCTGTAGCATCTCGTGTCACTGAGAAGAGCGATGTTCTGCTCCTGCAAGCCGTTGACATGGATGACAGTGGGCCATACGAGATCGCTGAACCTCGCGCCATTACTGCCCTGGAAACATATACACCTTCTTGTAAGTAAACATCGGTCCGTTGGTCAACTATTCAAGCTAACAGAATCGTCAGGGCTACAAACACCGCGCCTCAAGCGTCTTGCCGAGATCGTGTCCGCGCAAGCCATCGCCCAGCAGGAGAAGCTAGAGTACGGGGATGGTGATGAGTACAATCGCCCTGCGAGCATAGCTGAGGTTGATGAGTTGGACGCCGGGGTGGAGCAATGAAAGACTTGTGTATCTTTCGGGGCTCCCCCAATGCATTTTGGTGAGATGTGCCGACGAATCAGTTAATTTCGCATGTACAATTGGTGTTGATGTTGGGACTTGCATTTCGCCCTTATATGGCTAGAGAAAAGTAGTATGATGTACGGATGAATATCACGGCCAGCATTTATTTGTGGTGTATTTGAGACAGCAACCCCTACTCAGCGCTCATGTTAGTCGTCCTTGCGGAGAGGCACGAGCAGCAACGTGGTGGGGCCGAAAAAATCTACGTGCAGAGTGGCTAACATTCTCTCTGGGCACCTGCACCGCAAAACTCGACCGCACTGTACACACTCTACGTCCACTGTTGTCTATCTGAGGTGTGGTACTGTGATTCTGTATTTTTGCGTCTGTTGATTCGCTCGCTGGCTTGGTGGCCTAATCATCGGGAACAATGAGGTCATCACCAAATATCATCATAACGGGTACACCAGGTGTGGGAAAGACCACTCATTGTGACAGCCTAGCGGAGAGATTGGGGCTACGGCATATCTCTGTGAATCAAGTTGTGAAAGATAAAGATTGCCATGAGGGCTGGGACGAAACCTATCAAAGCTGGATTGTCGATGAGGATAAGGTACGCAAAGTATATTCGGTGCGTGATTCGCGGCGTGTGCTCATATTTCGACTAGCTACTGGACGCAATCGAGGATGATGTGAAGCAGGGGGGCTGCTTAATAGACTGGCATGCCTGCGATTTGTTCCCCAAAAGTTGGGTCGATTTGGTAGTTGTGCTTCGGGTAGATTCCACTACCCTCTACGATCGGTTGAAAGCGAGGTAAGCTCAGGACAGTGGCACCGTTACTGTGCAAGCTCTCTAACTCGGCGGAACAGAGGCTATGCGGAAGTCAAGCTCCAGGAAAACCTAGATTCGGAGATCATGGAGGTACTTCTGCAGGAGGCGAGGGATGCTTATGACGATGAGATCGTCATCGAGCTTACTAGTAACACATCTGAGGAGATGGAGACGAACGTGGACCGAATCGAGGCCTGGGTGACGCAGTGGATGGCTGATAATAATTAGAATACCTTGCTTTGCTTGCTCCCGTGTGTGGTAACGAGACTATGATTGCTCCGTCAGCGTCGCAGCAACTTATCGTGGTTGCTCTGTTCACTGCCCGGGCAAGGCTTGTAAAAGCATACAATATACAAATACACAACCCCAATAACTTGTATACCCCCCCCCCCCTCTCCTCCCCTCATCGGTGCTACACCGGAAACCACAGTGCTGACTTGCGAGTCATATTTCAATGTAACTCACAATGGCGATACAGGGTAGCGTGCCCGGGCAGCCAAGGAGGAGCGTAGAGCTAGTCACTCGGAAGCAGCATCTGGCCGCAAATATGGTTGATGATGCTCCAGGTTAGCAGAAGTGCTCTGGCAGAAAAGCATTCCACAACGTGATCCCGACAGATAGCTTCACGGGTTGCTGCGACTAGGAATGTCGAAGACACATCAACAAGAAAACGACTACAGAAGAGATATCTCAAGCGATAAGTCACATCTAATTGAGTATAAACCATACAATGAAACCCCAACGCCGGTCGCTTCAGAGCATGCATCGCAAGCTTCAAGCGTTCTTCTTCCTTTCGCTCCGAGGGCGATCTAGAGAACGAGGATCAAGGCCCCTGCGCCGCATTGCACTTCTTTTTGCGCGCTCCATGTACTCCTTATCCTCATTTTCGTCAAAGCCGCCAAAGTCCCCACCAGCATCTTGACCATTAGCACTCGCAGGGCCTGTTTCGACAATTGGAGCCTTGTCCGCGGGCAGCAATGGCTCATCCGCATTGGCCTTGCTCCTGGACACGCTGGCCGGTGTAGGTCCGATCTTCTTGAACTTGGCAACATAGAAGCCGTCGACATTGTAAGTATGAGGATAGTAGCGGCGGGTAAGCTTCAAGCTGGGATCGAAAGTCTTGCCCATGTAGCTCGTGAAACCCTCTTTACCAAATGGCAGCTCCGTATCGACAAGCCTGACATTAGGTCTTCGAGACAGCGCGTAAGCTACAACTTGTTCACTAAAGCACTGTCAGCATGCTCGTCTTGATGGTTTTTCCACCCCGACCACTTACTTTTCCTCGACCGTGACGCTGCAAGTTGAATAGACGATGTAACCGCCGGTACCTGCGTGATTGACCGAGTCGATAGCGGACAGTAACAGTTGCTTCTGGGTATGAGGAAGAGTCATGAAATCGCGCTCCGTCTTATTGGTCTTCACAGACGGGTCCTTAGCGATAACGCCAGTGCCAGAGCAAGGCGCGTCCAAGAGGACCCTGTCGAAACCTCCCATGACACGGGGAAATTCTCTCGCATCATAAGAACAGACAATGACATTCTTAGCACCCAATCGGTGGATATTACCGATCAAGCCCTTGGCACGAGCCTTGTTGGGATCATTGGCCACGACAACACCGGTATTCTGAGGTTCATTAGCCACCATGTTACGTACCCTAGAAAGTTACTATACCTTCATCATGGCGGCGCAGTGTGTTGTTTTGCCACCAGGGGCTGCTGCCATCTATGAAATGTCAAAATCAGCCAATATGCGACTGAGAAGTCAAAGCTTACGTCAAGAACTCGCTCGCCACTTGAAAAGTAGTTAGAAAATACCACCAGTGTTTGAAATGGATGGCACATCAACTTACGGTTGCGGCGAAAGTGCCATGACAGGTAGGAAGGATGAGGCAGCCTGAAGGATGTAGTGACCCGCCAAATACTCTGGTGTAGCCCCTAGAGGAATCGATGATTCGAAAACTTGCAATCCAACCTTGCTCCACTTTCCAACAGGTTCCAAAGTCACACCCCGGTTGATCAGGGCCTGGGCTAGGTCTCTGCGATGAGTACGCAGAGTATTTGTCCTGATAACAATTGGTCTCGGAGCCTCGTTAGACTCGAAGAAAGCAAAGGCCTCACGGGGTGTAAGAAGATTGTAAAGCTTCTCGGCAAGGAATGGAGAGTAATTGTAGTATGCGCAGATGTCGTCGAGAAGCTGAGAGGTATAGTCAGCGCGAGAGCGTCCTTCCTCTGCCAACTTGGAGAAGTCTCCCAGGATTCTTATGATGTCCATTATCCGCTGGCGAAGGAGTTGTAAATCGGGGGCAAGAAGTGTGCTCGAATTGCCAAGCTCCTCATTAGATTCATCAAAAGCGCCAAGAACCTTTGGTCTGTCGCCATCCAAGTTTGTTTGCAGAGCAGACTCCTGGACTTCAGCGTCTGCCTCGGTACGTTCCTTCTCCAATCGCTGATCCAGCTTCTTCGAAAGACCCTCAATATTCGCAGCAGTTAAAACTTCCTCTTTGTCGCTATCATCTTCATCGTCGGAGAACACAAATCGCTCCCTCTTATTGCTGGTATCCTCATCAGAGTCAACGACGGAGTCTTCAGAGCCGATGAAGTCGTCGCCGAGTTTTTCATCTGGCTCGTCTGTCAACGCATCGCCATTCCCCTCTTGCGACGGCCTATTCTCATCGATGTGCGGATCGGGTAAAAGTTTCTTGCTCTTTCCGGCAGCTACAGCCTTCTTTGCTGTGCGACGTCTCTTTGGGGGTGTAGTTTTCGCTGGCTGCTCAGTTTCGTCAACAGGAATGCCAGCTTTTCTTTTCAACCGCGCGAAATGTTCCTCGGACAGGGGATCCGGTGCCCCCTGTTTGCGTTTCATGCGACGTCCTTGGCCCATTATGTTCCGCAAAATATGACAATTGCCCTGTTGCAAGATGAAATCGCAAAATTTTGGGAGGCAGCCTTCTAGGGAACTTTTTTCTTTCCCGTTATCGATAGCCGTAGGTACATAGCCCCACCACAAACCCGACATCCCTACCTATTTCAGCCACAAATTATTTGTTACTTACCATCTTATCTACCTACGAGAGCAAGCGGGTGACAAAATAAATTTAATACTGCTCTGCACTCCCGATATTGGCTCTTCGCCGCCGAAGCTGTTCGAAACAAGTATCTCCGAGCTATTCAGAATCGCGAACAGTAACAGAGTACTTTCCAAGCTTTTTTTATAGATCATCTCACCTATGCGGGTTGTGCTTTGTGAAGGAGCCAGCAGTCCAGCGGCGAAACTTTTTCGTCACCAGCCGGAGGCACGAAATGCTGTATTGAGTTGTTTACGCAGCCGTGCCGCCTATTGCACGATCATTCTCAGTAGTTAGCTGGTGGCCAACAGTAGTTCTAGAATCCCGGACACCAGGTAGGACACAAAGAGAGCGAGTCCGGTGCTCGAGAACGCCGCGCCTGTGGTGCGACGCGATCTAATCTGGTTCACGCAGCAGCATGCATGCATGATGACGCTTGTGTGAATGATGCCAAAGCATAGAGTACTTTCAGTATCCCCAAATTCAGCGTCTCCTATATACATATTATTATCCTCCAGAGGCCTGCTGCAGACGGAGATCACTGACGAGTGTCTCTAGCTCATTGGTTCTATTTCCGATCGTCTTGGAAATACGGAGAAATTCCTCGATAAAATTCACCAAATGGGCTGTTCCGGGCCAATCTCGACGTTTCCGCATTCGAAAGCGCCCGGAGGCAGTTAGATATAAATAACCTAATACAATAGCCAGGTAACCGAATGCAACGCCTATCTTGGACTTGCTGACAGAGTCCGCCTATGCCACAATTAGTATCCATTTTCAGCTATGTTGAATTATGGGCTCACATCGTTGACGAAAGACATATTGCCTAGCCAAAGAGCTGTAGCCATGTCAAGGGAGTCCCCATCTACTGAGGCCCGTGCCTGCGGGCAATGCTCAAGAATGTTGATGAGAATACCCAGTAACAAAAGCAATTCATCGTACAAGTTGCTTTGAAAGCCACTCCTCTGCAGAGTGCTTTGGATCTGGGATAAGCTTTCTGATATCAAGGCGACCAATTTCGACAGCAATAAGCAATCATCGAATACAGACGCCCCAATCTCGCTGTTGGTTACGTTGATTGCCAATTTGAGCGTCGTATTATTCAAGGAATCGTCCTGCAGTAGCCAGGTATCGAGAGTCGCCTGAAAACATCCCTTGATAGCAGTGGCGTATCTCTGACTTTCCAAGCCAATTAAGTTGGACTGCGCTTCTAAAGCCAGTATTATTAAAACATAGTCGATGTTTCGTGGAGGTCGCTCCTTCGAGTAGATTGATGCCATCACCACGATATCGCGCTCTATGTCACCGGTGAGATGCTCGAGACACTGAATATCTGCGGAGCGACTGAGAATGACAAGAAGCTGTAACGCAAGTGCGCGAGGAGTAAGCGATGGCAGTTTCTCCTCATGCCAAATGTCCATTTGAAGGATTCCAATTTTCAAACTTTCGAGCAAAGATTTGGTGCTTCGCGATAAGTTAAGCCGCTTTTGCGCTGCAATCTCCATTACATCTTGCTGTTCTTGGAACAAGCGACTCAGAAGTTTTCCAATCTTCTCAGCTGTCAATTGACGAAGCAAATGGGGAGCTGGGCTGAAAGACAAGAATGTAACGAGAGCAGCAATCAGAGCAAACCCGCTAATCACATCTGGTTCGCTTCCGATGGCTTTCACAACATTATCGCGGGCTGCGTGATCACGGAACTGACTGGCGAATTCCTTCTGTTGTAGCTTGTTTGCTAGCTCACAAAGCGCGTTGCGCCTTAACAAGGAGGGAACTGCGGACGGTTTGCCGATGCGTGACAACAAATCGTCCATCTCATCCGAAAACCGATTGTTGGCGCCGGCGCGGCGAAGTTCATGGACACTCTGTATCCCAACTTTTGGAATATCCAGGTCATCGGCAAAGTCGTATTCGGCAGCAGGCGGGCTCAGGGGCGCCGCAAAAGGGTCTTCTTCGCGCTGCGTCGGCAAGACGCTGCCTCCATCATCAAGCATGACAGTGCCATCCTGACCCTGGGAGCTACCCAAAAAGCTCCTCGAACTACTATAAGTCAGCTTAATCTTGCTGTTCTTGGCGGGCCCGGATCGCCGGTCAGGTGTCCTGGCCGCCCCAGATCGGATTTGTGGTGATTGTGAGTTATAGATCGGCCCATCTATAGGATGTGCTAGGTGCCCTTGTGATACACCCTTTTCAATATCAGAAGGTGACCCCGAGTCAGACTCGAGGTCGAACTCTGGGCTCTCAGCTCTTTGCGCGACCAATTTGTCTATCAGACGCTGACGACGTGGGGCTGGAATCATCGTGTCGGACAAGTCTGTCGGTTTAGATATCGTAGTTTCGGGAGGCTTGCTACCATGAGTTGGCTGAATCGGTGCTGCCGGAAACAGTGCAACATCTTTACTCTGTGTCGCGCGCTGAGCGTTGTGGGCAGGCAACGGTCTAGATGACGAATATAGTCTTCTCCGTGCGGGTCCAGGGCTCGGGACAGATCTCGTCTGAAGCCGTGAAGCCTGTGGCCGCTTGATTGTGGAAGCATCCGATGACGTGGAGGAGCGCTTCCTCTTCTTCCCAATATCATTGCTCTTCCAAGAGCCATCTTGCGACGCTCCCTTAGCCGGTGACGTTGGTGTTGTTTCGCGGCTCGTCGGTACATCGTATATATCATCATCGTTGGCGCCCAGGGCCGTTCCCAGGCCGCTTTGAACTGGCCGCATCGTCGTAATGCGCTCGCAGCGCAGCCTTGGGTGTGATGTTTGTGCGATCTGAAGCCTCTAGTGGGTCAAGTGGTGGTGACCTGTGTAGGGGTTGAAAAGCAAGTTGTTGGCAGTTGCGAGGAGTTGTTGAAAGCACTGTACACTAGCGCAAGGGTAGTATTGTCGCCATATCTATGCTGAAGCGAAAATCGTCAATTCACGATCTGGTAAGGTGATGTAGCAGTGCTCCTGTAGCTTGAGCAATAACTATCTCAGCGCGGTTGGGTGGAAGCTTTGCCGGAAACAGAATACCTAGGTAGCATATGAGACGGCATGGCGCCATGGCGCCGCATTGCCCTTCTCTAAGTTCGACCTTACGTCAGCATGTGTGCCCGTATTTCTAATGTTTAGAGACAACAGCTGCCGTTTTATGCCGGCTACACTATCGGTCTTCATAAGGCGAACCGTTAAAAATGCCAGCCCCGAAACAGAGAAAGGTTGCCATCGTGGGCAGTCGATCTGTCGGTAAGATAGCTATCAATTACCGATCATCTGCCGAGTTTAACTAATACTTGCCAGGCAAATCATCACTAGCGGTTCAATATGTGGACGGTCATTTTGTAGACAGCTACTACCCAACAATCGAGAATACCTTCAGCAAAATAATTCCTTACAAAGGTCAAGAGTTCTCGACTGAAATAGTCGACACTGCTGGACAAGTAGGAATTCCCTGACTTCCCAAGCCTGTTCTTCCACATTGACATGAGACGCAGGATGAATACAGCATTTTAAATTCCAAGCACTTTATCGGCATCCACGGTTATATGCTAGTATATTCTGTTTCTTCTTTGCCATCTTTTGAGATGGTTCAGGTCATCAGGGAGAAGATTCTCAATCACTTGGTAAGCTCGTGACGCACGTTCTGAATTTTATGAACAGGAAGTTGTTCAGCTCTAACACAGGTGGTGCGGATTAGGGGACGGAATCGGTTCCCATTGTCATTGTAGGGAACAAAAGCGATTTGAGACCCGAGCAAAGACAAGTCAGTGCTGATGATGGAAAAAAACTATCTGAAAAGCTACAATGCGGCTGGACCGAAGCGAGCGCCCGATACAACGAGAATGTGGACCGTGCGTTCGAGATCTTAATAGAGCAAATCGAGAAATCGCAGAATCCTGGAGAAGCACCCGAGAAGAGTAACTGTCTGGTAATGTGAGCTTGTGGCTCGCTACAGTGGAACTAGCGGACTCTTTAGGACACAAAGTCGACGTGCTTCGGAATCGATGTGGTGAGATTCCAGCCGTGCCTGCCCGCTGGCTTGTATGCTACGCGGGATGATCGTTGCAGCATGCAAGCCTTGGTCGCTTGGCGATCCTTTGTACTATCTTAGAACTACAGCTTCTTCCCTTCCGCGGGGATACAGCTTGGGAAGAGGATTCCCTGGCCGTTTTTGTATCTTGCCCCGCGATGGTGTGCAGCAGATAATTTCGGCTCGCAGCATCTGATCGAGTAATTTGATTTGACCTATGTCAAGCTCCAGCGAAAATTTCTTCCCGAGCAATGAACAACCACTGTGAGCATTTGGCAGTGAAAGTGTCGCTATAACTCACACTGGGTTGACTTTGCAGTTTGGGCTCACAGCTACGTCAGTGAGTCAGAGGGGCAGGGCAGAAAACCCCACCATGGAGGGGTGCCACATCTACCTACCCGTCGCCCTCGCCAACAACAGCAGGAGTTTTCGACCCCTTTTCAAGCTCAGTAAGGAGAAGGCAGCAGCGAAACTGCCCAAGATCTTCCGCGCAATCCCAACGGAAGCGATTTATTACGCAAATATGCTCGACGTAAACGATTTCATCGTCGAGCGTGGAGGGAACCCGGAACGCATCCGAGAATCTCAGCGTCGCCGTTTCGCAGACGAGGCAGTCGTCGACCAGGTTATCGCCCTATTTGAGGATCACCGAAAGAGTAGGTACTATGGGTGCGATTGAAACATGGCTCCTTGTTGATATCATTTTTTAAAGCTCAGTATAGCGCAACGCAAATTAGCAGCAAAATCAATGAGGTGCAGAAGCTAATCGGGGCCAAGAAAAAGGTGTGTATGCCTGCTACTAAACATCAAAAACCGCTAACAAATATATGAATGAAGGCCAAAGAAGATGCAACCGATCTTCTGCAACAGAAGATTGAGCTTGAGAAAGAGAAGAAGCTTACCGTCGAGTCTGCCGTGCAGAAGGAAAAGGACCTTCGGACGAAAATCAAGACCATAGGAAACATTGTCGACGACAGTGTACCCATTAGCAACAGCGAGGTAGCGATTCATCATACGAGTGGCTCATAAAGCAGACGGCTGACCGTGTTGATACGCAGGATAACAATGCTGTGCAACGAACTTGGGCGCCAGAAGGTATTACTGTCGAGAAGCGCAACGTGCTCTCCCATCATGAAGTGCTCCTTCGTCTTGACGGCTACGACCCAGACCGGGGTGTCAAGGTCGTTGGCCACCGCGGTTACTTCTTGCGGCAATGGGGAGTATTCCTCAACCAAGCGCTCATCAACTACGGACTCGAGTTTCTCTCCCAACGGGGATACTGCCCTCTACAAGCCCCCCAGTTCATGCTGAAGGACTACATGGCCAAGACTGCCCAGTTGGATGATTTCGATGAGCAACTTTACAAAGTTGTCGATGGGGACGAGGCAAACGACAAGTATCTCATCGCAACATCCGAACAGCCTATCTCGGCTTTTCACGCTGATGAATGGCTTATTGCCAAAGATTTGCCTATTAAGTATACTGAAATCCCGTATATGAATGCGTTTCGAATGCCGTTTTAACGTGTATTCAGGTATGCTGGTTATAGCACCTGCTATAGACGAGAGGCTGGATCTCATGGACGAGATGCCTGGGGCATCTATCGTGTCCATCAATTCGAGAAGGTCAGCTATTGCTTCTGAACCACGTTGAATGACTGCTGATTGGGATACAGGTTGAGCAATTCGTTCTCACCGATCCTGAAAAATCGTGGGAAGCCTTCGAGGAGATGATCGGCGTTTCTGAGGAGTTTTACCAGACTCTGGGACTACCTTACCAGGTGATTGCCATAGTTTCCGGCGCGTTGAACAACGCTGCTGCCAAAAAACTTGATCTCGAGGCTTGGTTTCCCCATCAGGGAGAATACAAAGAGCTAGTCTCTTGCTCGAACTGCACCGATTACCAGTCACGCGCGCTAGATATCCGTTTCGGCGCCAAGACTCAGACAGACGCGAAAAAGAAGTATGTTCATTGCCTGAACTCAACGCTGTGCGCCACCACGCGGACGCTGTGTTGTGTCTTGGAGAACTATCAAACCGACGAAGTAAGTTAAGGCTTCACGCGATGCGATCAACTTACGACTAACCTGAATAGGGTCTTCGTGTCCCGGAGCCGCTTCGTAAATACCTTCCCGGTGCCCCGGAATTTATTCCATTCGCGCGTGATTTACCCAAGGAAGCCGCCGGCGTAAAGAAGACTCTGCCGCAGCGCGAGAGGAAATGAATTGATGGCTGAGGTCATGCTTTGGCATTGAATTGATGACATACGTGGACTCCCAGGTAGTCGCGAATATACAACCGGTATAGTCTGGGATTTGGTAGAAACGTTATAACTCAGAGACTTCTTATCTGTGAGGCTACGCTCTTGCCTCATCATTCATCGTAATAGAAGCTGGTAGTAGTTACCTAGGTAGTTACCTAGTGGGCAACGCCCCACCCGCTACGAAGTCGGCGGTTCCGTAGGTTGTACTTCCAGGGCAGGCAACTCAGCACCCGTTGCAAACACCATCACTTGCCGCTTTCAACGTAAGGGCCAAGCCGAAGCGTATCTATTTGACCTTCTTTCTTTTGTACGCATTAATGGGTACTCGGTCAGAAAACCAACCCAGGCATTCTGCTGTCATATGGAATCGAATCGTTGTGCACACAAGACAAAAATTGTATCGACTTAATGGCCGTCACGGGCAATGGCAAGATAACACTCGGGAAGATGCCATATTGAAGGTAATTTTCCCTCACACTACAAATCGAATTAACCTCGCACTAAAAGCGCAATGATTATTCGTACTTATTATTATCTCAGCACCAGCTTGGTAAATTTGCACACGAGGACCAAATGCCCCTTTGGCTGCGGCATTATCTCTCGTCTCGTGATGACAATAGCAAAGACGGTGAGCATCACCCGCCGCAGAATGCGCTACTTGTAGCAATCTGACAGGTCCGGAAAGAAGTGATGCAGTTGCTTTACGATGTTTTGAACGACAACAGTCAAACGAGCTCGGCGTACTTGGCCCATCCCTGTGTTTACCGCATCACGAAATTGCGGCGTGAAGGTAGATGCCACTTCCATCTCAACACCCTAGTCATAAGTTATAACAGTCACAATCCAGGCAGCTTCTGCGGTTATCGTAACATCCAAATGCTGATTTCTTATCTCATACTCGCAACTGAAACTGGCCCGCGCAGTTTCCCAGACGGTGTCCCAGACATTTTCCAACTACAAAATCTAATTGAGGCCGCTTGGGATAACGGTCACAACACAAGAGGCCGCCAGGAAACAGGCGGCATCAAAGGGACGAGAAAATTCATTGGCACACAAGAGGTGCGTAGAAGCGGTTCATGATTGCATTGTACCGCACTAGCTAAGAGTGACCAGGCACAAGCACTCTTCCTCAATTTGAATATCAAGTGAGAAACCAGAGGCTGAGGAGTGATCAGATCAAAGACTTCTGACAGGCACCAAGGTGTAGCGCCCGAAGATTTCGCGATACAGTCGAGTTCTCCGCCGTAGACCAAGTTGTTAACGATATTGACGCGTATTTTCAACGTTCCTGCCGAGGTATGGAGGACAGCAGCAGCAAGGTCAGGAGCACGATGCTAGCTCCAATCTACTTTCAGCGCCCAGGTAGGTTGCGTATTGGAAAGCTTAGAACCCATGCTCAACTAAATAGGTCATTCGTTGACTGTCGTCGGCCTCGAGAAGACAGTGCACAATGAGCGGCAATTACTGGTCTTCAACCCTGGGCATAGCTACAAGGACGCTACGCACCCTTCCCGGCCCCTTTCAGAGAAAAATAAGCAGGTGACTCTTGAACCCTACCGACTAGGACTAAAAACTTTACGTAAATATAGCGAGTTCGAATTGCTCTAGTATGTGCTGGCAGTCTATCGCGAGCTTTACCAACTAACACCTTTTGAACATAGCCTCACCTCAAACACGGCGGATTGATTCATGCTTCAGCCAATTTTCTTTTCACTTTGTAGCTGCGTGCTCTTTGAAGTACATCTGCAGCTTTCCGAGCGCCCTGGCTCGATGAGAGATATGATTCTTCTTTTCAGGGCTCATTTCGGCGAATCTGCGTTCCGCCTGTGTTAGCGCTCAAAGAAAGAAGGCTGTATCAATGACGCAACAGAACTGATCAGGACATGTATTCTTACTCACGTCTCATTACCATGCTCGAAAATAGGGTCCCAGCCTTAAGCAAATACTTGTCAGTGAACCGAATGAAGCAGACAGGCTATTTACGTACCGAATCGCGTCGGGCCGCGTGCAGGCACGATTTTGCCCTATACTCGATGGAGGAGTTACTACATGAGCCGCTCGGGAAGCATCAAGCAGCCACTGACCTGGCAACGTCCCTGGAACAAAATTGGTGTTTTGCCTCTGCCTTCCGAGTAGCCAAAGGTGCAGACAGCGTCTGCAGATTTGTCAGGATAGGCAGCTAGAAGGTTGTTAAGACCATCGAGACCGATTGTTGTTAAGAACCACTTGCTGGAAGTTGCTTGTCAATCAATGTAGCCCTTTCGAAAATGTGGAATGATAAGAGAAGAGGGCTTGCTTACATGTAAACGCCGGGCATACCACCCAATGCGTGAAAGCACAATGCAGTGTCTTCCACCAGCACAGGTCCATCCATCTGCACAATTGGTTTGTTAGAATTGAATAAAGCTTTAGTTTCTGGAGGATCAAACCACCCACGATGTCTGCTGCCCTCTGGCATTTGGATAGGGTTACATCCTCCACTGAGCCTTGCACTTCTTCCAAGTCGATAGAATGACTTCGAACTTCAATGTCCGGCTCAAGGATAGCCTTCACCTCCCGTAGTTTGTTGGGATTCCCCGTGATGAAGTGCACATACGGAGCCATTGTAGATCCGTAATTCGCGTGCTGCCACGAGACCAGTTGACAGGTGAGGTTCATCATGCACTTCAAGTCTATCTCCGAAGTGGGCCTCACCCATGAAGTGAGCACTAAGACTTTTTTCATTTGTCTAAGCAAAACATAATAATAGCCATAGATGTTGTCGGCTTGGGATAAATACACTAACTTGGTATCCGGCTGTGTCGTCAATGATGGAATGCCCCTGAAATCTCGCAGTGTAGACTCTATAAGAGCTTCTTTAGCCTTCAGCAACTGTCTCATCGTCGATGGGTCGAACGAGCAGTAAAAGGAGAAAAAGAAAGCACCACTCTCATGGACTTACTTGGTAGAATGCAGGTTTATTTAGACTAAAAAAAAGTGTTTGCTACAAGCAACTGACCATAATGTGTATCGAACAAATAGAATACTCGACGCGTTGCTAAGTGTTTTTCTTTCTTACAAGTAACATATTCAAGTGATGGGCCAGCCGATGCAAAAAAAAAAAGATAAAGCGAGCAAGTGGTCAATGTTTAGTAAAACACCCACACCACACCGGCTACGAACCAAAATGATTTGCGATATAATAACAAAGGAGGATAAAAAAAAGAATTCATGTCCCATCGGAGTTTGCATCATCCAGTCTGACTGCCCACATAAGTTTGCATTGAAGCTAAATATAATATTTACACACCGCTTGTCTTTCGAGTATGCAAAGTCGCTCATTGTACAATATTTAGCTGCTACAATATTTAGCTGCACATACGATGATAACGGAAAATGTAGCATTTCTCAGTGGGCGGGGCACATCGCCTTTGTACATACATTAACCTCACATCACGCTTCACCACACACCCCAATCCAAGAGCTCGCTTATCGCATCAAACACACCCAGTACTATCAGCCGTGTATCATTACCAGCATGGCAAGCAAAGCGATGCAGCATGCAACGACGAAAGATGTCGTCGAACCTTATGAGAGGAAGGCGCAAAGCCTCAAAGCTACACTATCTGTCGAGGTTCGATTCGAGAATGTCCATGTCCTTCCGCAGACACCACAGTTGATCGCTCTCTTGTCGTGAGTAGATGCTAGCCACTACTTGCGCATCGGGTTGTCATCTGATCCATTGAGCTTAGTATTATTCGAAACAAGGAAACAGATCGCGCAGACTTCATCTTCTACTCAAATCGGATTATACGATTGCTGGTTGAGGAAGGCTTGAACCACTTGCCGGTGGTAGAACACGACATCACTACGCCCGTCGGACGTATTTATAACGGCCTCATGTTCCAGGGAAAGATATGTGGTGTCTCCATCATGAGAGCTGGCGAAGCGATGGAGCAAGGCTTGAGAGACTGCTGCCGATCCGTTCGCATCGGCAAGATTTTGATTCAGCGTGATGAAGACACGGCGCAGCCCAAATTATTTTATGACAAGTTGCCCGAGGATATCGCTGATCGTTGGGTTATGCTTCTCGATCCCATGTTTGCCACAGGTAAATAGAATCGCAATGCTAGAGCGAGGGAGCAAGCACGGCGTACCAGCTAACTGTTTGCTGCAAGGTGGTTCGGCCATTATGGCCGTTCAAGTTTTGAAAGCGAAGGGCGTACCTGAGGACCGAATTCTTTTCCTCAACTTGATTGCTAGCCCGGAGGGTATTAACAACTTCGTAAACAAATTTCCTCGACTCAAGGTGGTGACGGCATTCATTGATGAGGTATGTGTTTCCAGGTGCCGCCAGGCGCTCCGAACCAATACTGACCCAGTATATGCAGGGCTTGGACGAGAAAAAGTAAGCGCGGAAAAACCTTCGCCCTGAACAGTTTTTAAAACCAGTGCTGACATTCGCTTCCTAGTTACATCGTTCCTGGCCTAGGTGACTTCGGCGATCGCTTCTATACCATGTAGGTATCTCTGACCGACCTGCGAATCACCCAAGCCGCACGCTCTGTTATTGGGCTCAGGCTATAGGAGCAGGGTTTGGCGTCGCATACGATGGCTCAGTCGTCCTCGTCGTCCGCCACGATACCGTCGCCGCCGTATCGGTGAGACTCGTCACGGTCGCTCGTTGCTTCATCGTGGTCTTGATTTCGCCTCGCAGGCGGCGCTTGCGCCGTGCCCGTGTAGCTGGCATGTGCGCCGTCTTCTTTTGCGACAGCCTCTTCACTACTGTTTAACTTGCGTCAGGAGCTGGGGAGTTGGGAAGTGTCATACCTGCGGCGTCTACCCATTCTCCATACACATCCACAGCGGCCGAGAGGTCTATGAAGGCATAGTTAGTCATCAGCGAGTAGTCGTAGCATATTGTAATGGGTGACAATGTACAGTTGACAGCGCACTGAAATTTCTGACCACAGATGCGACAATCCAATTGGCCAACACCGGCCTTTCGATCAAGTTTTACTGTGACTGACTTCTCGTGGTTGCAGAACAGGCATGTAAATGTAGTTGGGAGAGGATCAGCCTGTTGGCGGTTAGAACGAGGTACCTTGTACGTGCTTGGTGGACGATACATGCCTTCTTTGGGCCCATAGGCTTCCGAGATGACTTGCGCTTGCCCATTCTGACTGTTGCGCCAGTGTTCTTTGAACCAGGCGATCTTTGCGCCCGGGAAGTTCTGGAGCGTCAACACAGTGCGGATGGCTTTCGCGTGCCAAGCAACTATACATGTGCGTTAGTTGCATATCTCATCAGAACCCGTCTATTGCATAGCATGCGGTAGGTTCCCCCACTATTACTGCCAATGCTAAGTGGGCGAGGAGGTACCTCTCTATAATGTGGCTGGTACCTGAGCTCCTTTGACACTTTGGTACCCCGCGGGGAGCGGTATCGATCTCCACCGCCAGCATAGGTAGGTGCTGAACTCCGATCGGCTGCATTTGTGGATGATGAGCGGGCGAACGGTACAGCGACTGGTGAGGCAACTCGGAAATTACAGGCGCTGTCCAAAGTGACTAGGATTGTCGAGCTTATCAAAAAGTGACTGCGCCTAGGAATCTGTGCAGATCCGCTGTATCGTTGTCGGGCTTGCATCGACCTCCTCGTATCGGCGGTTGTTTGATTGGCCGATCTGTCGAGTGCTGATTAGCGTGACAGAGGTCACCTGCTCTGACGCATTCAACTGGACCAACCTTTTAAGGCGCCTGATATCAAGTATGCAGAGAAGGTACATCCCCTCCCTTCCCCTCCTCTCGATCCAACAACATTCTCAATTGAAGCTCTTCCCCCTAATTGCACGACGTGAACCCTATCATTAGTTTGTCTCGCAGCATTGTGACCCCATTAAAGCTCTCAGTTCATCACGAAGCTACAATGACGCCATCTAGCGACGACCAGAATATTGTTAACTCGCTGAGTGAGATTCGACACGCACAGTCCCAGCTAGCTGCTGCTGTTGATACGCTCACGGCGGCCATTGACATGCCGCAACCACCTGGCTCGACTTCAATGCCAGCAGTACTTAATCGAGACCCGAGCCTGGGCCAGAATGACCCAGGCGAGACAGGATTGGAGCCGCAGAACTCTTCGTTGCTGGCCCAAAAGTCGGGCTTCACATCTCGCATCGTGCTCACGTATGCTTTCCTTGTTCACTGGCATACTCTTTCGCGACGGGAAGCTGATTAGGCCCAGTACTTACCCCAAGCAAATTGGCATTGATCCCATTCCTCTTCAGTGGGGAAACGCAGATCCTGAGAGGCGAGGGCCAGTTGTTGTTTCTCGACTTCCGAGTACTATACGCCGAAGAAATGGTTCGTATTCTGACATCCACTTGAGGATTAGAGGGCTCAGAAACTGATCATCTATTGAGCTTGACAGCTATTGGAGGCAGGTGCCCTGTCCCTATGGAGGGTGTCACATTCCGTAACTAACCAGCCATAGCACAGTGAGTCGTGTGCTCCATGCTGCCGTGATTTTAGTACTGACAGAAATCGCAGCGGCGGCTCGTACTCGGTATACTACGCACTAGCGGTCGCCAGCAGGGAGCTCAATACAGACCACAGGTACAGCTTAGTCGTGACATCCGGATAATTTTTCTGACATGACAAACAGACCTGATTTCACCAATACCGAACCTGCCGCCAATATCGGACCATTTGCTCAATGGGGCGATAAGAAGAAGATTGTAGCCATGGATCCCTGGGGCCATCTAACGCCGTGGCAGTATAAGGACATAATGGAGAAAGAAAACAGTATGCTTCAATTCACGGCAGCACAGAACATCATTATATTCACATTTACGCAGTTGACTTACGACCTACCATTGCCATCACGAAAGCGCATATGAAGGTATTTCATGACATAGGAAGGATGTAGCCGCTGTCACTAACCTTCATGCAACTAGCTTCCGGAGTTGGAAGAAAGCGTGCGATTGGGCAGACTGTACGTCGGAGCAGATTGCTGGTCATAGAGAATATTCTAATCGAAGGTAGTGTCCCCGACGGAAAAGTCTGCTTGAACAAGCAGGGAGAATTGGCTGTCACGAAATTTGCAGTAGAACCGGTACGTACCGCGACCGTCAGCTTTGGCCGCGGGCTTAACTTTCTCCAGGTTTGGTATCTCCCTGGTGTTGCAGAACGATTCGGAATAGGTGAGCGCATGCACTCCATCATGTAGCTGCCTTGCTCTGACCAAGTACCTGTCAGATGAAGCAACCCTACGCCGTTCGCTGTTCGAACACACCGGTGGTAGCTATCCGGAGGCAAGTATGCAGGCTCCCATGGCGCATCACAGCAAACTCACAGCATTCAGTTGATCACCCGTGGCGATATCAAGGTGTTTCTGCCGCCAATAGGTTCGTGGCTTCCCACGGATGGCGGGTTGAAAATGAGCACACACTTACACAGATAAAGGGGGCCTCACTGTTTACTGTTTCGGCGATCCAAGCAAGATGTCAGATGACTCTGTCCGTCTGTCGCTACGAATTCACGACGAAGTATGTATCACTGGCAGTGTGAGAATGGGCCAGGCGCTAACTGGTGATTGGCGTTGCAGTGTAATGGAAGTGACGTCTTCGGATCAGACATCTGTACCTGCCGGCCATATCTTATTTTTGGCATAGAAGAGGCCGTGAAGGAAGCCCAGAATGGGGGCAGTGGCGTCGTTATCTATTTCAGAAAAGAAGGAAGAGCACTTGGCGAAGTGACAAAGGTACGTACATGCATGCATTTCAGTAGAGGTGAAGCTTTGCTAACTTCTCATGCAGTATTGTAAGGCAAAGAGACAGCGATGTAGGCCACTTAAAATTTGTCGCTCTACTAACTCGTACAGTGGTCTATAATGCCCGTAAGCGTGGAGCTGACCGAGCCTCGGACTATTTCACACGAACAGAGAACATTGCTGGAGTAAAGGACATGAGGTTTCAGGCTCTTATGCCGGACATTCTCCACTGGCTAGGCGTCAAGAAAATCGACCGCATGCTGAGCATGAGCAAGTGAGTGAGAGCTCAGTCGATGAAACGAAGATGTATACTGAGCAATTGCAGCATGAAGCACGATGCCATCGTTGACCAAGGGTATGCCGATCCATGAAGGCCAAGCTGGGACAGATACTAACTGACGCGTCAGAATTCCCATCCACGAGAGAGTCGAGCTACCCGAAGAACTTATCCCTGCAGACTCGCGTGTAGAGATCGATGCCAAAATTACAGCGGGTTGGTGTCAACGTTGAGACATGAAGGAGATGACCCTGACAAATCGCAGGATACTTTACTGCCGGAAAACGTTTGACGTCGGAGGAGCTCCAGTCTGTTCAAGGCAGGATGTGGGAAGAGTAGGTCTTAGCCGCTTTCGGTTATGATATGACTTGCCGCTAATCATAATAATGCAGCATCGATCACTGATTGGCCTCGGTGAAATCGAACTTGCGTAGCCGTCACTTAGCAGTGAACACCAAATAACACCTGTCCCTGTCAAAACGTCAGATTTATGCCGCCTCATGCGCTCGTGGAGACAAACATGGACCTACGGCATTCCATCTCTTCAAGTTAGTCATTGCTACATTACCTACAAGTGAATAAATCGAAATGAGACCCTGCAAAAAGCTCCGTGATCTGTGCTGTGGCGTCATACTTGGGAATAACAAGGCAAGAGCCACCCCAGCCCCGCTTGCTCGCTGGCACGAAACGTTGGAAATGGCAGGGACATGAAAGGTGTACTTGTACTCAGAACAACATCAACAAAGCATAGACGATCTTGACGTATGCATACAGCCCTTCTAATATTTGCAGTATAACGCGACATCGTAATGCAGATGCGCTTGTAAGCAAGGATACTACATCACGCATCAGATTTGCAGACAAGATGATGCGGCTGGGGTCTGCTGAGAAACAGTCACGTGACTCACACAATGTCACTTTCAAGAAATTTCCATGCCAAACCTAGTGGGCCCGGATTAATAGGCTGCCGCTTTCGTTATTGTGGACTCGCTTAGGCCTAGATTGGTGCACACAAGAAATTGAAATTATTCTCACACTCCATCTCAACGTCTGCATCTTTGACTTCTCCAATTGTTCAATACATTTGGCAGCAATCATGGCTGTTGGAAAGTACGGGTTCACAAAATCATACTCTGTTGCCCATTGATGCTAACTCGTCGGCAGGAACAAGAGACTCTCGAAGGGCAAGAAGGGCCTCAAGAAGAAGACCGTCGACCCTTTCTCTCGCAAGGATTGGTACTCCATTAAGGTAACCTACATCGTCGACAAGGATTGTTACGCAGCGAAAGCTAATGATTTGGATTTAGGCCCCTAACCCTTTCAACATTCGAGAGTGAGTTGACTAGCGAAACGACAATCGACCAGCCATGCATCCGAAACTAACAGGGTTTGGCAGTGTCGGTAAGACCCTTGTCAACCGCACCACCGGTCTGAAGAACGCCAACGACGCGCTGAAGGGACGTATTGTCGAGGTTTCTCTCGCCGATCTTCAAAAGGATGAAGATCACTCGTTCCGCAAGATTCGCCTTCGCATCGACGAGGTCCAGGGCAAGAGCTGCCTGACCAACTTCCACGGTCTCGACTTCACATCCGACAAGCTGCGCTCTCTCGTCCGCAAGTGGCAGTCCCTTATTGAAGCCAATATCACGGTCAAGACCACTGATGATTACCTCATTCGCCTCTTCGCCATCGGCTTCACCAAACGCCGCCAGAATCAGATTAAGAAGACGACCTACGCCGCTTCTTCCCAAATCCGCGCCATTCGTCGCAAGATGACTGATATCATCCAGCGCGAGGCTTCCACCTGCACCCTCACTCAGCTCACCTCTAAGCTCATCCCTGAAGTCATTGGCCGCGAGATCGAGAAGGCTACACAGGGCATCTACCCCCTGCAGAACGTATGTCGTCCCTGACAGGCGATATGAACGCAAGACTAACAGACTTCTAGGTACACATCCGCAAGGTCAAACTTCTGAAGGCTCCCAAGTTTGACTTGGGTGCTCTGATGGCTCTCCATGGCGAGTCGGGGACGGATGACCAGGGCCAGAAGGTTGAGCGGGAGTTCAAGGAGCGTGTCTTGGAGGAGGTTTAAATGCGAAAAGAAAATTGATATGGGAAAAATACTAGGCTGTCTCGAGGTTGAGCCCTCATTCTGGCATTGTTTCGGTCGTGGTAAATGGCCTATTGTCTCTACGGCGGCTAGGGTTTAGATAATGTCGCTAATGATACGGCACAAGGCTTTCTGTTTATTCAACGACGATGCGAATTGGCTGGTGATTTACCTTTCGTCGTATTCACAAGTCGTGGGTGACATTTCTTACTGACGATGATGCTATTAGGGCACCTTGAGGCTCGACTTTATTTCCTAGAAGAATCTTTCCCCGGCCCGGAATTTTTTTCGGCATCTTCACTTCCTTCATTTGCCGACTTGCCAATAAGTAGAACCGTTGTCCACACAGACTGCGTGGCTCAGTCCTGGTTCTGTAGAAACTCCACTACAGCTAAGACAATATCAGCAGGCACTCATCGTCGCTTTCACGCTTGATCGGGGCATGTACCTGCTCTGAACTCCTCCGGCTTTTCTGAGATGACCCAGTGGCCAGCGTCGATGTCGATCAAACGAAACTTGGGAAAGAATTGCCCCACGGCTGGAAGTACCTCATCAGGCACGTATTTACTCTTGGTGCCGCGCACGAACAGAGCCCGCTTTTCGAAACGAAATTGGTTGGGGTCCTTAAAAGGAAAGTCGCCCAGGTGACCCAGAGCAGCACCCAGTGTATCTAAAGGAATTCTGAACGTCTGAATGTTCTGACCAGGTTCACGGTGAAGATTTCCTAACAGGAATTGTCGAATCGGGAGAGACTGCGGGCCACCAAATTAGCGTCAAACACCAGGCATGGAAATCAACACGCGAGAAGCGAACATTCTCAACTTCCTGTAGAATTTTGTCTGCTTCCGCTAATTTTGTGACGTGAGACTGGTCGACTTTCTTCATACCACGGATGTAGGAGGAGAAATCTGAGCCCAAGAGCGAATCCACCGGGGCATTGTCGACGGCAATAATATCTGCTACATCTTTTGGTGACCGTAAAGCCAGTGTCATAGCAGTCTTAGCTCCCCTAATGAAATATAGATAGGCTTTGGTAAGCGAACTGACACAACGAAGATTGAGCCTTCATTTGGGCTAGCACTTACATTGAATGGCCTATCAGTGTAGTTTCCCGAAGACCGTGGTCAGCAATGAAGTTGGAGACATCGTCTGCCATGGCCAAGTAGTCATGATGCTTGTCATGAGGGGATTGGCCATGATTCCTCAGGTCCTGATGTCGTTAGCACCTCCTTGTTTTATGACTTGCGACATCGCCATACCACGGCATAAACATATCTCCCAAGATCCCGAGCCAATGCCCTGGAAAATTTTAGTATTCATTTGAGCCTGGTTGCAGCACAAAACCTCTCTCACTTGCTCATCGCTCGATTGTTTTTCTTTGAGCCGAATAAGCCATGCAGAAACAGAATCGGTGCGTTCTCAGGCGTCGTTTGCGGCTTTGGAGGTTCGTGAATGTCGTAAGCCAGCCTCAGGCGAGCCGCAGTTCGAATGGAGCGCTGTGCATTCCCCAGTCCAACGCGATAGCACGCAACAGCTGAGCTTCTTTGACCAGGAATCAATCGCATCATATGACCTTACGCGGCTGCAAGTGGCCAGACTACCATAGCAGTCGACGCTGAACACAGTGAACGTCGCAACTCAACTCGCGCCAGAGATCTGCTTCCGGGGGGGACGATGCAATTGGACAAATTAGCACCCTAAATATCTTCCACCTAAATCTGGATAATGAGCAATAACAACTACCTAGTTAACTAAGTTATTTTAATCAGGACTGGATGGGGATGTAGCTGGCCAGAAATGTGGGGCACAAAACTGTCCACTTCTTATTGTGTTTGATGTGTCCCCCTCCTGAGCTTCGAATAAGTAAGCGCAAACGTCTCTCGGGAGCTTCACGACCCGCGAACAAAATAGTCTCACGCAAAGTTAGGACCTTGTGAAAAGACAAGCTATAAGCTTGAATTTGCAAAGCTTGACTATCGTGTTTCATACAGCGAAAGATGGAGTACGAGGCACTCAAAGAGCAATGGAGCGACGTGGAGGATCGCGACGGTGTTCGCCTGAGCTGGAACGTGCTTCCCAGCTCGCGCATGGTGAGCGTGAGATTGGGCTGGTCCAGAAAATACGACTAACTGTTGACAGGAAGCATCGCGACTGGTTGTGCCGATTGGTGCTCTTTACACCCCATTGAAAGAGAAGCTCGACACACCATTGCTGCAGTTTGAGCCAGTGACTTGCAAGCAGCCATGCCGCTCTGTGCTCAATCCATTCTGGTAGGCTCATCAGCCAGACTGTTATCTATTTTTCCGTATCAAACTGATAAAATGCATAGTCAGGTCGATGTTCGCGCTCGAGTTTGGATCTGTCCCTTCTGCTTGTCAAGAAATTCGCTCCCCCCCCACTACAAGGACATTACGCAAAACGCGATTCCGCCCGAACTACATCCTGCAAACACGACTATTGAATATCGACTGTCTAGGCCAGCTCCAGCTCCACCTATATTCTTCTACGTTGTAGACTTATGCCAAGAAGATGACGGCCTTGCTGCGCTTAAGGAATCCCTGGTCATGAGTCTCAGTTTGCTTCCTGAGAACGCCCTAGTTGGCCTTATTACATACGGCACGATGGTATGATTATGGAAGCTTTTTTGGAGAAGCTGCGATTCTTCTGACACCTACTAGGCACAAGTTCATGAGATCGGTTACGAGGGCTGCGCAAAATCGTATGTTTTCCGAGGAAACAAGGACTACACTGCCAAGCAAGTTCAAGATATGCTTGGTCTGTCAGCTTCTACAGCTCGACCGGGGATGCAACAGCAACCTGGCCGTCCTCTGCCTATGGGACCAGCATCCAGATTTCTCATGCCGGTTCAGCAAGCGGAATTCCAGCTCACTAAAGCATTGGAGGCGCTTCAAAAAGACCCGTGGCCAACCGCGAACGACCGCCGTAGCCTGCGCTGCACTGGCGTGGCCCTGAGTGTGGCGATCGGTCTCATGGAGTCGTCATTCCAAAATGCCGGAGGTCGTATAATGCTCTTCGCTGGTGGCCCGGCTACGGAGGGCCCGGGCATGACAGTTGGCCCTGAACTGCGAGAGCCAATGAGATCGCATCATGATATTGATCGCGATAACGTCAAGTACTACAAGAAGGCATTGAAGGTAGCATTCCCACGGCACGTATACCATAATCTGTTCGTCGGCTAATTATTACAGTTCTATGACAACTTGGCAAAGCGCACAGCCCATAACGGTCACATCATTGACATTTTCGCGGGCTGTTTGGATCAGGTCGGACTCCTGGAAATGAAGGGTCTTTGCAATTCGACTGGCGGCCACATGATTCTAACTGACAGTTTCACGTCGTCGATGTTCAAGCAGTCTTTCATCCGTGTTTTTGAGAAAGATGGCGACGACAATCTCCTCATGGGCTTCAACGCGGTGCTTGAGGTTCTCACCACAAAGGAATTGAAGGTGACTGGTCTCATTGGACACGCTGTTTCCCTTAACAAGAAATCAGTTTCCGTTGGCGAGACCGAATGCGGCATCGGTAACACTTGCTCTTGGAAAATGTGCGGCATTGACCCCAAAGCAAGCTATGGTGTCTATTTCGAGGTTGCCAACCAAGGCCCAAGTCCTCATCAACAAGGACCTCAGAAAGGCATGTTGCAGTTTCTAACTTACTATCAACACTCGTCTGGCCAATTCCATCTGCGTGTCACCACCATCGCTCGCAATCTAAGTGGACCAGCTGGTGATCCGGCGATTGCTCAGTCATTTGATCAGGAAGCTGCCGCTGTCCTCATGAGCAGAATAGCTGTTTTCAAAGCTGAGGTTGATGATGGGCCCGATGTGCTTCGATGGGTGGACAGAATGCTTATCCGACTGTGCTCGCGCTTCGCCGACTACAGAAAAGATGACCCGTCCTCATTTAGGCTGGAGAAAAACTTCACCCTATACCCGCAGTTCATGTTTCATCTGCGCAGGAGCCCTTTCTTGCAAGTATTCAACAACTCTCCTGATGAGACAGCCTTCAACAGGCATGTGTTAAACCATGAAGACGTCAGCAATTCGCTCGTCATGATCCAACCAACACTTGACTCTTATACATTTGATCAGGATGGTGGCCAACCTGTACTTCTTGACTCGGCCTCCATTCAGCCTACACATATCCTCCTCCTAGACACGTTCTTCCACATCCTCATATTTCATGGCGAAACAATTGCGGAATGGCGTAAGGCCGGTTATCAGGACCAGGATGGCTATGAGAATTTCGCAGCATTGTTAGAGCAGCCAAAGGAAGATGCCAGGGTGAGTCACTTTTTGGTGGAACGAAATTTTCAGGACCGTACTAATCCCACCCAGGATCTGATTACGGATAGATTTCCACTACCTCGATTTATCGTATGTGATGCTGGTGGCTCCCAAGCCCGATTCTTGCTCTCTAAACTCAACCCGTCTACCACGCACACGACCGGCCCATACGGTGGAGCTGGAGCCGCTTCGGGTCAAACGATTTTTACCGACGACGTGTCTCTTCAAACGTTCATGGAACACTTGATGAAGTAGGTCATCTGGAATTTATCAATGCTAACGATCGGTTGCTAACGTCGACTTTTATGATAGGCTTGCTGTCAGTGGCACCAACTAATCATGTTGAGTCCGTTCTTAGGTACTGGGGAGGCATACGTGTAGGACCTGCATCCATCGTATTGAACAGTCAGATATATATATGTGGCCCGGTCAACTAATATAGCACGGCCAACTCAAAGTTCCATATTGACTTGAATCTCAACGACCATGTGTGATCAATTCACTTCGTTCTAGCACCAAAGCTGAAGCTAGTATGGCTAGGTACCTAAGTAGAAGTGGATCTCAATTCTACAGATTATGTAATGCCATGCCTAGCAAAAGTTTCCAGGGTGCAACTTTCGGTTAGGGCAGACAGTGGGGGGCCACACATATTTTCTCGCTAAGCAGAGGCCCAACATTCTTCTTTCTTTAGCAACCATCAATAATTTCGCAACGGCAAGCAAACCACGAGCCTCTGCCATTCTCACAAACTGCCGCAATGCGTACGTTGATACCATCTTGTCAATGTGTATAGCACCACTAAAATTTCTTCCTCTAGCTCCTAAAATCGATCCCAACGAGATCAAGATCATGTTCGTTTCCTTATCATATCACCTCCCCTCTTCTAGCTGCTAATCCTCCCTAGCCACCTCCGTGCTACTGGAGGTGAGGTCGGTGCCTCTTCAGCCCTTGCGCCGAAGATCGGTCCCCTTGGTCTCTCTCCCAAGAAGGTCGGAGAGGACATTGCCAAGGCCACTGGCGATTGGGTACGTACACTGTTTCTCTCGGTCTAAACGTCACTAACAGCTTGCAGAAAGGCTTGCGCGTGACTGTCAAGCTCACAATTCAAAATCGTCAGGCCGCAGTGTCTGTTGTGCCCACTGCTTCTTCTTTGATCATTCGCGCTTTGAAGGAACCTCCTCGTGATCGCAAGAAGGAGAAGAACATCAAGCACAATAAGTCAGTCGCCCTTGACGAGATCATCGAGATTGCCCGCACTATGCGCTATAAGTCTTTCTCGAAGGAACTGAAAGGCACTGTCAAGGAAATACTTGGTACGGCCTACAGTGTTGGCTGTCGCGTCGACGGCAAGCCTCCCAAGGTCATCATTGAGGCCATTGACAACGGCGAGATCGACAGTATGTTCAACGTGTGTTTTGGATTATGTTGTCAACCACTAACGCATAGTTTAGTTCCCGAAGAATAGGCGTTTACCGAATCAAGGCAGTTGAAACAGAGGCCCTTCAGCGAGCGAACATCGAAACTACCAGATGAGCTGAATGCGACATTGAATTGATGTAGCTATGAATACAAAAATAGAAGGGCTGCGCGACCAAGTCTTACGGCTGATGTGAATTGTTTGTGATCCTCGGCTACACTCTGAAATTACCAACTGCACGATGGTATATTTCAATTTTTGCCCGAGGTAGATTGACTCCTAGTTCCACTACTCACCGCCATGTATCTCTCCAAGTGATCATGGCGGTCCATTGATCGGATCTACATTCTGTGAAACAGGCATTGCAATAATAGCCGAAATGATAGGTGCATGAGCACAGCAAGGCAGCGGCAAATTTCTCTGAGCGCCGTTACCACTGAGCTCTATCTGGGTGATCACGTCCATTCCGCCTGAAAAATTTGAGACTGCAAGCATGATGGTCATCAACTGGACGCTAGTTATCATTTTGATGGAGAGCTTTGACAGATACGTTGAGTGTTTGTCAATACCCTTGTTTGGTGGTCGAGCGGGGACAGTTAATAATTGATCTTCTTGCTAAGTGGCATACCTCTCTGTTTTGTCCGTGTACTTCAGACAACCCATCTTTATTGGCCCTCGTGAGGTATCTGGTACATGCCTTCTAGACACTAATGTTAGTGCGGCGCCACCGCCTATGCGCGATGTTGACCAGCTGCGCCATTGCACCATCCGTTCTCCGCCGTGCGATGGCGTGTGCCTTCTTGATACTACCACTCCACATCGAATGCAAAGTCACTGAACTGTTGACATTTGTGCCTGGCTTCAGCTGGGAGGACTATTCGTCTTCTCACTGATTCGCTGATCACCAGGGCGCCGTACCCAAGACCAGACTATAGGAGGGTCAGGTAGAGGCACTGCTGCTGTAATTTCCTCTCCGCTTGCTTGATGCCAGTTGGCAGCGTGTCCGCCATGGTATGACTGGAAGCAATGAGCGTTCGCAGTACGCCTGCCAATGTCTCTCGATATTACACCAACGACAAATCTTTCACCTTCCAATAGTCCTGTATATCGACCTCGGGCATGTTGCCATTATTGCAGGCGCACCGCCAGACGGTGCCGGCCGCGAATCTCGATCGTTTGCCCAAGCCGGCTAACGGACAGCCGGTACACGATGATCAGCTTCAATCAGAAAGGCTTCTTTATCGACAGCGATCTTTTCCAATAAGAACACTTCAGTCGCATACGCAACTCGCTGAAGGGAGCCCCTATGGCGTGCACTCGTCTCACAGGGTTCGAGAGCACCAGCTACGGCGAAAAACTCCGAATGGAACCATTGATGCTGGATACGATGGCTCCTCCACGAAGTCGTCTAGTGGCGAGCCGCCATTGAAGCAGCTGGCCCTTGCTGGACAGGCTATCAACACGCTTGATCATCAGGCGCTTGGCGCTCGATCCTATCACCAAAACATCATACTTGGCAGTGCGAATACCAATGCGCAACTGCCAGTGGTACCTTGGCAGTCACCCGGCCATGTTGTTGGATCCATTCAAGCGCAAGGTTCCCGGATGTCCTCACACATTACTGCTATTCCTTTCGCAAGTGTCTATCAACCCGTCATTCGAGCCAATGAATATAATGTCAGAGCTTTCTGCCCACCGCCGCCGACACTAGTAGGAGGTCTGCCGCTTGGTCAGCTTTATTGGCAGCAAGGCTTATGTTCATGGGATTACCATTCAGCACAATACACCAGCACCGTGCCTGGCGCCTCCTACCCAACTGTACCTTGTCCTGAATATGCGCCGCACTTGGTGACACCTCGGCATTTTCCTGCGTCAAATCATATCCTGGGTCACACACCGCAGGGTTCTAAGCCTCATGTTCAGAGCGCCTACACGCTGAATCACGACACTTACAACAATCAATCAGCTTTCAGGGACAAAAGTCTCTGTCGAGCCTACCGTTGCTATGCCAGTCTGGTTGGATATATGCAAGCAAAGGCTGGGGTAAGTATGGCTAAAGACTCTCACGGAGTTGAACATGCATCATCAAAGCACCTCATATTTCCAAAACCTCCCAGACCGAGGAGAGAGAACACTGGCTTGAATAAAAGTCACGTATATGTCGCTACTGCCAGCAGAGTCCCACCAGCTAACCTCGACTCGAGCGGCGCACAAGGTCATCAGTATACGCCGATTCAGCAACCCAGCAGCCACGTCATGTTCGCTGGGGTGGATCAGTTTCGAGCCCAACAAAGTGCGGTCCATGGCTCTGTACCACTAATGGACTCTTTCGATCTCCTCAACCATGGTGTGTCCCCGGTCAATGACGCTAGATCTTCTCTCAATATTCTCAAACACCTCTGTGAGCAAAGTCAGTGGACCTGGACTGAAGGTATGCTCGTTTTGGGCTGCCTTCAGTATGCTGTAGAGCAGTATGCAGATGCCCTCCAATCCTTTTCAAGAATCACTGCATTAGATTCGAGGTACTCACTTCTATTACTTTGTCCATGTATATTTTTTGCGTATCTAACCGCGATTATAGCCACATAGAAGCCATTGCAAACATGGCAGCCTCTTTTTACTGTCTGGGGCGTCATGAAGAGGCCGAGCACTACTGGATTCGTGCGATACAACAAAGGCCCAGCTACCTAGAAGCTGTTGAACACCTGGTCGGACTTCTTTACAAGAAACGCAGTGAAGAAGCCATTGATATCATCTGCTATGTTCAAAAGGCGCTCGGAGCTGTTGGTCAGCCTGCGCTAGCAGGCCTCGCTTCTCGTGGGGAAGCTTCAGATGATCACAAATCCAACTCTCGGATCGTCGGTGGGCAGTCGATGAGTTTACAGAGCGTATTTGACCTATCGTCTGGGGGCTATGGCTCGAGCGGATACACTCTAGATGGAAGTGAAAACGGTCGTATTCTTGCGTTGATCCACGCAAAAGGCACCATGCTCTACGGCTTGAAAGATGTAGATGGCGCTGCTCGGGCATTCGAAGAAGCTGTATTGATCAGCGTCGGCCGAAATACCAAGGGAGTTCGCGAGCTTGTTCGTGGCATTCAAAACTCCCTTTCCCGGGTGGCGCCTTCTGCACCTGCTGGGCAACCACTTTTACTCGCCCCCGACAAGGCTCGCCATGCCGCTCGCCTTCTATTTGGTGGCGATGGCGAGCTTCCTGGACTACGATGGGTGAATGATCCTACTCCTAGGAGAGCTGCAGTTCAAACTACAAGTAACTCACTCCTGTCCTTGGCGAAGATATTTCAAGACTCTATGGCAGGTGGTTCATCGAACTCTACACTAGCGCGACCGTCCTCTGGCGTTGGCGATATCCTAGCGCTCTATTACCTCTCACTATCCCTTCAAGAAAGCCCATCGACCGCCAACAATGTAGGCATCCTCCTTGCTGGCATACCTCAAACAAATTCAAATCCAGTTATTGACAGTACATCGCCATCGCATGTCCAAACTGGCATCCCAGGCATACTTCCCGGGAGCGGCTTGGCTCTGGCCCTTGCCTACTACAACTATGGTCTTCGCCTAGATCCGAAGCACGTCCATCTGCATACCAATCTTGGCAGCTTACTAAAGGATGTTGGCCAACTCGATCTCGCGATTCAAATGTATCAGCGTGCCGTTGTCTGCGATGGAACTTTTGACATTGCATTAACAAATCTTGCCAACGCTGTCAAAGACAAAGGTCGGATAAGTGAGGCTATTGGCTACTACCGTCGCGCTGTAGCCGCTAATCCAGGGTTCGCTGAAGCAGTGTGTGGTCTTTTCACAGCGCTCAACTCAGTCTGTGACTGGAAAGGTCGTGGTGGTGTTTATTTGTACTCGGGGGGGTATGACCGGTGGCACGTGGATGATGGTGGTCAATTGCTCGATGCAGAGACCACTAAGTCTGCATCAGGTCTCAGTAAGCGTGTCACGGATATAGTTCGTCAACAGCTCGATGATGCCTCACAATGGGGCCGGAATATTATTGACAAGTCGTTGATTCGACTTTTGACGCATACCCTGTCTCAACACGGGCTCAGCTCCTCATTCGATCTCGAAAAACACTTACAAAAATGGATCGGGTCCAGGTGGGCTGGCTCACGGCTAGTACGGCTTCTTGAAAGAGCAGCAAAGGTCTTGCTTCGGCAGTGGTACCTTGACCAACACGTCTTGTCTGAGAGAGCAAATACCCCATACTCTCGACCTCAACTACCGCCGTCTTTAAGCGTGCCCCCGGCTCCTACTGTTCTCCCCTTTCATACATTCACTTCTCCATTGACGGCGAAAGAAGTCAGAATTATCTCTCAGCGTAATGCAATGCGGATATCATGTGCTACACTGCGTGCGCCGTGGCTTCCTGAAAATATTCTCCCTCCGCCAGCACCACCCGGTCCTTGTCTGAATGTCGGATACGTCTCCTCAGATTTTAATAACCACCCTTTAGCCCATTTGTAAGCATAGCTCTCTTCGTGGTTACAATCCGGAGGCTAACAATGATATCAGGATGCAATCAGTTTTTGGATTTCACGATACGGGACGAGTACGGGCTTTTTGCTACGCAACAACGCCTAGTGACAAGTCAAGCTACCGTGCGCAGATCGAGAAGGAAGCCCCTGTTTTCAGGGATGTCAGCAGCTGGACTCCTGAGCGCTTGATAAAGCAGATCAGCTATGATGGTATCCATATTCTCGTAAACCTCAATGGCTATACTCGCGGTGCTAGGAACGAGATATTTGCTGCTCGGCCAGCTCCAATTCAAATGTCCTTTATGGGCTTCGCAGGCACTCTCGGAGCCGAATGGTGCGACTATATTCTTGCAGACACTACTGCTATACCATCGAGTACCTTGCGCCCATGGCGTCAGAATACAACCTTGGAGGACGTTTTTCACGATGAAACCGAGGCCGACGCTGGCGAATGGATATACACGGAAAATATCATATTCTGTCGCGATACGTTTTTCTGCTGCGACCATGCGCAATCATCGCCCTCAATAGAAAGGAATATGACTTGGTCCGATGAACAAAATCGGCGATGGACAATGCGAAAGGAACTTTTCCCCGATTTGCAAGATGACACAGTTATATTGGCGAATTTCAATCAACTTTACAAGGTAAATATTTCTGTCGCGGGAACAAAAGTGCAACATGTTATGTGCGTGCTGACCATGGGATTACTTAGATTGACCCAAGCACGTTTAGGTCATGGCTCAGGATCCTGGCACAAGTACCAAAAGCGATACTTTGGCTTCTTCGGTTTCCAGAGGCGGGCGAGGCAAACTTGCGGCGGACGGCAGAGCTATGGGCAGGCCCTGAGGTGGCAAGCCGCCTGGTATTTACCGATGTTGCTCAGAAGAGCCAGCACATCTCGCGTGCCCGGGTCTGCGACCTGTTCCTTGACACTCCGGAGTGCAATGCCCACACTACTGCAGCGGATGTGCTGTGGTCTAGCACACCGCTGCTCACCTATCCTCGCTACCCGTATAAGATGTGCGCGCGAATGGCGGCTTCCATTTTGAAAGGGGCATTGCCGAGAACACCGGAGGGTCAACGCGTTGCAGGTGAACTGATTGCAACGTCTGAGAAGATGTACGAGAAATCGGCCATTGAATTAGCTGTCGGGCTATCATACTCGCGTGCAGCTTCCGGCGAAGTTGGGGGCAGTGGCCGACTGGCAGATATGCGTAAACTGCTGTGGCATAACAAATGGACATGCGGGCTTTTTGATACCCGCCGCTGGGTTCGAGACGTTGAAACTGCGTACGAAGAGGCTTGGAAGCGCTGGGAGAGCGGAGAGGGAGGTGATATCTATCTATAGCGATATTTGTACATGAAGCTCGTTTATTTATTTATTTTGCATCTCAGGTCGGAAACAACAGCGCCTAATTGGGAGCCTGTAGCAATGGTTATTATGTAAGTAGCAAGCGGCGGGCAATTTTCTTGTTGATAGATGTGCAGCCCGGAGACACCTTAAATGTGCCTAAACATAACGTATTTGCTTTGTTCCTGGCTTGACCCTTGCAACGAACACTGTTCCGCAGAGCATCGCAGAGCATAGGGCGATGTCACGTCGCGCGGATTCTAGGATGACACAGCAGCATGTTTCGCCCATGGCGCGAAGAAGTGTTCGAGCCCTCCACTCATCGGCGCGGCCTACAAGACGTAAATCAACGCCCGCATGTAGTATACAAAGGCTGAAAACCTAGATTGAGAGCTGACTCAAAGTCAGTGTTCCTTTGCAAAGTAAGAAGCACGGATGACAGGCTTCCATAAGACCACGTGTAGGCAACAAGAGTAGATATGTGGACTATAAACCGAAAATCGCGGGAAAAGGCGCCTAAACAAGGGCCAGATTGTGATGGCGCGAACAACATGAATCATCATACTCAGTGTGGCTGGAAATCCATTGGTCTTAAGTTTGCGAAAACTCTGCAACGCCAAAGAGTAAGAACCGGTCTAGAAAGTAAGAGGCAGGTTAATGGGCGAGCGCAAGCTTCGTAACGTGGCGCAAATACACGCTCATGAATCATCATGTTGTTCGTTAGGTAAGGAGACATGGAGGAGCTGTTCTACCAACATGCTAAAGCACCAGTTTTTCTATGCTGCCTCAAGTTAGCTGGCCCATACGGTAGACAATCGGGCCAGGGGCAGTCTGGAGCCGCGGGTAGATTGCGGATGTATTGCAATAACCTCAGGTGCTTCCGGTCGGGACGCAGATATTGTGACCAAAAGAAGTGATACTAGCCAGAATAGAGGCGTCAGAATAGCAAAGCCCGAGCAGCGCAGGCAATTCTTAGGGGTGTAATGGGCAAAGGCACACCCACCCCACTATCAAGGTCGCACTGTCCGCTCCGCCGTCTTTCCGCACGCCTTCGCGCTTGGCACTCCTCTCCACACACACCCTGCCCTTCCAAATCTTTGGCTCCACACTCATCCACAGTAGTGGGGTTTCTGGGAACCCACTCAGTGTTCGCTGTGCGTCCGATGGCAGATCCCCCGAAGCTTCTACATGGGCCGAATTGCTATTTGTTCCCCCCATGCCGCACTTTACGCCCGCTTCGACGCCCAGCTTTTAAACATATTCAATACACTTTCGTGGCAACGCCCCCAAAATCAAAGTCTTTTTCCCATATTTTATTCAACCCACCAGTATAAAGAAACGCTCAAATAACAGACATTATCAGCTTTCGTACGCTGGAACGGTCCTCCTTGCACAAACATCATCAGACCATCGCCATCATGGAAGAAGATGCTACAGCCCACCGACGCGGCCCCTGGTCTGGAAACGAAGACGAATTTCTTATGCAGCTCGTTAATCAACATGGACCACTCAATTGGGTTCGCATTTCCACCACGCTCGGTACCCGAACTCCCAAGCAATGCCGCGAGCGCTTTCATCAAAATCTGAAGCCGTCGCTAAACCACGAGCCTATTACCGCCGAGGAAGGAATTCAAATTGAAAGACTGGTTGGGGAAATCGGCAAGCGATGGGCAGAGATTGCACGTCGTCTACACGGCCGCAGTGACAACGCTGTCAAAAATTGGTGGAACGGCAGCCAGAATCGCCGCAAGAGATATGATCGCCGCCGTAATGCCAATGCTATTGGTAGTGAAGGGTACTATCGCCGATCTGCTTCAATCAGTGGTGCACCCCCTCAACTGCCACTGCCGAATCCTATGCAGTCTCCGATTGAGCAACACCGCCAGCATGTCCCTTGGTTGGACGCACCTCTACCGTCACCTTGCTCGTCTGAGTCGCCCGACGCTGACGGTTATCATTACACCACATCGTCGCCTCATCGAACTGCCAACCTCTCACGTCACATCAAGAATGAGCTGCCTCCAATAAGAACTTTGACTGACGGGCATCATGTCGGCCCTATGCCCAGTGGTGCTCTGCCAGGCTTTAGCTCCTTCGATCAACAGTCAAGCGATAACGATACGCACAGGCGGCAACATCTGCTTACAGCACCGAACTCTCCGGTTCAACAGCAGCCGGTTGCCGACAAGGTACGAGATTCGAGAATTTCCGTATCGTCTCTACTGCACTGAGAACTCGAGCCGTCGCGGATGAGATGAAGAGCGACACACATTGTTTTACTGGCTCGCATCGCGACGGATGAACGAGATACTCGTTCAGCGTGAGCGCGTGCATGAACCTCAATATTATTGAGAGAGGCTCGGACCTATTCACCACACTATACCCAAGCCAAAAGCACTATTACTGGCCTCGTTCTGCTTTTTGCGTTTTGAAATCTGTGATTCATTACGTCAATAGCTCTTACGGAGCGGAGGCACGAAATCTAATCTTGTTTTCTTTTTTGAAGAGCGTGAATTTTTGCAAGGCGAACAGGGTTTTTTTCTTTATTTCTTTTTACGGCTTCCCTTCTTGCAATTTTGCATGGTTGGGACACTGGTAGGCCGTGTAGTGTATGTGTATGGAACTGCGCCAGCGTCTAGGCTGGATCCCTGAGTAGCACGAGTAGCACGCAGATAGAAGAAGCAGAATTCATAGGCACATCAAGTACTACCAACGAAGACATTTGATTGTGAAATTTGTTGTGGGAGCGCGCAACTGACTGTACATGCAGTTCCAGGTGATACGTAATGAAGAAATGGCCCAGAGAGCGCCAAGTGGGCTGTGTGGTGAATCATCAGTGATGACGGCCAAGAAGCTATACCGTGGGCGGCGGGTCGAGCCGCGAACAAAACTCAAGGTGGTGGCGGCCGCCAGCACAATTGGCTTGGTGAGATTTTGATTTTTCCTGATTTTAAGCTTTACCCAGTACTTTGAGTGGCTTTTCAGCACTACATGTACTATATTAGTACGCGGGCTGCGTGGCTTCGTAAGGGGACGTACTTTTCCTTTGGTTGATGGTCGCGGTAGGCAATTGTACCAGGACTAAAGTCTGCTAATAAAACTATGAACTGACTCACTATTTAACTTTACCTGTTAGCTACTGGCAGTTGTTACTTTGGCATTGCATACCCACCTAGGTAGATAGGTGGTTTTGGCCAGTAGTTATCAGTAATTAGTTAAAAACAAAGTGGCAGGACCAGACCAGTGAAGGCTCCACTGCACCGGTCAGAACTTGCTTGGTCCAGTGCCGTGAGTGCGTAACAAAGGTGCGCGCTATCACCACCCATTCTGGCCCTACAATTTTGGGTGAGCGACGCGGGGCAGGTGAATACCTATATCGGAATGCATTGTCATGAGGCAGTGTAGGCGCCACGAGGTTGTGACATGGGACTGAATGCAGGCGCGGTATTGACGACTGAGCACCGGGCAGCCTGAGCGCCAGAAGCCGGCGAGCGACAATCTTGACACTTGGCTTGTTAGTACCAGTTGTCGGTCAGTCGTCATCTTGATGTGCAAAAGCAGGGAAGACGTCAACAAAGACGCAAAGTAAAGAGAAAAAAGACACGCGAGAGCTGCCGAAGTATGTACATGCACTGATGCATCGACGCTTAACATTGTCCAGGGCATCTGTCTCTCTCGTTCGCTGTCCACCATCCATGGTCGGAAACGTTGCCCTCTGTTGAAAGAAACTGTTAAAAAGCGCGGACGCGTACCGAATCGATCCCTCACTGGTAATTTGGCCCTCAAATAGGTAATTTTGGTCAAATAATTACTGCCCTGGCCCATCCAAAAGACCTCCTTGCACATGTATCAAAGCGGGGGCCGATATTTTCCAACCCGGTACTGCTGAAGGGGAAAACGGGGAGACCTAGGTACCTAGGTACCTAGGTAGGTAGTTGTGCGCTGCCGAGAAACTTCGGCCCGTGCAACGGCAACCACCAGAATAACTTATGACTGGCAAAAGTAATAAGTTAACTATGGCAGATAAATCTATTTCACTGGTGGATTTGTGGTCTGACAATCCACCCACCAGTATGAAATAACTTCAATGAGCCTGGCCCTGGGCCCTGGTCGCACCGTTGAAGTCTAGTCGCACCGTTGAAGTCCGTCCGATGAGGATCGGGACCTTGTGGCTTTCCCGCAGCTTCTGGACCTCGCCGTCAAATGACGAGCTAGCAAACACCTCCTCTGTGCCGGCGCATTCTGCCAGGTTTGCAGGTGTACAGGCATGCAACTTGTTGAATGATGAGATGCTGCAGACAGCTGTGAGCTAGCACAGTTCTGCAAAATATTGGCCTCCTAAACAATGGGCTCTGAGCGAATGGCACCGTCTAGCACTCGAGCAGTGAGCCAGTAGCATGGCGCACAAGATGCAACGGTCCCGGTCCAATGGGTCCATTCCGCCCCGCCAACAACTTCGTCATGTCGTGATCCAAGTTCATATAATAACAAGAGACAGTAATGAAAGCGACCGTGAAAGCGGAAAATATACATGATCAAGAAGCTAGTGTTACGACCCTACGACCCTACTTTGCGTGTTTGCCTACTCCTACCCACTGCGCGGGCTACACGTAGCCAAGCCTGCGGCTAAAGGGGGGCATGGGGGCTGCGACGAGCCCGCTGGATGCTGCCCAAAGACGGATGGGCCCCAGTATTGCCCTTATTTGGCCAAATGAATGATGCTGGCCACTGCGCACTTCAGAATTGCTGAATACTGTTAATTGCTCGCGATGCAGGACTGGGTCCATGGCATATGATTGACAGACCCGAACCATGTTCATCAGTGGTTGCTGTCAGTCAGCGCGCTCCTGGGCACACTTGTGGATGCAATCACCCAACGCTGACAAGGTCCATCTCGGGGAAGCAGCTTTATTGTATACGAATCTCTGATTGGGGTCGGAAGATGGATGTGATCTTGTTTTTCAAGGTGATGACGATGCCGCTTTTCTCGGGCCCGCGCTTCTGAGTCCTGGTTGACAGATGCCGTGGTTCTAGTTCGATGTGATAACTACCGGCAGCGTCCCTGAGTTTGCCTTGAATACATGAGTGTCTGTCCGAACATCTCTTCCCATAATGGTATAATGGTACTGTTATTCTAAGCCTACATCTCCGGCGCGATGATGTCGGCGAGCATAGCCAGCGCAAAAGAACCTGCAAGTATTGCATTCATGCCCTGGAGGAAGTATTGATCATCTCTTTATCGAGCAGCGTAGAGCGTCTAAGCTGATCACCGCTTGACAGGCTCACAGCCGCAACGTGGGTGTAATACACATGAAGTAACTTGCAAAAGCACTCGACTTTTGTCATTCTCCGCGTCTCCCCTCGACCTTGATATACTCAGTATCTCACTCAGCCCGCTGGCGGCTTCTTTTCAAATAATCTAGGGCACCGGCGGCTCCCAAAGACACTCTCTCTCCGTGCGCGACTTAATTTGCACGTGGGCAAACGTGTCTCATGGCAGTGGGCACGCCGCCCGCTTCCAGCGGGCCAGGCTGCGATCGCATCATGGTGCCAGTATGGTCGTGTATACTCAGTATATGCATATAAATTTCCGCAGGGCAAAAAAATGGAGCATAAGCAAGTTTACGCTGTCACGCTGTGTGGTGCTGTGAAGAGTACTTGTAGTGGTATCCGATCCGCTGTTTGGCATGCCCGTTGAATATCGGCGGCTGGCGGACAGGGATTGTTGATCCATCACTTGATGCAGATACGTAGTGGTGCGAAACGGCCACGGCATTAAAGCATAACTGCACTAGAACCTAATCGGGCAGTATCTGGAGAATCAAAAGAGGACCGGGGCTTTGCCACCTCTCTCATCTTTCCGCCCCCATCCTTGCAAACCCCAGCTGAACGGAGAAACTGGGAAAATGTACTCGGGAAGCGCTGCAAGGAACCACCGTTTTGCACCGGTGAATTTCGGTCCCAGCTGCTTGGGAGCCCCCATTAGCGCCTGCAACGGTCCTCCCAAGAACGAAACCTTGTTTTGCATTTTATTTTAGAATTGTTTTTTTTATTCCTTTTCATTTATGCATGACCTGTCCCCTTCCTCTCCACCTCTCTCCGCAGCCATCATCAGCCGCAACCATATAATTACTCCTCCGGAACGAGGACGTTGCAAGATCAACCGCCCTCTTTCCGATCACCTCGAAGAAATGAAATTTCCATTGCGACTATACAAATGCTTTTCCAGTCAGCAAGGGTTTGTGATAGTTCTCGGACTCTTTGCTATCAAATATGCCCGTCCTTTTGCCGCTGCGCACATTTGCACACACGCACGATGATGCAGAGAACGGATCAATAATCCCGCATCGTCTGGCTCCAACCCTTGCAAGGTCAATTGTGACGGGACTGACTCTTTGATGCCTGCCGGCTGGACGGTTCTCGCATGAATTTCACGCCCCGAGTAAACGGTCTCGGACCCGCTTTCGGGGTAGGCGTGTGCTTGCTATGTGGAGCCTCACCGTTGGCACTTGCCCATCTTGGGCTAGCTGAGCGTCTACATCAGTAATCAGAATTTGCTCGCACTATTCCACTGGCTCATGATTGGACTCGACCATGACGCCTCGTACCACTTCCTGGAGTAAGCCCCCTCGGCAAGCCCTGAGCTTTGGGAGAAGAAACGTTGGGAAAAATGTTTTCCGTTTAACTAGCAACGCACATTTATGGACGGAAGAAAAAGGGGACCGCTTTAATAAGTATGCCGCAGCACACGTGTGACAATGCCGCACCCTCGATACGGTGAATGTGGGGAAAAGGCATCTATCATGGGCTTTTCGGACCACGACGAAGATACGAGAGTGGAGGAAGGACTTCGATGCTGATCATCTCGTCGCCATCGCCTTCCGTCTTTGCACCTCATCTCCGGTACTCCCTGGCCTGAACCAGGCGCCGAAGCACAGTGGTGTGGTTCGAGCCAAGGGCCTCAATGATTAGTGATTGGGGTAAACAGTTGGTAACCTAGCTGGCGACAAGGAGCGCCAGGGCTACGTTGAAAGTGGGCCAGCTCCTCCCACCCGATGCGCAGAAACGGTGCACTAATATGTCATCCCAGGCGGCCGGAAGGGGGTGGGCGTCCCTCAAGGTGCCATTGCTGTTCTTCCGTTTCCTTTCTGGTAGAGTAGGCTCGTTGTGGAAACAATTGTTCGCCCGCTTTCTAATAGCTATTAGTTAGTGGAAAAGCGGCGATCAGTTTTTTTTTTTTGTTTTTTTTTTTTTAACCGCGTAACGACCGACCCACGCGTGGCTCTAACAACCGTTCCGCGGCGTTTCTGCGACCCCTTGTCAGACGCAGCACCGTTGGCTTGTGGCGTTCCGGAGTGCGGCTCCCGACCGACATTTTTCGGGCATCGGTCAACGTACGCAGCTGTAAGAAACGGCCCCACCAGCCTTTGCAGACCACAATTGGTGCCACTGAGGTCACCGTACAGGGAGGAAACCGGCTGGCCCAGCCAGCTGGTGTTGATGGGCTGTGCCACCCGTACTAGCAATCTAACCCACGCGGGCGTTGCACTTCTTGGCTCGACAGTTGAACAGCTTTCCAGACCCCCCACCCTGTCTGTCTGCCCCTTATTCGTACTTTGTAGTTATGACCAGTACTGGTTTACAAAACTCGCTCTCCACTCAGAACATTTCACGCCACACTATGGATACTTAGACATGAGTGTACCCCTGTGTGATGCCGTGCCTGTAGCCATACTGATAATACAGCACAAAATGCTGGCCTCCGATGTGCGTACTCACTGGTCAAAAATTCAACTCCATTTGTCCTGGAATAAATCATATAGAGCTTGGGGTAGATGAGCCCGCCTCCTTGGGACTTTGCACGGTGGCAAGGAATGGCCTGCCGGCCAGCTGGTCAGGCAGTGATTCCGTTGACGCGGCTCAGATTTCAGGCCCCGACTTCGATACCGAATCCTCGCCACAACGCTAGCGATCGTGGCTCCAGATCTCTCTCGGCGGCAGCCATTTCAGTAACTTGGCTCACAGTTATGTGTGCTTAGGCGTACAATACCCTGAGTCCTCTATCTGATCATACATTGAGAAACCGCCCAGGTCACCTGTCATCGACAACACCTTTTAGCATCATGTTAAATTCAATTAAGCTGGTACGCGACTTTGTCATCACGGTCGCGTATTCTTCTCTGTTACGCAGGACGCCCAATCTTGATGCATTTGTTGATAATGTTCCTTTTTTTCCTTGTGTTCTCTACTTATTTGATTTAAGCCAGTGTCGCTCTGTATTTCGTACGTCTTGTCTCCATGCTGCTGTCCCAGCGATCTGGGCGTACCGGTTCTCGCTTATCTCGAAATTGTGCTCACCCTGGGGTGCGTTTAGCACCGGTTTTCCCGTGTCCTCTCCACGCTCCGCACTGACCACAGCCGCCCTGTCTCGCTTCTCTTTTTCCGTCAGTTCGGTTTCTGTCTTTGTGGCTGCCATTGTGTTGCTCGTCACGCCCAATGCTCCAATCTCTCTCGGCAACATGTATTCAATGCGTAGTATTGGGGCTGACTTCGTGACGCTGCCCTTGTACCCATTGCTGCTATGCGGGAAAGGGGTGGTGGCCTCTATCCGCTTGGAAACCACCGGCTGGGGCTCAGGTCGATGCTGGGCCCATAACTGGCTGGGGTAAATAACGGCTGGCATGATGGTGATTTTGCTATTCGACATGGGGTTTTTACGAAGTAGATGAGTGTTGCAGTGAGCACAGGATCCTAGCAGTTTGCGTATTTTGGCCAATCAAATATTCTCTTCGCGTGCGATAACTGGTGTCAGAACCCCGCAACTGGCACTGGCACTCCCTGTTTTGTGGACAGTGTGGACTGTTGACTGGCAAACTGGGGGGTGTTACGCGAACTTTGCTACTGATACGTACCAGTACGTCCGTCGCTGGACCGGGGGCTTGGTTGAGAGCCCGAGCCACTATACCGGTCAGCCGGGAGGGAAAGAGAAAACAAGGCTCGCGGCGGGACGGGGGTGTCGGTAAACTATTGTTCCACAACGTGCGTTAGTTTCAACGTCCGAGATGACCGATGAATAATTGACTCCTGAAAAGTAATCCGCGCACAACAGACTTTACAGGCTCTCGTGGCTCCGGCCCCTGCACAATACACAGGGCGTGTGTGCCGCAACAGTGTGGTATAGGGTACCATGTATGCACCAGAATCAGCCTCGCTTCACATCATCTTTGGGCTACCTAATGTATGCCATACCCTGTCTGAAATCTGATTTGCAGAGCCTTGGCGTGCTATTACGGTCATCAGCACTCGGGTAGCTGTGTTTTCACTCGTGAGGGGGGGGGTACGGGTAAAGGGAGGCAGTAGAAGGCAACAGAGCACCGCTCGAGTGCGCAATGAGGGAAGTACCCCCTTGGGAGCAGACAATGTACATCATGTGGTGTGACAACGTCCAGACAAAACATATCAAAAGGTAAAATCGAAGACATAGACCGACATAGGACACGGCAGAAGATTGACCAGCTGTCAGCGTGGATAGCATCCGCGTGTGCCGACAGAATGGGACACAATCGAGCTGAGCTTGGCGAGCCGATAATTCTACGAGCGTTGACCGTGACAGATTACACCGCGAAGCTCCCCCAAACACATGGAACGAGACACCATAGAATCAGGATCATAAAAGCACAAGTCGAGGCAAAGTACGAAGTCCTTACACGGCTGGCTAGGCGAAGAGAGTAATAGCAAACCCTACAAAGGCGAAGCAGTCACAGACGCACAGAAATAGCAGGTCATGCGCGAAAATGCACTATAGCGACACAAAGTATCAACCGAGTAAATACGAAAAGACAACAATTCAACTTATCAACTTGGCAGTCACAATTTCGATAGTGCGGCGTACACAACTGGCACAAAAAGAGCAACACCAACACCACGAACGGTCACCATTGTCAGACTGTTGTGTGAAATATTCACTATCTTCGTACCTAAAGCCACGAACAAATGTACTGCAATTCACCGAGCCCATTAAAGGTCGAGCATACAAGATAAGAGTTAATGAAGCATCGACCAGCCGTACTGATATCAATCAGTACATATATCGCTCGCGCTATCGATGCAAAAGCTGACCTAGCCTAGTCCCGTCCCAGGAGTTGCTTCGATTCCTCGTCTTTCCCCAGTAGGCCCAAGCTGCGTATTTGTTTTGCGCTCGGCGCATCGTCTCGTGCGGTAGCAGCCTCAGACCTGGCATACGCAGCTTGCATAGCCAACGCTCTGGCATGCTGCACGCCGTCAGCATCGGTTACCCCAGTGACATCCCCAAAGCATGACGTAACAGACCTCTTTCTTATGATGCAGACACTCGTAGTAGTCCTCGAGTGCCAATGTACATTTCATCTTGCCGGAGTCGTTATCGGAGGAGGTATTGACAACGTAGCAGCCCATCACCTCTTGCCAGAAGGAGAAGCAGCGTCCAACGCCTAGAACAGGTTAACATTCTCTGATGAAGGCAAGGAAGTCCATAGTCAGGCGACATACCCCCATGCATTCCATATCCGGACGCCATGATGCTCGAGTTGCTACTTTCGTCGGATACAAGACCAGTGTCCAAGAATGGACGCTTTGGAGATGGGGTCCTTAAAATTCGGGAAATGGCCGGCTAAATAGAGAGTTACTAGCAAATATACACGTGTTCAGCGTGGAGAGGTCGTGAAAAAGTGTACTTATGTTAAAGACTACTCATCGGTTGTGACATATCCCCGGTGGTACCCACTTAAGTACAGTACAAGTGAATGGCCCCCATAGACGCATATCGGAATAGAACACGGGTACAGACGTCACAAGGGCTTGTCGAATGACGCGAAGCGAAGCTACTGTTCCTGCAAACTGGCCAAAAGAGCAAAGACACAAGGGGCTTGCAATTCAGATACAGAAACGGTACCAAGGTACCAGGTATGGGCAAGAGTATAACACCAGCCAAGGTGCTGCTCTTGGCGGCATACCTGGCAGCCCAAGGCGACATTGACAAGCTAGCTTCTCTTGCGCTCCATAACGCCCATGTTTTGCACATAGAAATTCTACTGCGCGTTATTCTTACCTATCTCCCAGAGACAGCCGAGCCATGCGCTTACACCGAATTTTTGCGTGATCTTTCAGACGGCCAACTACGAGCCCCGGCCCATTTCGAGCTAGATACCTCCTCGGTCGACATACTGAACGATGAAACTGCGGTCAAAAAGGCTAAGAAGCTTCATCTGCTTCCATTATACAGAGAGAATGCGGAAAACGGCAAAAACGACGATCTTGTCCGAGATTTCATTTTCCAAAGAGCGTACAGAATCAATGCAGAAGTGGGTGCCCTGTCGCAGCTCGTGGATCTTCTCCGGCCATTCCTTGACAAAGACCCTTCTTTAAACCACTGGGCTGCATCTACGGTGTTGCCGTTCGTGAGACGGAGCTGCGAGTACCACACAAGTGATTCACCCGAGTACTCTCTGTCCGAATTTGAGAATTTACCGGACCGGACCGCGGCGAGATTCCTACTTCCCGACTCCACTGAAGAAGATGGAGAGGCAATTGGGCGAGATCTCCGAGGTTTGATTGCACCATGGTTGCATAATGAAAGGCGCTGGAAACATGAGAATGCACCAGAGAGCGGCATCGGGCTAAGCTGTCCGGGGTGGGAACAAGTTCAAGATATTATACTTTCATGGGCAACGAAATCATGGACTAGTGTGTCTGGTGCAATCTGCCACTGGGAGGGACCACGCGACATATATTTCGGCGAACATCTCACGATGAGCCTTTCCGAGGATAAAGTCCAATATCTGCTTAAGACGTACGCTACCACGGCTGTTGCCTGTGTATACAGCGTCACTGAGTCAAGCGAGGACGCTCTACGAAGTTCATATAGAGTGTGCTGCATAACGCGCAAGAGACTTGATGACGCGGAGTCATTCTTCACCCTGGAGGAGATCATGTCAGACTTTACGCTCCTGCCAGCCTTCAAAACGATACTCGGCGGCGACCCTTCAATGTCCGCCTTTATGCGCCATGACTTGTTGAAGACATCAAACCCCCTCACTTCAGCAACGCCAGAAGCTCTGAAATTGATTACGGCGCTCACAATCAGTGCGTTTGTTTCCACGAGCTTGGGTGTGCCCTGGTCTGTACGGAAAGCGGGAGACCTACTGTTCATTGGGGATGAGAGAGAGCAAAAAGGGGAACTCAGCAAATTGCTTCGAGCTATAGCCGATCGAAATCTACGCAATGATGATACCTGTTGGAAGCGTTCAAGAGAAGCCATCCTGTGGCTATCTGATTGGGGGTCGAAAGCTAAAAATACAGGACTGTCGTCGCACAGTTGTGGGCCTCTGGGCATGGTCTCCAGAGACCATATCGAGACTGAAATTCTAAAGACTTTGCTTTCCAAGTCAAGTATGATGGTTTTGCAGTCTGGTAAATGTGTACACATACGCTAATCTCGCAGTAGGATACTCGTTATCAAAGGAATTGTATGAAAATGCCAAAGAGCCGCCACTGGCTCGAGATGTGCTACAAGATGCTGTCTACCATTCTGCTCTGAATGCTTTTGACAATGCATCAAATCCTAATAGGACTCGCGGCGGGCTGAAGAAATGCGACGAGATGTGAGTAAATAATTGCCCATGTTGGGTGTTATATCTTTCGCTAATACCTCTATAGAATTCATACGTTTCCATCCATGCTCGGGAAGACTTCCCCGACAGTCAAACGAGTAGAGGCTCTCCTGAGAGCCAGCCACGCGCTGAGCGACTACCGTCTTGTTCTCAAGCAGGGCGAGCCCTTCAGCCCGGTTGTACTCCGGGTACACTCTGACCCGATCATCATCATAGAGAAGGTGCTAAACCAAAATCCGAAAGCCTATACACGCCTACAGGAGTTTTTGGAAATGGGATCCAACATGGTGTATGCTGGCTTGACTTCACCTGGATCGTCGATCAGGCCAGCAGTAACGTCGCTAGATGTTGAGCGGGGACTATTTGTTGCCGAGAAGCGGATAGTGGCCATGTGCATTGAAGCGGCATTAAATGAGGAAGATTTTGAAACTGCTTACTCGTATGTTGTGAGCCGAGTTGGGAAGGCAACGACTACCAGACTGGATCAAGCTATTACAATGCCCGACGCCTGGTCTTGGACGGCAGCATTGAAAGCCGGACAGTACATTCGGACAGAGCGGTCACAACAGCCTACTCACCTGGGAACAGCCAGTGGCAATCTTGAAATAAGGCACCTTGAACAGAGAATCGAGTGTCTGGCTACGGCAATTCGCGCTGCTCCCCCGGCAGAACTCCAGCAGATATTAAAGAGCTTCAGGAGATGCGAAGAGCAGCTAGATTCAGCAATCAGGGAAGAAGCTGCAAATGAGGCGGCCTGGGATGCTGCGGGAGACTTCAGCGCATTGCCAGGTAACTTCGATCCCGCGGTTCAGCGACCGGGCCAATCAACTCGCAACATGACTGCTAGTACAGCGGCAAGGCAGGGAGAGGAGGCACCAATGTCGCTGTTTGATCTGTCTCGAGCCACTGCAAGAATCGCGCAACGAAACTTCACTGCTCTGCCCAGTCTTCAAGGTACGTCGTCAGCCGCCGAAAGCCATGCTCCATTGCAAGAGCAAACCGAATCTCGTACAAGGAAACGGGATCAACTTCGAGAAGCTGCTACCGGGACGCTTGTATCTGGTGTTGGTTGGCTTCTTGGTGCGCCTGTCAATGGAGGGAGCGCCGGTAACGAATGATATCATATGATACGAAGCAATTTTGTATGATTCAATAGACGCCAGAAACGCAGAAGATTGCCTCAGGGAGACAATGTAGCCGTCTTGAATGGCATCATGACGTCAAAGCTACTCGAATTTGACCAGGATCGCCTTGTACCAAAGGGTTCGATCCTATGATTATACGGGTGGAGCGACGAGATGACTCTGAAGCAGAACTCTACACTCATAACAGGACCAGCACAAGTGAGACTGCGGACCCGCCAGCGAGCGTATCGGCGAGCGGTCAGGAGTCATTCGCAAATACTACGGAGGGTCGTTTGAGCCACGAAATTCTGGTATGGCCGAGTTGACTACGAAGTGTGTGGCACGAGAAGAGTGGCCTAGGTAGAAAGAGGCAGTATGGTAACGATCCGATGAGAAGCACGCAGCGAGTACATGGCCACTCCGTAGATTCACCCAATCCCCGCGCTTTCGGGCGTGAACAGGACCACAGCCACACTCTAATGGTATCATCACTTACCTTGCTCAATTCGAAATTTGGCGTATTGATCAATTGACAGCATTGTCACCGCGCAACGCCTTGGCTCATCAAAACGTCCGTGAGAGCTGCATCTCAGTGGCGAACGTATCAGATAAATCAATGCTGATGGTGAGGGCGGCTATGAAAGTGAGCTGCAGTGCTGTGGGTAGATAATGCAACGAATGAACCGAGTATGCGGAGCTGCTCAGAAATTCGTCGGTGGCGGCAAAGTCAATAGCCGTCATAACGTGTGTAAGGTTGATGACGAGCAGATCAGACAATGACGGGAGTTTACGGTATTTGGGTCGATATCCAGCCCATGTGTACATCATGATGCGTGTTGGTCATGGGCTGTTTGATGGAAGCTGCGAGGGTCGACAACCCCAGACCTGACAAGGCGTAGTGAATGGAAGTTCAGAGTAGAAAAGAGTTAACGGCGTCTTAGTCGAATTTTAATTGGTCCTTGGTTCACATGGCGACATATCCAAGCCGACGTTTTCTGAGCCGTGGTTGTAAAAGCTATTAAAGACGCAGTCGCAGAATGCGTGGGTGATGAAGAGTTTTGATTTGCAAAGTCCGAAAGCTGCCAATTTGGTGCACATGTATTCCCGTTGTCGCACAATTGACAAGCCCAAACAAGTACCAATTCTTGGTTGAAGCCGCGAATTATCGAGATTTCTCCTCTAGCCGTCGCAAAGCGAAGGAAACCCCTGGATAAGTAGTTTCTCGACCAGAAACACTGTTGACCGTAGCGTTCGCACATGAGTGCGCGAGATTGAATGACAAATGAAAAGAATGACAGAACAGAAGGCTTTGAGCACGAGCAGTCCAGAGGATAAAAGAAAACTATACAGGGCCTAGATCCGGCGGGGAGAGCGATACGGATGATTCGAACAGCTTACCGCATCATGGCGTCAGCACCTATACGTAGTTAGCTGCTGCCAGTCGAAGAATTTATCACTAATTCAAACCTCCGTATTGTTCTCGGGGTTCGGAGCGCGACGCGGAATCGGCATATCCGCCAGAGCCTCCCGCAGCAGATTCACGAGGGCGGCCAGACTCACGGTCACCTTGACGATCGTATCTCTCACGGTCATAGCCACCAGCACCGCCTCGCGGTCCATGGCGGTCGCGGTCATCGCGTCCGCCGTGCCTCTCGCGGCCATAGTTTTCATCGCGGTCCCGGCGGTCGTATCCGCTGCGCTCGTAGTCGCGTCCATACCCTGCTCGATCATCATGGCGTCTGTCCTCGCGATAGCCGCGGTCGTAGCCAGAGCCAGAACGGTCGTAGGAGCGATCATAACCACCACGGTCATCATAGCGGCGCTCGTAGCCTCTGTCATAGCCACCTCTGTCGTTGCCGCCTCGCTCGTAGCCGCGAGAACGATTTCCGTCATCACGACCGTAGCCACCGCCATAACCTCCACGGCGGCGATCATCAAGACGGGGGCGCGGGTCTACTTTCGGATTAGCAAAGATAGCTGATTGATGGCTGGGACGATGACGAACCTCTCTTGGGCGGACCAAAGTATTTGCCAGGCGTAGGAGTGCGCGGTCGAGCTCTGCGAGCTTTCTCGATGCTCAAAGTGCGACCTTCAATCACTTCTCCCTGCAGGCCCTCTCTGGCGGCATCCGCCTGCTCCGGAGTGACCATCTTGACGAAACCGAATCCACGCGATTCCTTGGAGTGAGGATCCTTCATAATCTGACATTTCTCAACGTCACCGTACTTCTCAAACATCTTTGTAACCTCGGCCTCTGACAGACGCGGGTGGATTCCAGTCACAAAGAGGTTAGACCCGGGGTTCACAGCACCGTCGTCATCATCCTTGGGAGCAGATGTCTCCTTCGAGCCGCTTTGGCACACTGAATCAGCACTGATCGTCGCTTGTTGGCTGAAGTATTTGAACAAACCTATCGGGATGCGCTGTAGGCGATGCAGAGCGGCGACGCCCGGTGTCGTTTTCATCTCGACCGGGTCGTGGGGAAGCACTCCTGTTGTCACGCTCATAGCGAGGTGCTTCGTCTGTGCGAAGAAAAGCAAGTTAACAACTAGTCAACCGCGACAGAGAACCGGAAGACTTTACCATCGTAGCGATCGCCATTAGGCGCCTCATAATCCATTGCTGCACTTGCCATCTTACTTGTGTCTTTTGAAATAGATGAATTGAAGTGACAAGAGATGGCTGAAAGCTGCGTTTGTTGATGTTTGCAGGCAGCTTGGCGGCATGCGAGAGGCGAAAACAGTGCTGAAAGGCCATGCAAACAAAAAATCGGCGAATGGCCGGACATTATCCGGAGACCGCTGATTCGCACGGCAAAGCTAACGCGAACTGAGCCCGTTCTGGTAACGTAAGCTGGCTCTGAGTAGCCCCACATGGCAGTTTGCCAACTGTTGGCCAACTTGCAATATTCATTTATTAGTCATTCTTTTGTTTAACTTACGTGCACACAATCACACAATCACACGGATGCGCTTTGTTCTTATTACAGACATGAGAGCTCGTATCATGCGCCTGAACCGATATGAACACCACACATGTATTTTCGACACAGTCAAGAGCATATCGGCCAGTCTCTAGGAGGAAAATCCTTCTCGTTCCGCTTCTAAAGTACGTGGTATGTCGTAAAGTCAGGACGTTGGTGGAATATCGTGACAATTTTTAGAACTGTGCCGATCTCGTGTACAAGTTGATGAACCTGTCGTTCTTGAGAGGAGTGAATCGTTCCATTGAACTATTCACCTGATTATTGACCTGGGGATTGCGTTGCTTGCGCCATGACGGTTCTAGTATTATTTATCAACCTGACATGATGCTATGCCACAGCAATAGAATTCCCGGCTGCTAGTTAAATAGCCTGTCTTGTACTGCCTGACACCACTTCACCACACATCTTCCGGATCAACTTCGTGACTTTCCCCGTCCACGCGGACATGCGCATGCTCCGCATCTCTCTTCATGGACTTGCGCATATCAAACGCATCTTCGCTAGATTTGGTAGCGTCCGTGGCGTGGTCTCCGTAGTAATCTTTCACCACTCGGAAGATGCTGTATCCCAGGCTCGTATAGAATGTGATGGCCCGCTCATTGCTTTTCCGAACAAAGAGATCCATGAACCATGCATGATTGGCATCGGCAGCTGCCTCTAGTTGTTCAGTTAAGATCTTACCAATACCGAGCCTACGAGCTTCGGGAGCAACAGTAAGGGCAGTGATGTGTGCATGCCAAGGTAGATAGTGCTCGGAGTATTTATAAGCGTCTGGCGATGATTCGACTTTGCCCATGACTGCCATGGTGATTAATATCTGTCGCACACGTTGGAACTTGTTGGTCTCGTACTGTATCCGACAATGTTTCCATGCATGTCTTCACAAACTTGAAAGAGAGAAGGCCATTTGGAGTGGTACTGGAGGTAAAACCCAAGCTCATATGATTCTGTCAAAGGATCCAAATTGCATTTCGAGAACTTATCGACATCATCAGGGCGAAATCGACGAAATGTTGTCATGGCTATACGCCTTGACTCGCTCAACTAATGGGTGAAATATCATGAATTACTGACAAGTCGCGTCTCGGCAACAATTTTATTTTTGGTGCTACCCCTCCACCACCTGGAGATTTTGGGTAACAAATCAAGCTCCACCCACCCTGTGCTCGACCACATAACCACCTACCTACCTACCTACCTGATACTTCCACTGAGTATGTGTCCTACACTGCATACTCTGTCTCTTTCCTCCGCGTCGCGCGTACTTCGACCTCGCGTGCCTGCGTGACCGACTCGACTCGCCATCCGGCGCAAGGCTTTCTGCACCGTCAAGTGCTGCGGTGCGACAACAATAACAACGGGCGGCGGCGGTACTTCAGGCCAGGACCTTGGCGGTGAGCGACCGCCTAAATACTGCATCCAAGATGCCAGCGTCACCACAGCTGCCACAGCACTCGCGACAGTCATCTGTTGCCGATGACCATAGCGATTTAGCAAATGCCCGCAGACATTCTAAATCGTCTGTCAGTGACGTTGCGACCCCATTCCGCAATAGCCTTACACACCAAGATACACTGGACATCAGCATACTCACAAGCGGGGGTGGCCAGGCCAGCAACGGCATGGGAAACTTGGCAGACGAGCTCGCGGATGCCTTTTCAGACTCTGGCGAAGAAGACGACGGCGTCCTGGGCGAATTTTCAGGCGACGGAGACAACGGGGGAGTCTTGAAGCTTGCCGGTACTCGCGATTGCGGAGTTGACGTGAATGGTACTGCTGCCAGCGATGGAGAGAAGACCAAAGACGCTAAGCTTGCTGTCCCCTCCCCCCCGAGACGTGGGCACCAGAGGAAAGGGAGCGAATATGATGGCAGTGAATATGGCTCTGAATCCGATCTAGATGCTGCTGGTTTCACTGCGAATCTACTTGCTAGAATCGATGCTGTGGAGTCTCTGGTTCGTCGTGGAACAGAAAGTTATGGCGGACCAGAAGATGAGGTCTTTAAACGAGTAACCAATAGCTTGCGTGACTTAGGGTCGCAGTCAAGCGTTGAGGGGAATGCATCACGGTATGAACAATGCCTCTATCACAATGAAGTCCATACTGACTGGTTACAGGCTCATCACAGCGCATACGGCGCTTACTACCCACCTTGCACACCAGACTCGTCAGCTCCATAATCTGACCTTCCCTCTGTTGTCACCTTTGGCATCTGCACCTGACCTCGATACGATCGACGACTTATTGCCTCTTTTAGTGTCGCTGCTAGAAGCCATGCCAACACCTTCAACCGTTGCCTTCAACTCCTTAGCAGCACTGCATTCTGTGACAGCCGAACTGATACAGACCTTGAGCTATCTATCCGACACTCTCCATATGTCCCGACAAACTGTTACCACGGCAACTCGCAGACTGAAGAGCTCGAGAGAACTAGTTGCCGAGCTGAGGAGAGATGAGGAGCTAAGAGAAGAGGGAGAAAGGTGGCTTGCTCGGGGAAATTGGGGTGAGAGATTGCAGAAACGAGAATGCGCAGGTGTTTGCGGAGAAGTCATCGGCGGTTTCGAGGCGGTGTGTGATGGCTGGCGTGAACGTCTTCTCGCCCAAGCAGAATCCACAGCTTAAATATGGCGTCTGGGCCGCTTATCACCAAGGCAAGCCGCGCGAGGAGGTAATAGGACATGCTCGAAGTGTGTAATGCAAATAAAAACTACTTGAGGCCACACTTACAAAAAGATATCGGCATCACTCTATATTTTCGTCGCTGCCTTCGGACGCCCCTTAAAACTGAATCTTACAGCCAGACATGATCACATTTATAGGTAGACGAAGCTGGTAATTCCGACTAATAGTAATGATGAATTATTCAACGTCATTGCACATCTGCTTCAAGCGCAGATCAACTGCTCATGTAAGTAGCCGCTTTGAACGGTCCTTCAAGCACTTTTGTGATGCTATTATTGGTTTCGCGCGAGAGAGTGATATCTGTTGATCTAACGCAAGCTCGACCCGTTCGGTCTTGCACAAGGGATTCGACATTTTGTTATCCTGCGCCAGACTACGCGACTGAGAAGGGCAGCGTGTTTGCTCGCGATTCAGTGGCGCTGAGTGGCTCGATTGGCTGTGGAGAGTTAGGCAGCGACTGGCCCCATTTACCCCGCTACTGTGTTAAATAGCTGGCGCGCAAGACGCGATCTGTGTCGCGCCAGTTTCGCGTTAAGAGTACGACAATGACCCATGCCGAGCTATTTTTCGTGATAACAATGGGTTTCATGGTGAGTATGAAAGGCTCATGGAAATGACCAATACTGCGAGTATAATACTACCAAGTTAATTTGGTTTCTAGAACTGGCATAGATATTGCAGGCGGGTAGATTATCATCTGCTATATGGAAAACGCTCACAGATTTGATCGAGAGTTGCATTGGACCTCGTTTTGTGATTGTTTTGACCCATCCTTAAAAATAAGCCCACCACCGCGTCACATCCCTGCATCCCCAACTCGCATGCGTGACAGGCTCACGCCCTTCTAAATAGTTGACCCTACGAAGTAGTTAGGTAGATCGCCGCCAACGGCCCGTTCTGCAAGCCCGAAGTAAGTGCCTCTATGGAATACGGAGCATCCGTAACTACCTTGGTACCTACCCGAGTAGGTAGGTATCTATTGGTAACTTTGTTCGCCTTATGAAAACCGCGCTGGAAGCATCTGTTCCGAGGCGCCCTCTCAGATTTCTTTGGTACCTTGAAAAGCGCAGCACCTCAATTTAATTCCCTGTACTTCGTACGGATGCAGTACGAGGACAGCGTGTCGCGAATCCTCCTGCTATTAGCTGGACAAACAATGATACTCAAAAACTGGTGATAGAGAAGGAAACTAATTCTGCACTTGCCGCGACACGACACGAGGAGAGCTTGACAGTTCAAAACAACGTCCTAATGCATCCAGTACCTATTTGTAGGTAGGTAGGTTGGTACGCAGGTACTACCCATTTAAAAGACCGCAGTACTGTAAGCCAATAAGGGGACGCTGAGGTTGTGCAGGGTCAGTGGTTGTTATGGACTTAAAACAGGGTGGCCTAAGCTGGCGCGCCTGGGGAGACCCAGCGATCCTGACAGGACCACCCACCACTGTCTCGCCCCGTAACCGCCTCCTCCCGCCCCCCAAGTTCCTTACCCAGACTTCAACCTCCCTCGTTCATCAACTCCCCCGACTGTGCTCAGAGTCAACGTGGGCGGACATTGCTTCTAACGTGCATCTCCTCATAAACTCATAGCGAAGGGAATCTCGACTCCCTCCACTGCGCCTTTTCCTTCCTGCGCCTTCGACTGCTTACCGACAAGCTTCAATATTGACCACCAAACACTATTCGCCCTTTGTTGTCATCCCAGGCTTATTGGTCCTTGGACTACCTTCTCGCTTTTGGAAGCAGATGACACAGCGATCAAGATAGGCGTGCCATATCTAACTCTTTTCTCTACTGAGTTTACCTGTGACGAGCAGCAGCCCGTTGATTGCATCTACCAGCGCGTGTACGAAAGCTTGAAAGAAATATCTTTTACCCTAGTTGCGCCCTCTACGACCGGAAACCTCCTGCTATGAGCGAAGAAAAGTCTTCGTCCGTTGGGAGTGCGCAAGCATCCTCGCCACTACCTGGTGGACGTGGGCGCTTAGAGGCACGCAGCTCTGTGGACACAACTTCAGCTCGTCGTATTCGCGATGGGCTAGGCAATCGGGATTCAACGAGGACAGCACGCTTTGATACAGATTCTATCGATAGTGCTCTGGCAAGGGAGATGCATCGCTCGCACCGGGAAAGCACGCCAGGCGCCAGCCCACGACGAAAGCGCCAGAGGATCAATGGTGATAGGTATAGTAACGCCAGGCTTGTTACTAGGAGTGCTACTGACTTCTGACACCTTCAAGGTTTATTCCGAGCCGCTCCGGACAAGATTTGCAGGCTAGCTTTAGTTTACTCCATGAGGACGGCTCGCCGGCAACGTTATCGAGGCAAAAGAAGCGGACGCCACATGGCGAGCTACATTTTCAAAAAAGTCAGTATAGACAATTATGGACTCTCTGCGTCGAAGATGCTAATCGTTTTGCAGCGGAGGAGGCAAATCGAACATTTTCGACACTGCTACGCGCAGAGATGTTCGAGAGCTCCGTGCCACAGGCAACATCATCCCATTCACCAGACAATTCGCTCCCGAACACTTCAAGAATAAACCCTGCTGATGGCACACGGTCTCACACGCCACCGAACAATACTCCGACCACTTTACTCCCATCCTCGCTCACCCCATCGACTCCACACAAGAATCTCTTTACATACATGTCTCCTAGACATCACCGTATCGCTGGTCATCCTACCCCCACCAAGACGCCTCAGAGCCGTCATGGGCTAAACCTAGATACTCGGGCGGAAATTTACAGCTTATCACCGGTACGATTGGGCAGCCAACAAATGCTGCTTAGCCCTCGAAAGCAACCACGCTCAGTCAATAAAGTCCCTTATAAGGTTCTTGACGCACCAGAGCTAGCTGATGATTTCTACCTCAACTTGGTAGACTGGGGCAGTGCAAATGTACTCGGTGTGGGCTTAGGATCTAGCGTGTATATGTGGAATGCGCAAACAAGCAAGGTGAACAAGCTTTGCACGTTAGAAGACGACACTGTCACGAGCGTATCCTGGATACAAAAGGGAACCCATATCGCGATTGGAACTGGCAAGGGTCTCGTGCAGATTTGGGATGCTGAAAAGACTAGGCGGTTGAGGACGATGACAGGTCACACAGCTCGGGTAGGCTCTTTGGCGTGGAACTCACACATTCTTACCTCAGGCTCCCGCGATAGGCTCATCTATCACAGAGATGTCCGGGCGCCAGACCAATGGCTAAGAAAACTCGTTGGCCATAAGCAGGAAGTTTGCGGCCTCAAGTGGAATTGCGAGGATGGACAGCTTGCCAGTGGCGGCAACGATAATAAACTCATGGTATGGGATAAGCTGTCAGAAACGCCGCTGTGGAAATTTTCGGATCATACCGCTGCAGTCAAAGCAATGTCGTGGTCACCGCACCAGCGTGGATTGCTCGCGTCTGGAGGCGGTACGGCGGACCGGCGGATTATCTTCCACGATACAGTCAAGGGATCCGTCATCAACGAAATCGATACCGGAAGCCAAGTTTGTAATCTGGCTTGGTCGAAAAATTCGAATGAAATCGTCTCGACTCACGGCTATAGCCAAAACCAAATTGTTGTCTGGAAGTATCCTTCAATGCAGCAAGTTGCAAGTCTTACCGGCCACACATACCGCGTTCTCTATCTTGCAATGAGCCCTGATGGGCGAGTTGTGGTGACAGGAGCCGGCGATGAAACACTTCGATTCTGGTCGGTGTTCGGCCGAAGACCAGGCACTAAAGAAGACGGAGAAGCCAGCGGTGGGAAACTGGCAGACTGGGGTATTATTCGATAGATTGAGCAATCTATTTCGATTGGATTCACCTTCCTCCCACAATAGCACCTAAACACTTCCGCTGCCGGGCGCTGGTCAACTATTGCGCGTTGATAGCTGTCAAGGATTTGCACTGAAAGCCATTTGGGCCGCAACAGCTAGAGGTGAAAAGAAAAGCAGCGGAAAGAGGGCAAGGAAAGGACATGAGCGCGGCAATTTCGGGAGCGTTACGGTTTGAGAAGCGAGTAATGTTGTATCTGCATTATGTTTTAGCAGCATAGCGAGATTAATGAAACATAGCAAGATTTTGGACATTCATAAGTCTACCATGAAGAGAATTCACGCCAGGAAAAGACTATTTTACCCTGAGACCTGCCAAGCAAATCAAACATTCAGTTACAGCTTTGCAATAATCATTGATCCATTGTTGCATTTATGTGGTATCAGGTGCTTCAAACATTATCCGAACTTTGTTCCTCGAGTGAAAGGCATCACCAACACGCCCGTCATAAGTAAAATTAGAAAAATTAGTCAGAATCAACACTTCGACACACAGCCATCGCGAAAAACTAGGCCATATTCAGCAAATCGTACGCCGCGTGACAGCGCCATGTAACTGAGTGGTCACTCGGTAGACTTTCTCTCGCGAGCCACATCTCGCGCTCCACCATCAAAACCAGTTGAATTTGCGGTGGTGTAATCATCAAGAAGCGGGATGCGGTCGAGGCTTGTTGTTCTAGCCATCGCATCCCTCGCAGTTTGAGCACTGGGCTCAAAACTAGGCGTACCGGTAGCCTTCTTGGGTTGGGGATCAATGACCACACTTTCTGTTTGGGGCTGCATCAAGGGGGATGTGAGCATGAGCTCTGGTGAGGTCTGCCATTTGACTACTTCCGTCTTCATGGCCTCGAGCTCTTTTTGAAACCGCTTGCCGAAGACATCGATGTAATACGTAGAGCCATTATATATGCTCCAGGCAAATACTACCAAGAGGAAGAGAGTCGATGCATAGCGGCTAATAAACCAAAGAGGGCACGGTAACATAGTGAGAACAGCATACACGTACTGAATCATCATGAAGGTGGGCTCCTGTAACGTGCTGGGCATCGATAGAACAATTTTCCCGATCCAAGTCCTGGCATATGAACGGCGAAGCCAAGTAAATGATGTCGGCCGACCGGCGGCGATCTTTTCTCTTCGGCGGACTGTAATGAAGAAGTAGTAGCTGAGTTGCCAGAGGGCGTATGGGATGGTGCTCCACGCCAGCATAGATACGATGTTAGCGTAAGCAGTCGCCGAGCCGGGCTTTGCTGTTTTGATTGCCCAGATAGCTGGAAAGCGACCTTGCAGCTTGTCCTCTGGGTAGAGATGAACCAGACAGTGCAATGTAGCACAGGGCATGATGTGGATGAATAGCGACGTAACCTTGTCGAAGCTGTGGAATACGAGAGAGTTTCGCCACATAATGATGGCGACTGCGTTGTTGCCGAATGCAAGGCAAAAAGCGGCGGTAAAAAGTCTCTTTGAGGAAGGGAACGCCCATAAACTGAGCATGAGAAGCACATTGACAAAGTAACAAAGATCGGCAAGGAAATAATGGTAGCCACGACGGTGGTATGTAAACATGCGAATGGGCATGAAATACACGAGCTGAACAGTGTACCACAGATGAAAATATTCTGGATAGCCGCCGATGAGATAGCCACTAATGAAGATGTTCATAACTCCACAAATGAAGGATATCTTCTCGCGCAAGCTGATGGCTTTCGTGTCGTTCCATTGCCTGCCAAGCTTGTCGACGCGCTGCCTCATTCGCTTTCGATATCGATCAAACTGTTCGTCGGCAGAAGGTACCCGGCGCCTCCATTCTTCGACCATTCGATGACGTGCAGTTTGAGTTTTTGATTTCAGCGCGTCTCTGGACCGGCGTACTTTGTCAGTCTGAGCAGAAATACCCTTCTGAAGTTTTTCCAGCTGCTGTGGCAATGCGAAGTTGTCCAAGAGGTCTAGGACCGTCAGGCGATCCAGGGGTGGGAGCGAATCCCAGTCATCGTGATAAGAGCTGCTACCAGAGAAGGAAGGATGTCTCGATAGCTTGGGGCTTTTAGGTGTTGTTGCAATCAAGCTGGGCGTGTCAAGGATTGTTGGGTCGGGAGGCGATGAACTCAGTGGTGACGTTAGGCCAGGCTCGGTGTGATGCTCGTCGGATATAGAATCTTGAAATGTCGCATTCGGGTTCGGATGCGATACCGCCGCTGGCTGTTCGTCGTCCATGCTCACGTTTGAACAGTGGCAGACTGTTATGAGCTATTTCGCAAACGTGTCAACTTTCCATTGGGAAGTGTGTGTATTGCAGGGCACGGATCGTCACCGAGGCGGTCTCGAAAGTAGCATACCTACCGTTAGCTTGGTGATTTACGCTGTCAATAATGGCCGTAGTAGGTCACCACAGAAAAAGAAACAGCGACAAGAGAAAAGCCGAGGGGGCTGGGTAGAGAGCGAAGAGACAGAGAGGTGTGAGAGAGATTGCGACAAGAGATGGCGCGTTATGGCGGCACAACGTGAGTTGAAACAGGGAATCTCGTCTCTGTCATGTGTAAGAGGGTTGGAAGGCTTACCAAACTAGCAGGTGGGTTCGTCCAAGTATTTAGGGTATCTGCACAGCTCCAGAGGGCCACTGGTTAAATAACTTGCCCATTTACCTTATGTTTCCCCTGGAACGGCTGGTGTTGGAGTGAGGGTGGTCCGTGCACTGCGGCACACTCTCCCCTCAACGCCCCCCAGCCGCGCGACGCGTTCCGCAATCAGTCATTCGCATCAAAACTTGCGCCAGCATCGCGAAAGGTACTTCCACACAGCGCCTCGGTATTATGATTGACGGTGTTGTCAAGAAATCTTTCGAAATAACCCGATTACATCAACATTCGCGTGAGCGCTTTGCTCCACGCGTTCGCACATTTCACGTGCTGGGCAAAAGATAATTTTTTGATCAATCACCGCCAACAGCTTCCTTTGCCGGAGTAGACCTCTCGCATCTGTCCATTGTTGCGCACCGCCAGCTCATAATCGCCTCAAGAGACTTGAGCTCTAGTTTGAAAATATGGGAAAACTTAATCGACTTGAACTTTTCAGTATGTATTTACGACAGACAGACTGTTCCAAACGCGAACGGACAATCTGACATAGCTCGCAGATTTCAAGTCCTACAAAGGGCATCACACCCTTCTGTTCGGCGACTCGTATTTCACCTCTGTTATTGGGCCAAATGGATCGGGGAAATCCAACTCGCAAGTCAATCCCGAATCACCAGGCCCCTCCACCCATCCTGCATCCATCTGCTAACCCTCCTACAGCATGGACGCCATTTCGTTTGTGCTCGGCATTAAGTCTTCTCACCTTCGATCTGCTCACCTTAAAGATTTGGTCTACCGAGGTCGAGTCTTGAAGACATCTAAGATCAACGATGACGGTTCTGCCGCGACGAATGGGCAAGCACAAGCAAGCGACGACAAGGCATCTCGTGGCGACCCAAAAACTGCATGGGTTATGGCTGTATATGAGGATGATAGTGGCGAAGAACATAGGTGGAAACGTTCCATTACAAATCAAGGCGCAAGCGAATATCGCATCAATGACCGAAGTGTCACTGCACAACAGTACAATGCGGCTCTCGAAAGCGAAAATATTCTCATCAAAGCGAGAAACTTTCTCGTATTCCAAGGAGATGTCGAGGCGATTGCATCTCAATCCCCCCAGGATTTGACACGCCTAATTGAACACATTTCTGGAAGTCTGGAGTATAAACAAGAGTACGAAAATCTCCAAGCTGCTGCTGAGCAGGCGGTCGAAAATCAGAACTTCCAACTTCACAGGCGACGCGGAATTAATTCCGAAATCAAGCAGTATCGCGAGCAAAAGAGAGAAGCCGACAGCTTTCAAAAGAAGATGGATGAGAAAGATGCGGCCATCGTAACGCAGTGTCTTTGGAAGCTTTTTCACTTCCAGAAAGCCATGGATGAATCCAGCGCCGCCATTCACAGTCACCACGAGGACCTTAAAGAATTGCGACGCAACGTTGAGACTTACGAAGGGCAACTCGAAGCTGCACGCCGAGAACAAATATCAGTCTCGCGACGCGTTGGTCGGGTGGATCGAGAGATCCGACAAAAGGAGCGTTCGATTGAGGATCGCGAAAATGCGCTGGTGCCATTCGATGAAAAGATACACGAGTCATCGCAGCAAGTCGATCGACTGCAGTCTCAAAACCAGAAAGTTGTAAAAGAGCGAGATGAGCAAGCAGACATTGTACAAAAGGTGCAGAGCGACATTGAAAGCGTTAATAAGGCTCAGTCAATTTTCGAAAAAAACATCCAGGAGCAGATGCAAAAACAAGGCGTGGCAATTAGCGATGCTGATCGCAAAGAATATAATACGCTCCGCAGCGAAGTCATTGCCAGCTCCGGTACAGATCATACAAAGCTTGAGAATCTGGAGAGGCAGCGCAAGGCAGATGAAGTCACGGTCAATAACCTGAAAGGCAAGGTTGACAGCATCACGGCCGCCATCTCCAAAACAGAGTCCGAGCTCAGCAGCATCGGAGAAAGAAAAGATGCCGTGGAGACCGTCACAAAGAGTCTTTCCAGTGAAATCGCCGCCAAGAAGAAAGAGTTCAATCAGCTCCAGTCCGAGCGTGTTCGAACCAACCAAAAAAGGACCGAATTAGAAGAAAAGCTGGAAGATGTCGCGAAAAAGCTGCGAGAGGCTGATGATGGGCGTCGCCAAAATGACCGCGAGACGCGCTTGAAAGATATGGTTGCATCTCTGAGACGCATTTTTCCTGGTGTACGAGGAAGAATCGGCGACTTGTGTACACCGAAGCAAAAAAAGTACGATGAAGCCATCATCGTGGCGCTGGGAAGAGATTTCGACTCGGTAGTTGTTGACACAGAGAAAACGGGCGTTGACTGTGTTCAGTACCTCAAGGAACAACGGTTTGCACCGATGACCTTCATTCCTTTGGACAACATTAAAGTCAACGCCGTGAATACGTCTGTTAAAGGCATTACTGGAGCCAGACTCACCATTGACACCATCAATTTTGATTCCTCCATTGAACGCGCGTTATCCTATGCTTGCGGAAGCTCTGTGGTTTGCGAAACTCTAGATGTTGCCAAGCACATTTGCTACGAGAAGAAGATTCCTGTAAAGGCAGTCACTCTAGAAGGCTATGTCATTCATAAAGCCGGTCTCATGACTGGTGGCCGAGGGCCCGAACCCAAGGGAGGCAAGCGAAAGTTCGAGGAGGCTGATGTTCAGAACCTCCAGAGGATGGCTACAAAACTGAAAGAAGAGATCGACCGACTCCCTCGCGCTGACCGACGTGGCAGCAAGGAGGAGACACTGCAGATTGAGCTAGCTGGCTTGGAACGTCGTGCCAAAGCTACTAATGAAGAGCTGGTGGTCTTCCAAGAGAACTTCTCGAGCAAGAAACGAGAGCTGGAAAATTTAAAGAAACAGCTTCGCGAAATCCAACCAAAATACAAAGAACAAGCAAAACAGCTCGAAAGCACCACTTCCACTGTACAGCAATTCCAGAACGCAATTGGAAAAGTGGAAGACGAAATTTTCTCGGGCTTCTGCAAGCGCCTCGGGTATAGCGACATTCGTGCTTTCGACGCTTCCCAAGGCAAACTCGAGCAAGAAGTTTCGGAGAAGAGAAATCAGTACGAGGTTCAGAAGCAGCGCCTGGAAAGCCGCCTCAAGTGGGAAGTAGCCCGACACAATGATACTGAGTCCCGTATCAAGAGAATGCAGGAGCAGATCAAGCGCTTGAAGCAAGATATCAAGGCCTATACCAAGGAAAAAGCCGATATTGAAAAGGAGATGCGCGAAGAACAGGACGAGCTCGAAGCTCTACGGGAAACGCTAGAGGAACATCAAGCAGATCTTGCCGAGAAGAGCGAGCGCGTTAACGAGGCCAAGGCCGAAGTACAACAACGTGGCAAAGATATTGAAGCTCTGCACAAGAGTATCAATGCCTTAGAAACGACGCTGCAAAAGAACAGTGCTGGTAAGTCTGGGTTGCTGCGAAGATGTCGGCTTGAGCAGATCCAGATTCCGCTCGCGGAAGGCGCGTTGGACAATTTGCCCAATGAAGACGATTTGCTGCGCCAAGATCCAGACGCCATGGACGTCGACGCTGAGGGCGAGGAAATGGTCGACCTTGCGCTGGACGATCACGGCATCGAAATCAATTTTGATGGCTTGGGTGATGACCTGAAGCAGGCAAGTGAAGAATTCAAAAAAGTCTCCCAGTATTGTGCAAAGAGCTAATTGTAGTGATCAGTCCGATGATCCGAGCGTGGATGATTCCCTCACAGAGCGCATCACAAACCTGACGAGTGAACTGGAAAAGTTGAACCCTAATATGCGTGCCATGGAACGACTTGAGAGTGTTGAGTCTCGCCTGAAACAAACTGATCAAGAATACGAAGACTCCAAGACTGCTGCGCAGGAGGCGAAGGAAGCCTTCAGCAATGTGAAACAGAAACGATACGAAATCTTCAACAAGGCCTTCACGCACATCCAGGAGCAGATCTCGCATGTCTACAAAGACCTGACTCGGTCGGATGCTTACCCCCTTGGAGGACAGGCTTACCTTGATATTGAGGAGGACACAGATATGCCGTACTTGTCTGGCATTAAGTACCACGCCATGCCTCCCCTGAAAAGATTCCGTGACATGGAACACCTTTCCGGTGGTGAAAAGACTATGGCTGCGCTGGCACTTCTCTTCGCTATTCATAGCTACCAGCCCAGCCCGTTTTTCGTTCTCGACGAGGTCGATGCAGCACTGGATAATGCCAATGTGGATAAGATCAAAAAGTACATCCGCGAGCATGCTGGTCCTGGCATGCAATTTATCGTCATCAGTTTGAAGACTGGTCTGTTTCAAGACAGCGAGAGCTTGGTAGGAGTCTATCGAGACCAAGAAGTAAACAGTTCGAGAACATTGACATTGGATGTGAGTTCGGCAATTCTCAATATGTCAGTCACTATTTGCTAATTTTCCGTGCTTCAGCTGAGGAGATATGCTTGAAATGACTATCGGATGGGAACAAGTTGTTGGAGTTATAGTGCTGGTATGCTCTGGGCGTTTCGATTGAATGGTACTTGTGGGCCCTGCGTTGTGATGCCTTATGTATTCCCTTTAGCTGCGTCGAGGCTTCGGCCAATGTTTTAACCACTGACAAAGCCGTATATACAAGTACGCTGGGACTTGAGTAATAATGCTGCCTTACGGCGCCCTTTCATACTTGTGGACGTCTACGTGATATTCATGGTCTACTACCTTACTACCTAGGAATGAAGGTCCTGGGGTTTCTGTCTCTCTAATTAGCTGATATCCTTGTGAGTGATCACTCGCGGGCCTTCGGACATTCAAAAGGAATGGCCGATATCCAATAGCTGTAGATGCTAGTGCGCAGTTATTATGGGTTCTAATCTCTCGAGAAATTCTGCGACAGTAGAAAAAGAGCAATTCCGTCGCCTACGCAATGTTGAGATTCGCCAGTTCTAAAAACCTATTGATGATGCGAGTCTCAGGGTGTACCCACTTTATTTAGTTGTGTTCACAGACTGGCCGATCCTACTACCTATCGTGCATCCCCCAAGAACATCAGTTGGAAAAACACCACCGCCGCCAAGTCACCGTGTACGCATGACTTTTTGCTAACAGATGACGTTGGTGGTGGTATACGCTTGCTCATCCGCCTTATACGAAGCGCAGCCGCGGCGGCCAAGCCCCTTTCGATCTACCGAAACTTAGCAACGACGTTGCGATCCAATGCATGGTTGAGTGGCTGCGCCTGCGCTAAACGACAACAATAACGACAACGAACTCGAGCATCGCAAAGTCAAAGCCGAAGTACAACTTCCATACAACATACGGCTCGCACAGTCTACGGTCATGGATCTCGCTGTCACATTAGTCAAATCGGTGATGCGAGCGTTCTACTCAACCAGGGATATACTAGTAATAGACGCGCTCATCCTCCATGAAGCGTATGCCTTGCTCGCGTTAAGGACAAAGCGAGACCCATTGCTAACAGTATAGTAGTCTTCGCGATGACGACCTGGCATACTTGATGGCTACAAATCCGAAAGATCTCCACAAAATATGCGGAAAACTTCGAGAAGATCGATTCCTGACAGTGTGAGTTTTCCACTCGGTCTACTATTACACGCAAAGATGGCTGACAATGGTGTATGAAAAACAGACATACAAGACCAGAACTTCGAGAAGGAAACCCGCGACCGAGTAATCGTACCTGGTACTACATAAACTATCGACACACCATTGATGCCATCAAATGGCGCGTGTACACGATCGACAAGGATGTCCAAGGAACAACGGAGCGGACAGCAGAGAAGAAGGAATACGTTTGTCCATTCTGCAAAGCTGAATGGTCACCTTTGGAGGTGTTAGACAGCCATGGCCCGAACGGTTTCATATGCCATCGCTGCGGCCATATCCTTACATTTGAAGCAGATCGTAATGCTGGTGGCCATGAACAGTCCACTCGACTGAACGACCAATTCAAGTTCATGAGTGATCTTTTACAGAAAATCGACAACGTACACATACCAGAGTGTGATTTTGATCGCGCTCTCGCGAAGGCTAGGCCGGTGGTTCGCGACGCTACACACCAAGTTGTGGCGACGATGCCTATGGATGCGAACCTCAACAGACCAATGGCTGTGAAGGGACTGACAAATACTGGTCCTCAGTTCATCTCTGTCAACATTTCTACGGTTGAGGGTGCATCAGAAGCAGAAAAAGAGGCCGAAATTGCCCGTCGGGAGAAGCTGGCGGCACAGAATGCATTGCCGTCATGGATGTCAAATAGCACTGTCACTGGAGAATCCTTCTCTGGCGCTATGGGAACAGGAATTACCGCAGTCAAGAAGGAAATTGGAGCCGGCGATGATTCAGAGCAAAAGCATGTAGACAGCAAGGCCATCGCTCAGATTGACGATATTTTTGAGACGCTCAAAGCCGAAGCTGCACAGAGGCAACAAGATAACCCTGAAGATGAGGAGGGCTCTGACGAGGACGAAGATAATTTCGAAGATGTCCCAGAGACTGTCAATGATCCAAGCTCGCATACTTTGGATATCAGCGAGTCGATGAAGCGGGACCCATCTGAGGAGGAGTTTAAAGACGAACCTGGCTCAGAAGACCACACCAGAAAGAGGGCAAAAATCGAGCCCAGTACTAAAACAGATACAGCGGTGAATGACATCGGGGACGATGATGATGATGAAGAAGAAGAAGAAGAAGATGAAATGGAATTCGAAGATGTATCATAGCTTTTAGAAGATGATTCTATCGATGCTTCTGAAAACTTGACATGCGCTTTCAACTGTGTTTCGTGCAGATCTGCCTCGAAATCACGGAGGTTTTCCAATTGGCAGCAAGTCGAGAGCTGAATACCGAAAAATTGCGGGTCAGCTGCTCTGCGGAGGGTCTCTCTGTCTGTGTTCAGCTTGTCTGCCATAGGTATGTTTGTGCTCGTCATAGTTCGTTAATACACTGTTTCTCACCCAATCATCCAGCCACTGGACAACAATTTCTTTCGCCTCCTTGCGAACAAAAAATCTCCGATTTCATGTCGCTATCTCTGCCAATCATCTTCCTCCTGCAGACGAATTTGAAGCCTGCAGAGTTACACGAGCTAGAGAAGAGCATCCCAACGCTGACCTATGATGTCCACGAAGCAGAAGTAGTATTGGGCAGAGTATCGCACAAGCAGCGCGCTCAGTTCGAGCTGCGCCGGTTGAAGCTAGATACGGACTCTATTGAAGCTGGTGCAATGGGACATGAAGCTGCTGAAGATGGGGGACCTGCTGGGCGGTACCCCAAGCGCCAGAAGCTAGAGTTGCCAGCGTCGTCTTCGGAAGCAGACAATTCTGTTGTGAGAGTTGTGCATTTGTCATGGCTAACTGAATCCTTGGAGAAACATGAACTCCTGCCGATGTCAAGTTACATTGTATATGAGGGACGGAAGAGGACACACAGCACATCGATGCTCGTCGATAGTCAAGTCGATTCGGGCAAGACAACAACCAGCGGCATCCTTGAGCGCGTGGCAGATGAAAAATCAGGCTTAGGCGAACGCCTGACTTCGCAGATTGAGGGGGGAGAAAAAGTAGAACAACATATGACCAAGTATCCGCCAGCGGGTGCCATTGCGAAACCGGGCTTAACCCGCGAATCGACGTCAGAGCACGACATTCAGCTTCCCCTCATCCCATATCATCTTCACACAACTTATTCGTGCCAGAGGCCTACTCCAATCAATCCGCCAAATTCCAGCTTTATAGATGAACTGAAGAGCATCCGAACGATTCGTCTTCTGCAGGGTGACAAAATAGGGGTACGCGCTTATTCAACATCCATAGCGTCAATCGCGGCGTATCCTTACAAGATACAGAAACCTCAAGGTACTGCCTTTACCCTGATACCCGAAGATTTGACTAGCATGTTGGATTCTAACTACCTTGCAGAAGTATCCCGCTTGCCAGGCTGCGGTAGTAAAATTGCCGAGCTGTATCAGGAGTGGCATGCAACGGGGCAAACTGAGGAGATGCGGGAATCCAAAGCAGACCCAAAAATAGATGTGCTGCGAATTTTCTACGACATTTGGGGGGTGGGTGATACAACTGCAAGACACTTCTACCAAAAAGGTACGCTCCATTCGTTCTAGAGCATTTGAGAAGAAGACATGTTAGTGACACTCTCAATCAGGATGGCGGGATCTGGATGATGTAGTGGAACATGGTTGGAAATCGCTTAGCCGTGTACAACAAATTGGGGTCAAGTATTACGAGGAGTTTCAGAAGAAGATTGGTCGCGATGAAGTCGCTCGGATAGCGGATGTCATCTTGGACCATGCTCACCGTCTAGACCAAGCATACGAATTGATTGTCGTGGGTGGTTATCGGAGAGGCAGGGAAGAGAATGGAGATGTTGATGTCATATTGTCACATAAAGAGGAACACAAAACATCACGTCTTGTGGAGAAACTTGTTTTGAGCATCGAGAACGACAACTACATTACACACACACTGAGTCTGTCAACAAGAAACAGCGAACGAGGCCAAGTACCGCTTCAGTGGAAAGGTGAAGGCAGCACATCGGGCGCAGGCTTTGACACCCTTGACAAGGCAATGGTTGTCTGGCTCGATCCAAAGGATGCGAAAGCGTTGCACCGGCGAGTTGATATTATTGTCAGCCCCTGGAAAACGGTCGGATGTGCCATCTTGGGCTGGAGCGGTGAGACGACATTTCAACGAGATCTCCGACGGTACTGTAAGAAGGAAAAGGGGCTCAAGTTCGATAGCAGCGGTATTCGCAATAGAGCAAATGGTAGCTGGGTCGATCTTGAGCGTGGTGATGGAAGCGCCGATAGCATGGAGGAAGCTGAGAGACGAGTCTTTGACGGACTGAATATTCCTTGGCGGCCGCCATGGGACCGATGCACAGGCTAGTGGCTCCATGATCAAGAGCATGCATGACCAAGGCAGAGACACAAGCTTCACACATGACTGCACAAACGGGCGATTCGTGAATCAAGGATGATGATTCGGGTATGGCTGAACAAGTATTATAGTAAGCCTCGGCTGCGCAATTCCATCCAACACAACCTGCCGGCAACCATTTGACACGGCCGTCTCAAGTTAGAAATGGGCCTCAATTACTTAAAAGATGAGCTTGTAACAAGTGTAAGCAGCGAGTCCCTTGATGGCAATGTCACTCAGGAAACTGCCAGCAAAGCCGCTGCGAAGGAGTCGTCAGCGACACGTCAACAACGGCAAAAGGGGGAGGTCAACGTACGGGACACGGCCCTTGGGACCAGCGTCGCTAGTGTAACCGAGGAGGTAAATTAGACGAGACAAGGACCAAACACTACCGATGGTGGCGGCGGGGATGGGATGTTGCACACCAGCAACAAGAAGGGCGCCGAGGAAAGGAGTCAGGTTTTCGGTATAATTGGCGTGGGCACGCTGGGCTATCAAAGGGAAAAGCAGGCGTTAGCAATGCAAAAAAAAAGTCGGACGGTTCTGTTCCAGAACAGCGGATGAGAGCCACATGTGTGTGTGCCCTTTTGCGTACCGCAGTTGAATTTGGAGGCGTTTGGGTTCTTGGCAGCTTCTTCCTCGGAGGCATAGGAAGCTGGGAAGGCGATTTTGGCGAGATTTCTGAATTTGGAAGTGCGCATCATGTGGAAAGTGTTTAGAAAGAAGGTGGTGGTAGCAACTGCGAGAACGTAGCTGTGTAGAAGAGTTGTTAGGACTTGTGCCTGTGTTGGGGGGTCTCTTTTTTGGGGGGGGGGGGATTACTCACCTGTACTGATCGGGAACCTCAAGCGCGACAGGCATTTTGGCGGTGATGAGAGCTCTAGGATAAATGGTGTTGATTCAATTGAGTTTCAAAGCTGTGTGAATGATACAAGGGTGTGATATCAGGGACAGGTTCGAGGGCGGGACATCGGCCGCTTATATGCTAGTTTTCCCCCCCTAGTTGACCAGACTCCGGGCTTCAAAGAATAACTAGTTAGGCTAGGTAGCCGGCCGAACGCGCGGACGGTGCCGGCGGGGCGGGCACGACTCCGGCCATCTGAGGCCCGAGGCGCTGCTTGAGATGGAAAACTAACATGGGGCAAAGTCAAAAGTCCTCAGCGTGTAATTAGCTGAGCTTACGCCCAGTTGTCTCCGCCTGCCTGCAAGTATGTACATACAATGAGTCAATGGCGCGCCGACGCACTTGCAGCAAGGGTATTGCGGAGAAATCAATCAACAGTTGGGAACAGTTGGTGCGTGTGCTTCCCCTGAATTAATGGCGCGGATTACATGATCACGGATGGGTCGGGTTAATGTTGATTGATGGATCTAATACTTGCTAACGCGACCATCTTTTCTAAAATACGGAGGACCGCTACGGATCATCGGCAAAGCAGCCCGTCGCTAGATTTCGCAAGAGCTACGAATACAAGGACAAAAAGTCCAGCCAGACATGAAAAGAAGAGTAAAACAGGTAAATCCCTTGACATGGTCTCTGCTCTGTCTGTACCGGGGTCCGCCGGACAAGCATCATCCCGATTTACCGCTTAAATCCGTACGAATCGACGTTGAATGCCACGTCAACTTGCGCAGCCTTGCAAACTTGCGATGCATCCTGCCAGCCGCCAGCGATTGCCTCGGAAACTTGTTTAGCCAGCCGGGCTCAGTGCCCCGAGCCGACCAGATGGTCCGCGAGCTATAAATGGGCAACTTTCTACTTAGTACTTACCTGTAGGTATAACTTATAAGTATCAGTTGGTGGTACCAAGGCTTGCCTGTTTAGCCGGCTTGCCTAGCCCACCAGTGCCCGCCTCCGCAACACTCCCAAACTCCGCAGCAACAAGTATATCAGCCCAAGCACCATCTGTAATATGGCGCAACGAACGACATGAGAAAAGCCGCCGATTGCAGCAGGGCTCCCGAGGCAATAGCTTCGATTCTTTGACACGTGTCCTTATTAGTCTTATTCAAAATGGCTTCTATTCTGTCCTTCTGTACTAGTTATAATCATCTCACCTTCGCCAAAAACACCCTCTGCTCCCTCCAGAATATAAACCTGAATGTACCTACAATTACTGCATGTAGCCGTTTTCTCTGAGCCAAGCCACGACATCTTCAGAGTCCCTTTCGACCCAAGACAGCTTGGCCTGCACAGAGTCGATGACCTGGCGCACCGAATTGTCGATACCCCGGGTGTCCTTGTGCTCAAAGAAAGTCTTGAATCTCGATAATTGCTCAGACGTGCCCATGTTCTCGCAAAAGTCCTTTACGAGATTTTTGAGCATCGACAAGCCAGGCGGGAAGCGCTCACAGTATTGATCCCAATTGTTTAAAAGGTGCTGCCATGCCACCTCGGCGCCTGTGCGACTGCTGCAAACACCCCTGACTGGAATGTAAAGATCCTGATCTTTGATGGCGTCACCGCTGTCCATGGCGGCAAACAGCTGCTCAATGACCTTGGGATCGCTAGCATAGCCGCACCCTTTGAGAGCAGCAATGCGCTCATCGGAGACGCTTGAAGTCTGGTAGAGGTTCAAAAGTTGAGCCAGCTATTTGTTGAACGAAGGAGAAGAAAAAAGTCAATGTTTATGCAATAACGTGTTTCATGATCCCCGTCTTACATACCTCAGTCTCACCACCATATCGAGATACAATTGCGTATACGGTTGTTCTTAGCGTTGGATGAAGTGCGGACGCATCTCCATCTAGGCTCTTGCGAAAGACCTCTTGCGCGGCCTGGATTGTCACTTCATCGCCGCACATAGCAGCCGCCTTGATAATAATATCCTTGAACTGCTGTTCAACATGACCGTCTGTCTCATTTATGCTGTGCCCAAGCTTGCGGACAATTGGCGTGACGAGTTCTTTTCTGAAAGTTTTGAGGCCCTCGGTCACAGCCGCATCCTGAAACATCCAAGCAATCGAAATCTGGTTGAGACCAACAAGGAGCTCGTTCCAGACAAAAAACGAGGCCTCGTCTTTGAAGCTCTGCGCTAGTGTGAGGAAAGTCGACGTCTTCGTGTAGCCTGCCGCAGTCAAGGCTGCCGCGTCTGCGACCAAGCCAGTTCTGTCTGCAACACCCAAAATGCCCGCCTGGGCGGCCTGGCCGAGGCGAGCGAGGATTTCAGGTGAATAAAGGGTTCTGTAGATCGAGGTATGATCAGCATTCAGCTTAAAGAAGCTGCCAGCTTGGACATTCAATGTAATTTCCCGGTCTGCCATCACCATAGAGCGGTCGACACCAGCTTCCGTGCGTAGGCCGAGAATTACAGGATAAACAATCTTGTCATCTTCGGGTGTGACATCGCCGGTGCGAAGGAAGCGATTCTGCTGAATGGTGACCGTCTTTGTAACATTGTCCTCCGAGACGGACAAGACCGGGTATCCAAGCTCCCGCGTCCAAGGGGCGATAACTTCAGTGACCGGCTTTCCACTCGCCTCACTCAGACAATCCCATAAATCGTCGGTAGTGGTATTTTTGTAACCAAATTTTCGAAGATAGTCTCTGATACCCTTCAAGAACACATCCTCCCCGAGATGGACCGAGATCATGCGAAGGACAGAGCACCCCTTTTCGTATGAAATAGCATCAAATATCTGGCTGATTTCGTTGGCACTCTTAACCGGCACCTCAATAGGGTGGCTACTCCTGAGAGAATCGAGATCCAGAGCGTCTTGCAGCGAACCGATGACAAAATCGGCCCAAATGTTCCATTCGGGATAGAACTTATTGGCACCGTACAAGGAAGCCCAGGTGGCAAAACCCTCCTTGAGCCAGAGGCCTTCCCACCACTCCATTGTCACGAGATTGCCGAACCACTGGTGGGCAAGTTCATGGATGACAATGTCGGTAACACGACGTTTGCGGCCGGCACCGGCATTGGCTTCAATCAGCAGATCAACAGCTCGATACGTGATCAAGCCCCAGTTCTCCATGGCTCCCTCTGCGAAATCAAGGACAGCAACTTGATCCATCTTGGGCAAGGGGAAGTCAACTCCGAATTCTTTCTCAAACAGTTCGAGAGTCCGCGCACCGAGATCGGCTGCGTGGCGGCCATGCTCGACATTCTGGTCAATGGTTACATACGTGCGAACTGGAATGCGAAAGAGGTTGGATTCGACGTAGTGAAGCTCGCCGACGATGAATGCGGTGAGGTAGGTGGACATGATTGGCGAAGTATCAAATTTGACAGCCTTGCGAGTTTTGCTCGTGGTTCTGGACTGCACCAGGGTCTCAAACTTCACGGGCATGTTACTCAAACACGTCAAATGGTGATCCGCAATCAAAGTGATGTCAAAAGTCGCTTTGAGTGCCGGTTCGTCGAAACAAGGGAACGCCTGTCTAGCCCCTGTAGGTTCCATTTGTGTTGTCGCAATGTAACCCTTCGTACCATCAATCTTGGTATAGCCTGAGCGGTAGAACCCAACCATTTTGTTGTTGAGTTGCCCATCAAAGGCCAACTCGAGCTGGGCCTTGTCGCCCTTGTTGAGACGCCCGGCAAAGGAAATGGTGGTCGTCTGACGCTGCTCATCTTGAACGATTGCAAGGCCTTGGCTTTACAGTATAAAATCAGTACGTAGTTCTGAAGCGTGGTTGAAACATGTGAATGTTCTTCATTTTTTTGTCCCGAGGCGGTGAAATGGCCAATACAACCTGGCAGACACCGTCGCCGTCAGCAGAGTCGCAACCTACCTGATCTCTGTACCTCCGGATGTAATATTTACAGCACGAATACCAATTTCCAGAGAGTGAAGAGTAATTGAACTGGAATCCTCGACGATGTCAAGGTCAATCACAACTTTGCCATTGAAGGTGAATTTGTCAAAGTCGGGCTCGAGTTCTAATTGGTAGTGGCGCGGAATGACGCTGGAGGGGAGTACATCACGTTCCAGGGCCTTGTTCGCCACAAGGGATTCGGTGGCTCTGCACATATTTTCGTTCCTTGGTAAAGCCGCGCAGAGAACCCCCAAAAAAAAGAAGATGGTCGAGAAGAAAAGGAATTCCAAGCTTGAATTTGAGAGCCGTCTCAGCTCAACTAATAAGTATGACACAAAAACTCGACAGCCCACCTTCCTAAAGGAGTCAACCAGGCGCCCCGCGGCGGGTCGCAGAGCATCAGGCCCAGTGACGCTCAATTCTCTGGTGAAATCGTGTATGCAATTACTAATAGTTTGCTGATGTACTTTGCGAGGCTGATTTTACGCTAGCCATCGAGGTATCTCGAGCCTGCTGAATTGGAGTCGGTGAATGTGTCGATTGCATACTCCCTCAAGGCATGAACGGTCGCGGCGAAGTGGCCAGGATGAGTGCCTCGGCTTGGTGGTCAGGCTTGGTAGCACTGTCAAGTAGATTTATCTTGCAACTGGACATACATATCAATATCAATTATTAAAGATTATTTAAGAAAGACCTAGTAAGCATCATCATATTAAAGCGCTAGTTAAATGTAAGGACTGGTTCGGGGTTTTGATGTAGTTGGGTTTGGGGTTAGGGTCAAGGGTCAAGGGTTAGGGTCGGGGTCGGGGTTAACAAAAAGATACATTCCACGCCCTAGCGGCGCATATAGCGACGACGAAGCTCTTGATTTAATATGTCATTGTCCTTGGACATCTCTTTGACCGTTTCAATCCCATTATTGCCCAGCAAATAATCGGCCACATACTTCATCACAAAGAACATCTCTCGACCAGTCGGGATGATCTCCTCGTCCGGGAGCAAAAATCCATAAAGGCCATGGTCACGTAGCTTAATCTGATAGCTGAAATGAGCGCTCATGTCTTGGTAGAACCAGTCCATGACAGAGCCGGCACCTTCGTTGATTCTGCTGCGTGAAAACCCAAGTTTTGTGCTATCTGCAACCATGGCAGCGTCGCACGCTGGCGAAACACTATACGACTCTCCAGTGGATATACGAATCGTCTTTGCGATACCAGCCGCCAGTTCCTCCAAATTTTCCAAGTTTGGAGGCTCAACGGCACAGGAATATGCATACGGAAAAAGAATTTGCTGCGAGTAAGAGTGATAATCAATCATCCCTACAAACTTCACATCATTCTTCTCCGTCTGTTCGCGAGCCCATTTTGCAAAGGCTGCAGCTTCAGCGGCCTCGAATGGTTCTTCGCCGCCGTAATCTTCAGAGCAAGGATCACCCGGCGTATGGTCGGAGGAATCGCCAAATCCAAATGATCGATCCAGGTCGTAGCCTTTGCACATTCGAAGACTGGTTTCCTGTCTGGATTTGCGCCAAAGTCTATCACTTTGCCAAGAGTATTCCATGCCATCAGGATTCAGCGCCGGAATGATGACAACGTCAAAATGGTGCAAAAACTTGGTAATGACCGGATCTTTGTTAAATTCGGTGATGAGTGCCCATGCCACATAATTGGCTGTGGTAGTCGAAATCCATTCTCGTGCATGAAGACCAGCTGTTATTACCATGGTCTTTCTTGGGCCATCTCCAGCATCCACGCCAGGGCGACCAACTCGAAGAGCAGGGATATCACGCCCTTCCGAGGATTGCCCGATAGACATGTATTTGACGTGCTCTGGGAAGATGGATTCGAGCAGCTGCATCCACTGCATGACCGTCTTCAAAGGGTGATATCTTAAGAAGAAAAGATCATCGAACACAGTAAGGGGGTTGGGGTACCGTTCAGGATTACTCTTGGGCCCTAGTAGACGTGATGGCGTATCTTTGGGTAGAGAATCGTATACCGCTCTCGAAAGGTCGGATATCAATGCGAAATGTGAAGACTGAAGCTTTTCTGGAAGTAGGCCGAGGAGTGGCGAGACCTGGTTGGTCGGCATGCGAATATCGACGTAGTCACGAGTGACACCCCAGACATCGAGAAAGAGGCGACTGGAGGCTTCAGCAAGAGCTTTCTCCTCTTCCATATTGGTAACATTGAACCGCATGACAATCTCGTTGGCGTATTTGTTGCGTAAGCTGTTGATGCTAGCCATGGACCTGGCAGAGTCTTTGGTGGGATGTCGACCGAAGAGTACTTCTACCGCGCTGTCTCTAAGCTTGGTCAAAAATGGAAATAGAGGCGCATTTCCATCACTGGCGCGTGCATGCGCCTGAGGATTGCCTCCATCGCGACCGAACTGAACATTTTCTCCGAGTCTGTGGGCGGAGACGACCGCCAGCAGCGCGGTTGCAAAACTGATTGTCTTCATCGGGAGCCGGGCATGAGTAGCGCTCGCAGGACCGCTGGATGGATGCTGCGACACAGTAGGTCGAGGAGAATGGCAAACGATGCGGGGTAGGTAATATGTCGAACTGCAGAGAGATTCATGTACTGGAGAAGCGATGCAGCTGGCTTTCTGCTAAGGAAGCTCTCGGCATTGTGTTGGCTGCCTAGCGATGAATGCTGCAACTTGCTCCGCCGGATACGGCATCGAGGAAAGTAATGTCATGTCACTAGTTAACGGCTGGGGGGGAAGAAGGAGGGGTGGGGGGATGGTTGGCTGCGACTCTGCTGTCTGCCTCTTGTCGAACTATTTAGTGGCCGCGCAATCACTGAAACTCTCAACCGCCACCAACCTTAGGTATCCCCCCACTGTAAATAGATACTTGATCGATGTTACGGCCAAGGCAATACTCTGTGATGAGCATCACTACCTGGGTACCTAACCTAAATACAAGACGTTTATATTTAGTCGGCATACAGTGCATGACGCTCTGAACAAGGGCTTGTTACAAGCATTAAGGCAGATTCATGCGCAGCTAGATTTGCAGCAAAGCACAAGGCAGGCAGTCATCCATCTGTCTGGGTTGGTAGGTAATTCTATCTAGGTAAATAAATTACCTACTTACCTAGGTATCCTAACAAAGACAAATCTACGCAAGGGAATATTGAATACCTATGTACCTGCCTCCTAAATGGAATGGTACCTATTTACCTAGACATCTACCTACTTAGCTTAGTACATACGTGTACGCACCTAGGTACCTATTTGCCTGGAGGAAGATACCTACGTAGGTAGGTACCTAGGTAGGTATACTTACCTAAGGTATTCAGAAGACTAGCTACCTAATTTTAGCGCACCATCTGCGCGTTTACTCTGGGCCGAAGTCTAGCCCCTGGCTTGCGAAGCACCAAGCTCCACTTGAACTGATTGAATACTTGTCGCTCCAGCGCCCAATTGCCCCAATTGAGAACATCTCGTAGTCAAGCCTTGAAACCTCGCTGTTCCAACCCTTTCGCCTCGCTACTTTGACTTCCTTTCGAGTAAGCTGCGGCACAGCCAGCATTCATCATCAAAGCTTCCGCGCTGCTTAGCATGCTTCAAGCCTAGGTTCGGCCCTCGATTCTCCGTCACCCCAGCCAGAACGGCCACCAGGGACTTTCGCGCGCTCTACCATGCATGGCGATCCTCGCGATGCCTTTTCTACGCCGTCGTGGCAACCTGGCCAATGAACCCGATGCACGACAGCAACATACTTCATCAAAGGGCGATGACCCTGCCAAAAATTCCACTGTTTCTGCGAGCCATGATGGACAGACCATAAAATTCGACGACCGTGCCACCACCACGACACAAACTCCCCGCGAATCGACGACCAGCCGGCCTGATACGTCACACAACCATGACGATCTCAATAGACAGAAGCGTTTCTCCGTTCTTAGATTCAGGAACGCCTCGGATTCGCAGCTCTCCTTGAGAGCGAAGCAGCAAGCCGAACACTTACCGCCCTTGCCTTCAAGTACTTTACAATCACCGTGCCGCCTTGTAACCTCTTATCTTGTGGCTAACGTGAAACCAGCTCCCGCCATCATCACCACCGCACCGACTAACGATATCAATGGACCCCGTAGAGTCAAATCACGGATGAGCTTGGCTGCCGCCAAATTTCGGCGCTCCAATGACATTCCTCGAGACGGTGACCAGCAAAGCCGACCAAAGAGCCAGAAGCAGGCTAGAAAGTCATTCAACGATGCCAGAGGGCGACCTACCATGGCGAAGTTGGACGAACCTCAGTCCCCGCCGCTAGAATCACGAACCTCCACTACATCCAATGGAACGTCGTTAACTACACCAGCTTACCGCCCTTCTGAGTCCTCAAGGTCCGACGCCAGTTCCACCGACAATGCCTTGTTATCGAGTCCTAGCACCACACCAAAAAAGACGCCAACATCCTCCATCTTTCGACTGAGAAGAACGAAGAAGACACCAGAGCCTCTATTTCCCCTAGCACACTTGCCACAAAGGAGTAAGACCGGGGTCGTCTCGCAGTCAGCATCAACATTGAACGTGGCGGCTACACCCCGTCCAGCTTCGTCGTGGAGCGCCACAACCCCCAAAGCAAACCTCGATGGCATCGATAGCAAGCAAGCCTCGCGATCCTCCACAATTGCTGCTCTGCAGACAGCAGATGGTCGCTCTGGGCAGTCATCACCTACCAGGGCCAGCATGTTGCGCGGCCGTTCCTCAACCTTAAGCTCGCTAGGTCGCGACTCTACTGACGATCACCTCACCCTTCCACATCCTAGGACGTCTACGTCAACCGGTCGGAAGAGCTTTGGAGATTTATTGGGTATAAGTCGTCTTCGTCAAAACTCGGACCTCGCACGCCAAGGATCTCTGACTCCATTGACCCCAAGCTCCATCCCCTCGAACAACAACTCTTTTCAGTTGAGCCGCGATACCTTAATTTTGCCGGAAAGAAAGAATGACGAGTCAGCTGCCAAGTATTTGGAACACCTGGAAGCCGACGTTCCACGCGGCATCATCGCGGCAAGCTTGGCCAAACACACGGATCCATTTTTCAGCACTGTCTTACGAAGTTTCATGAGACGCTTCAGCTTCTTTGGCGACCCTATGGATATGGCTTTGAGAAAGCTTTTAATGCAGGCCGAGCTGCCAAAGGAGACACAACAGATCGACCGATTTTTACAGGCTTTCGCGAACAGGTACCATGAATGCAATCCAGGCATTTATTCTTCTCCTGACCAAGCATACTTCATCGCATTTTCGCTGCTCATTCTCCATACCGATGTCTTCAACAAGAATAACAAACACAAGATGCAAAAATCAGATTATGTCAAGAATACCCGCGGAGAAGGGATCTTTGACGACATCCTAGAGTGCTTCTACGACAATATATCCTACACTCCCTTCATCCACGTCGAGGACGATCTGGACCTTGCTGCCGATCGAAATGCGGCGATCAAGTCGAAGCGAAAACCTCGTGATCCTGATGCAAGCGGCAATACCACTGCTCGCGCAGCCAAGGATCCTATCGATCCATATACACTTATTTTTGAAGGTAATCTTGAACCTTTGCGGCCGAATTGGAAAGATACAATGTACTTGGAAGACCACTTCAATTACCTTGGTACAGCAACCTGTCTCAATATGAACGATCTACAGAAGACATTCTTTCGTACGGGTGTTTTGCAAATCGTATCGCCGAGATCCCGTCCCGACGCATTCATGTCTGAAAAGACGGCTACCAATCCTGAAGAGGCTTCGCAAGGCATTGTCGACATCAAAATCACGAAAGTCGGTTTACTCTGGCGCAAAGATGCCAAAAAGAGGAAGACTCGTTCGCCTTGGCAAGAATGGGGGGCCATACTCACTGGCGCACAGCTGTATTTTTTTCGCAATACAGGCTGGATAAAGAGCCTTATACACCAATACGAAAACCACATCAAGTCTGGGAACGACGACGTTCCTATCACTTTCAATCCTCCCCTTCACGAGTTCAAGCCGGACGCATTAATGTCCACACAAGGTGCAGTGGCATTGCTTGATACGACATACAAAAAGCATAAGAATGCATTCATTTATGTACGGCAGGAGGGGCTCGATGAGGTGCTCCTCGCGGACAATGAGGACGAGCTAAACGATTGGCTGGCAAAGTTGAATTACGCTGCTGCTTTTAGAACGTCGGGCGTGAAAATGCGAGGCATCGTCGGCGGAAACTATGATGGTCAAGGTAGGAGAGGCATGAGACGGCTCGATAGCTCCGATGGCATTCAACTGGTCCAGACGCCTACAGGACCTGTTACCATAGCGCGGGGCAAGATTGACCACAAGATGGCCGAGGACATTCAGATCGCACGCCGCGGATACATGCAGGCGCAGATTGCCCAATCCAGCCACAAAGTAGAGGAGGCTCAAAAACAACTCGAAGAGCAGCTACGGAACGCTCGTCATCTTCAAATATTAGCGCCCATTCAGCCGAGGACAAGAGAAAATGTTCTGTCTGCAGCGGCTCGTTTGAGTGCACAGCTCAAGTGGACTCGAATGCAGATATGGAAAGAAACTTGCCACCGAGACATCCTGCTTCAAGATTTCAATGAAGATCTCCCAGCATATCCGGCTCTGTCGACACCAAAGAGCAAGCAAAACTCGGAGCAGGACGGCTCGCCAACCCCGAAGCCTCCCCTTGTCAAAACAGAATCGAAAGCGACCAAACTCAGCGCGAGTGAAAACGATCCTGTCACTCCTACAGACTTGTGCATCGCCCGATTATCTAGCACGGCGAACACGTCTACGGATAACGATGCGCCAAAAGAAGTTGAAGGCGACGCTCTCTCTTCCACCAATACAGCATCGCCGATAAGAAGCCCAGTCTCCAGCCCCAGGCCAACGACGGGACGGCCTTCAAGTGGGCAAGAGAGCACACAACCACGCAAATCTACCGAACTGGATGAGATGGATGCCGAAGAACAAGATCTACTGAGGCAAGCAGGGCTTCTTGAAAGCCGAATGGGCAAAGATACTGTTGACAAGCCGAATACGCCTCTCACTGCCGTTTCAGCGGATACATCAGCCGAACGCGATAAGTTGGAGCGATCAAAAGTTCGCCGCAGTCTCCAGCGTACTCTTAGAGAGAGTGCAGGCCATTTGTCTCATCACAGGAGCAAGAGAGGAAAAGAGCCCGATTCCACTCGGTCGGAGGAGACTGGAAGAGATAGCATGCTATCGCGTGGCACGGGCAGTTTTGTTGTTCATGGCAAAAAGGCTTCCGTCATCAACCTGGGCACTGAGATTCAAAACATGTCCACTGACGACAAAATCATTGCGTTGAAACTGCAACATCAAGGTGATCAACCTCCATCCCCTAGCTTGAGCTACGGCGGCGACGAAGATTTCCATTCTGCTGTTGAGGTCTCATCAGAAGGTGGTGATTCACGAGATCGACGAGAATCCTCAGCAAGTGCGAATACAGCTACTGCCTTGAGCTTCCGGGAGCTTCACCGGAAATATTCGTCAGCACAGGCTGCTAGGATTGTTTCCGCTAGCGGACGTCTTGCAATTCCATCCGATGGTGAAAGTGAGGCTGCTGTGAGTTTCTCGGATGGACGAAGGTCGCCCCTACCGCCTATTGAAACCGAGTCCGATGAGGACAATGCTGAACCAAACACGAATGGAAGTTCTCCGGCAAAAGCTATTCTTGACTCGAAGACTGATGACAACCCGGACAGCGATAGCGATAAGGATGAAGACAATCGAGAAGAGAAGCGTGATCTAAGTCCAGGCCTGGCCAGGCTTGCTAGCCGCGCACTGCGGGTGGCAGATGCATAAATGTACTAAAAAAACCCGAAAAGTTGCGCCATTGCATTCGAACATACTGCTCTTGCTAGACACAGTAGTAGTAGGGGAAATGATTATTTGGCGATTTACATATGTCTTATTTAGCGAGTGTTTGGGGTGAGCGGGGGCAACAAGGAGGAGAAAACCGGAACATATGCAGCACAGAAGCGTGTATTCATTCATAGGAACAGAAAACAAAACTATAGTAGTATTTTATTTATCCCTCCTTATGTGATGCCATACTGGTGCAAGGCTGCTACACTGGCTGCTTGTTCAGAATATGCATATCTGAATCATATCGCATAGTTTACACTCTTGCAATACGACTGGTCACATGTATTCCTAGGCGCCGCGGAGACGAATTGGAGCAGCTCCGCGGTTCTATTTCTTGCCCTTCTTCTTCTTCTTGGCTCCGCCACCACCGCCACCGCCAGCTTTCTCGACCTTGACGCCACCACCGCCAACAAGTCCCAACGTCTCCTCCTCCTTGACGACGCCACCCTGGGTCGACTCGGCAGCCTTCTTCTTGCCCTTTTTATTCTTTGGCCGGTACGACGAGCGGTCTCGCAGAGGAAGCCAGCGCTCGGGGTCAGGGACCTTGCCCTCTTCGTAGTTCTTTGGTAGGCGGCGTTTACGGCGCTTTGCAGTCGCCTTCTCGGAGGCATCGGGGGCCGCACGCTTCTTTGTGTTGGGTCGGCTCGGGGCAGCCGCAACACCCGCCTGAAGAAGGCTCTTCACGTTGATTCCCTTGATGAGGGACTCGACGGGCGGAAGCTCAGACATGTGCTGGCTAGTCTTGTCTGTGTCCACAGCGGCTAGCGAGGCAACCAGGCCAGCAGAGGCAATGTGAGAGCCTTTGTGTTCGGCAAAAAGCTTCTCAAACGCTGATCCTGCCAGCTTCAGATCTTCAGGGTTCGATGAACGCATAAGCTCGATGCCGGATTCCCTCAACAGAGAGTCCGAAGACGCGGTAGGGCGACTCGTCCAGTGCTTAGCGGCCGTGACAAATTCGGCTTTGGCAGAGTTCTCGTGTCCCTGCGCGCGCATCAAAGACACCGCCAGTGCAACCAGGCCAGGACAGAAGCGAACGTCTCTTGCAGCATCAGTGTCTTCCTTCTCTAGCCGAGTAAAGAAATTCTGAAGAAGAGACAACGCTGCTCCCTTGCGGCTGAGACGGAGCTGAAGCTGGATGATTGTAAGAATGAGGCCCACGTCCAGAGGTCGCTTGGCAGCAAGGGTCTGGAGCTTTCGGACAGCTGCTCTGTCATCCAGCCCATGGGCCACAGCAGCCGCATTCACGACCGCCATGGCATTGACGCTAGCGCAACTCGTTGGCTGTTCTGACTGCTGAAGTAACTTGTGTGATTTTTCCTGGACGCCGCTTGATTTATGAACGTCCAAGTCGAGAAGAAGTGAATTTTGTCGCTCGCGGCTCGACTGATAGCTGAAGAGCTTGGCATTTTCTGCCTTGACATCACCGGCATCCATCTGCCTACGTAGGAGGTATGGGTTGGTGGGCTTCGCTTCGAGTGAAAGACGATTCTGTCGGGCAACAATAATAAAGTCCTCGTCGTCATTGCTAGAGGTAGAATTAGTATGGTTGAGGCGCAAGAAAGACCCCAAATTGCCACGTTTCATACCTGATTGACCCTATCGAGTTGTAAAGATCAAGCGCCTCATTTAACTTCCCCTCTCGGGCATAGACATAAGCCTGCTGGAGCCATATAGGACGCAGCTCTGCTTCTCTATCCTCTTCGTCCAAGTCGTCGGAAGCCTTACAAAGCGAGGCTGCCCGTTGAAGCAGCTTGGTTGCTTCGCCAAGCTCGCCTCTAGCGATGCTTGCGCAAGCAATGTTGTAACACAGTTCAAACGAATCAGGCATGCTACGAAGTGGCTCTGACGGCGCAGACAGGCCACTCCACTCAGCTTGTGCATGCACAGCCTTTAGGTTGATATTCAGGTCGTTTTCTTCGTCCCCCGCATACCCGTCGAGCAGTTGCTCGTAAATTTGACCTGCTTCGCCAAATCGTTCGGCCCTGTAGGCAACCTGAGCGGCAATATGCTGCAGGCTACGCTCACGCAGGCCAGCCTTTTTGAGTATCGAAGTGGCCTCTTCAAGCTCTCCTGATTTGTAAAGAGCATAAGCCTTCTCGAGAATGCACTTGTTTTCTAGTGCGGAGCCGCTCTCGGCAAGGAAACGGGCGGCATCGTCGAATCGGTCGAGCTTGAGCAGTGCCACAAGTTTGGTGTGCCTAGCGAGAATATTGCTCTTGTCGGCCTTGATTGCGGCATTGGCGGCTTTGAGAATCTCCTCGTCATCGTCGATCGTGGCGCCACGCAGCAATGCGCTGAGGGCAGCGGCTGGATCTGGGGACATGGTTGCTGTACTCAATTCATCGCTTGACGCAGGGGGTCTCTGGCTTCTCGAGGCTCTGTGACGACAGGGCGATTGGTCGTCGTCGGCAAGGTTCAAGTCTATGGTTCGTACTCGATAGCAAGGGTTGCTCGGGTATCAACAGGTGGATAGGTCTCGAAGTGTCCTGTGACCGCAGAGGCAAGCGTGACGAGGCGTTTCTTCTTGGATGTTCAGCTTGCGACCAGCTCCGGTGATTTTTTGGATCGCGGGGTTGCGGCGTTGTGGGCGATGGTGGGGCTTGTCGCTGTAGTTCACTGTGTAAGGCCAGATTTCGATCATGCAATGCCACTGCCAAAGAAGAGATGAAATAAAAGAAGAGATGAAATATCAAGTAGATTCTACTGCATGATATTTCCTCATTAAGTTTTCACGTGTAGAATCGTGCGTCGTTATCTAGCGCAAGTTTCTGCCTCCATTGATCAGGTACAACACAACGTGGCTCTTAAAAAGGTCGCTTAGTTTCGGCTTCTGAACCTATTCCACCAGCTTCTACCTTTCACGTCCGCGCCTCGTCTCTCCAGGGAACGTATCGGATAATGTACATGAGGCTGGTTCACTGAGCCAGTCTGTCTCCGTCGGCGAATCTCGCCGATTTTGGTACTGTCAGAGTGCATGGTTTCGATCGAAGTGGAACCGCGAAAGCCTCCCTTTGAGCCAGTTCGCCTTGATGTTTGGCTTAGAGCCTCGCATGATCTTTCTACCCCTTTCCTCCTCGATTCCTGCTGTTTGGAAATACTTGATCTATTCGATGCTCGGCTTGATTTTCCCTTCCTTCTAAGCCGATCGTTGTTGACTTTATTTGAGAGGCTTGATATGGTGCTCATTGCTTGTTTCCGTGATGACTGTGACAAAGACAGAAGCGACGGATAGTCGAGGGGCGATGCTGGGTTATACTTGAGCATATCAACAACCTTCTTGATAGTTTCCTCAATCTTCTTAACCAGCTTGCGTAGCGACTGGCGTGATTGATCTACACTCTCGTCAGTTACAGCGGAGGTACGATACTCCAATTGGGATACTTGCGGTCCCCGACATGCAATGCCGTTCCACAATGGGAGAGCTGAGCCGAATAGACACTGTCCAATTGGCTTCTATCAGAGCGAAGTTGGCGACGCAGCTGGCGGCCCGACTGAAGACTTTCCTGACGTTGGTATGTCTTATTTTGGCACAATTTGCGGACCAGCGACATGCATCTGCCATATGTATCCAGCAAAAGTGCGATTAGTTCTCCAAAGTTTCCCATGACGAGATTTCAATGATCAATTTTTGATGATGAGAGGGCCGCGTAGAAAGATTCGTTAGCAGACGAATAATCGTTCGGCGGCTCAAGAGCGCACGTGGTTGGCTCAGTCACACAGATTCATGTTTACGCCATATGCCAGAGAGAAAAGAAGAATCAAATGCTCTCAGGCTCAAAACTTCGGCACTGTTTATTATACGCTGGCCTAATATTAGTTAAAATCGCAAACATGCAGATTCAGTTGCTTGCCATTCAGCGCTCAGGGCATCTTGCGCACTACCTACTACCTAGGTAGGTAGGTATAGGGTGCGAGTCAACTACAGTTGAGCGGGCCAGCTTTGCGATAGTGCACGACAGCGCATTCCCGCGTTAACCTCACGCAATCTTACGACTTTGCACGCCAGCATTTCCTTAAAGCATATTCGCTCCTGATTATCCCCGATAATAATTCTACGCTCAACTTTTGTTTGAATTGTTCAGAGCGTGAGCCACTCCGACTACCATTTCTACTAGCTACCGGCCCGAATCTCAAGTGCCTTGCGGAACAAGTCCAGCTGCGATGGATCTGGATATTGAGATGGGCGATGCCGTCGAAGGTAGCCACGACGCTTTAGTCGCGCATGATCCCGTGGCAGATGATATTCTGGTATGATGGATTCATGTCATCGAGGCTGCTCCTCGTAACTAACGCCTTCTCAGCAACCCGACGAGGTGGACGAGCCCGGCGAAATCGCGGACGACGAGCCAAAGCCCGACGAAGACGCTACTATTGTACCGAACAAGATCAACATAAGTGGTGTTGATTCGCTACACACAGACGACATCAAGGCGTATGTCAAATCCCACTTCGCTCCTGTTGACAGAGTCGAATGGGTTGATGACACGTCCGCAAACTTGGTGTTCGGGTCCGATTCGACCGCTCGCGACGCCTTGGTCGCGCTCAGCTCTATTGAAATTGCCGACGCCACAGCTCTTCCTATAGGCGAAGCGCTGCCTGCAAAACCGGTCGAAGGAAGGTCAGAGATCACCATTCACGTCAGGTTTGCGGTAGCCCGCGACAGGAAGCAGGCTGGTGCAGCGCTCCGTAGCCGTTACTATCTTCTTCACCCAGAGCACGATCCTGAAGAGCGCCGTCGGCGCCAGCGTGACTCTCGCTCCCGCTATCGAGACCGGGATAGTGGATACCGAAGAGGCAGTGGCCATCGCCGTCGCGACTCGGATGAAGAGGTGGAAACATTCGAGGCGAGCATGTACGATGATGCGCCACGCCAAGCAACAAGGAGACGTTCTCAATCGCGAGACAGACAAGATTCATACGCGAGAGAAAATCGTGGCAAGGAGCTATTCGCTGATAGAGCCTCGCGCCGTGATCGCTCTGCCTCTCCTCTGCGTGATGACGACGGTGATGCCGCCATGGATAGTATACAAGGCTCGTCTCGCAACAAGGAGTCCGCGCGGGCCGTCAAGGAGCGACTTCGCACAGGAAACAGATCCAAAGAACTATTCCCTTCCAAAGCCGGTTCCGGAAGTGGCCAACTCGATAGATTGGAGGATGCCATTGGTTCCGCTCATCTTCGGGAGGAAGACATGCCCAAGGTTGTTTCTGTGCCCGTGGGTTCCACGGGCGGGGGTTTCAACATAAGAGGTGCGGCAAATCAGACTAGCCAACCAAGCAGAGGATTTAATATCAAAGGCTCTGCAAATGCCCGCGAGCTGTTCCCTGGCAAGCTGGGCAATGACAATGCGGGCAAGGAGTTGTTTGATGGGAGCAGGACGAAACAGAGACAGAAGGCTCAAGACCTTTTTGGCTAATTTCAGGACTACATGGCATTGTTGATGGATGAGAGAATCTCAGAGGTGTCTGCTCGGCAGTTCTCGGGCAATTTGGGCATCATTGGCAACAAAAGTTTGATCTTCGGCGTTGATAGCTATTTATATGAGGGGAATAGTCATTCTAAATATACCACTTGCTCATACTGCTTCCAGTTTGCCAGAATGTTGTTTGACATTTCAACGTCACCACCATTTCTCTGACTTTACACACGCAGCATCAATGAGGCTGGCCATGCCTGGAGCTGTCAATATCTCAACGAAATAATCAGTCATAGCGGGCGGACCGCAGACATATACCAGCGTGTCATCCTTGCTGCTGCTGGCCCAGATCTTCGGCATGAGGTCTTCTCTTGTCATTCTTCCAAATCTTATTTCGACTTGGCCTGTTCTGTCCGCCGTCACATCTCGGAATTGAGACACCGGCCCAGTAAGAAAAAGCTCAACTTCGCCTGCGACTTGACCTCGTCGGAACAGGTCCACGATTCTATCCAGAAATAGGACTCCTGCCAAATTCCCATCCTCGGGCACCTTTGTGGCATACATTAGTGAGACTCGAATGTCCAGATTCCTACTCTCGTCGGCCAAGTAGCTCAACATGCTCATGAGCGGGTTGATGCCCACCCCGCCAGCCACGAGGACGATGCGTTGAATCCCACCAAGGCCCTCTTTCGGCGGACAGATAAAGCTCCCACCGATACGAACGGTCAAGTCTTGCCCCAATATGTCGTTCTCCGGCCTCCATAGCCATGCCGCCGCGGGATTCTCGGGCGCTTCTTGGACGGCCAGCTCAAAGTGCGGCTCCGCAGCTTGCGTCGCTGCCGACGGCGCCGAGGCTATGGTAAAGCCGCCCGGCCTCGGGTCACCCGGCATAAAGACATCCAGCCACTGTCCTGCAAGAAACTTCAGATAATATTGACTTAGTTTCATGATATATATGCGACGCAGCCGTCGAGTATCTGATCGGATACTCACGCTCGACGGGCCCTCTTGTAACCCGAGCCTTAAGAGACGAATCTTCTGATTGACCTTTCGAACACCCACAATCTTCACCGGTAGTAAGTTCTGAAAAGCGAGTCAATCACTCTACTTGCTTGTTCTTTTTTCCCTTTCCTTGTGCGAGAGGTGCTCAGCCGTTCAGCCACTTACCTTCTCGCGTGGCTCTTGGCGAGTGCGATCTAAATGTCGCAACTTCGTCGCTTGCAGTTCCATACTTGTATGGCCGGCGTTTGTGGAACGGGACTGAATCAACTCACACCAGGCAGTATCCTATACGTGGCTCTGGAAAGATGGCCGACGATGTGTAAGCTGTTCATAGAGAAATATACGCAACGGCCGGTTTCTTGGGATGTATCGCCTCCACTTTGGGTAAGTCCTGTCACTAGTCGCTGGCCACGACTAGGTATTCAAGCTTGACACAGCAGACCAGGTTGCTCTGTAGAAGACTTGCAGGATATAGAATTTTTATATATATGCTTGCCAAACTGACATTAAACGTGATCCTGTTTCGCCACCATCTGCATGTCTTCACCTCGTCATGGTTTAAACATGACGCAGATCAGCTGCTTCGACGTGCTTCTTTTCTTTTACATGTACTGATCAGTCGCTCTAATTGCACTGCTTCAAGATCTCCTAAGATTCTGTCCAATTGACCTGCTCAATTACTTGACCTGCACTTGGGTGAGTGTAGCCGATTCGGAGGCGAAGACGGAGGGGCTGTCACGACATGTTAGTAAACTTTGACGTGTTGTAGTTTCACGACTTGTATACGTACTCCTTTGCATCCCGAAATTCTCATCATTTGAGTAGCGTCAGCGCCAGGTGATAAAGTTGTGGAGGAGATGCTGAGGAGCTGAAGTTTCTGAGATTTGGGAACGGCAGCTTGGAGACCAACATTAGACAGGGTTGCAGAGCCAGACGTGTTTTGGAACTTTGCAGTCGCCTGTATCATTCCTTCTGTGTTACGCTGAACTTGGAATTTGACGTTGAGGTCATTTGAGTTATAACAAGCAATGCCCTGGCTGCCTTGCGAGGTAGGTTGAGGTTGGGATGCCGCAGGCTGAGAGGCCATATCCAACCCAATAGATGACGGGGCCGCAGATGCGGCCGAAGGTCCAGGTCCACTGCCAAATAAATCCATGATGGACGAGGTATTCGACTGTGAGGCCTGACCTGAGGTGGAATCGGAAGTTAGGCCACCGCCCAGAATATCCGCCAAAAGATTGGAGTTGGAGCTCTGGCCGCCACTAGGAGGGGTCATTGTTGTAGCAGGAGTATCCATAATATCGAGGAGATCTTGCTCTGTCGGTTTGACGACCTTGGATCTGCGGTTAACAGCAGCCTTTGATTTCTTTGTTGGGGCGGGACCGAGGACACGCGACTCCTCTTTGATTTGCGGCGGTGGCATTTTCTCTAGCACACCACGACGGATTTGGTCAAAGCCAAACAGATTGCTGTACTCGACAGCACGCTGCTGTACTTCGACATCCAGGCTCGTTTGGTGATTCTGAAGTATGCGTCTGACTCTCTCAACTGAAGATGCATCTGTGAAGCGCGTGGTAAGCTTCATGAGTGCTGTGACAATGTATTCTGTAGAAACTTGGTTGGCGTAACTGCTGTTGAGGATGAGAGTAAACAAGTCAATGATTTCGCTCTCTTTGACCTCGTGAACGAGCTCCTCCTCTTCATGTTGGCCACCCTTGAGTAGCGCGTCAGCATACTCTCCAATGCACCAAGCGCCAGTCTGTGTCAGGCTCTCTTGGGTAATGTCCTTTTTGAGGTTGATGTACAACTTCTGCACAGCATAGGTCTGGAGCTCAGGGGTCGTCGCAATAAGGCGGACATAAGAAGAGAGGATTTGTTCTTTCACGAAGTTGCCTGCGAGGCAAAGAACACGCAGCATGGTATCGAAGTGCCATCTTTTGTTTGGAGCAAACTTGTCTGCTGCGATACCAATTTGACTCGTCATCGTGGGCTTGAACTCGTTATCAGCAACCTCAAGGAAAGCAAGGAGCTCGCGAATCAGGACGCGGACATTGCTCTCGTTGATAAGAGTGAAGCTCAGCTCCAACGCTCTCCGCCTGATGCTAATATCCGGGTCTCTCAAGCATTCTAGAATCGTGTTTCTATGTCTCTGAACGGCATTTGGTTCGATAGCAACGACCTTGATCAGGGTGTTTAGAGCAACGTAGCGAATATTGTTGTCGCGGTTTGTCAAAAACTTTCCCAGAATATTGACGCCGAGGACGCGCAAACCCGAGTCGGCTTCAATATCGAGAATAGTTCGGACTGCTTCGTAAAGAATGGAGTTTCCGACGTTTTTGGAGGAGTCCGTATTGGTAGCAACTTGTGCAAGGATATCATTGATATGCTCGCTCGTTTCAGCGTCACCCATTGCGAGTATTCTCAGGAGGCGAAGAATCTTAACTTGCAAGAAGGGGTCTGTGATACCTGTGACATCATGCTCCGGCGCATAACCTGATGTAGACAGGCTCTTCAAGATCTTGACCAGACCAGGAACAAAAGAGCGGAATTTCTCTACGATGCCTTCTTCGCCGCCTTCTTCTTCATCGGCTTCGCAGAGACTAGTAACCAATGTCAGGCCACAAAGAAGAACACCATGGTTTCTGTCCGAGAGAAGCTGAGTAGCTCTTTCCAAGAAGTGTTCTTGGAGATCCGGCACCTTTCGGCATATTCTCATGGCACACAGTGCAGCCTTGCGTCGAATGTATGGGTTTGAAGTCGATAAAAGGTTCTCGATCTCGGGAAACAAATCTCTCGACATTTCAATAGATGCTATGTTTCCGAGTGTGCACAGCGCTAGACCGACAATGTATTGATTCGAATGACCAAGATCGCTGGCTGATGTTAGAATACATTACGTTTGCTAATTTTTGAAGCTCACTTTTTGAGAGAGTTTGTAACCAGAGTCAAGACCTCTTGATTTTCATCCAGTAGTAGACTGGTCGCGAGATGTCCTAGTCGCTTGTCGGCGAAGCGGGGTGAGGCAAGCAGCTTGATGCATTCGATCTGGCCAAAGTGTGTTCGCTCGCCGAGTGTGAAGAGGTAGAGCAGCTTCGCAACATTGTTTCGACTGGATTAACATGTAAGCGATTGGATGGTACCGGTAGTGAAGCTATCAAGATATGTAGCATACCGAATGCCATGGTCAGCGCTCTCTTCGCGAAAGCTTGCTCGTATAGCAGCGCTTTCTTTCTGGATCACGGCTCGTTCGTCGGCGATTGTCTTCGCGGCACGCACATTGCGGATGAATTGTTTGACTGTCACGACGTAGTTGTCAGTATCTGCTGGGCTTCTGGATGTATAAAGGTTGTTGCGGCTCGTCATACGGGAGCTCATCTTGGGTAGGGGGACGACCCGGGGAATGGGTCGCCTAGCTGGGCAGGTTCCCGAAATAGGGCGATATCCTGTGCAAGCAACGCACGAGATAGAGATCTGGAATATCTAGACCTCTTAACCTCGACTGGTCCCCGTTCAAGCGTGAATGCGATAGGAACAAGTAGCGCCAAGCTATGCGCAACTGTCGGGTCGAGTGTGTGGTGGGCAGGTGTGTCCATCGACGAACGTGGGGCAGCACAGAGGCCACTAATAATATCACCATACAGCCACCACCACCGACCGCTCTATCGCTCGGGAAAAGTGCGGCCCGCCCTCATCATGACAGGAGTGCTTTCACATGAGATCCGCATATTGCGCCTTGACTTTGGCGTTGAAATGGGCGTGACTTCGTGCTTGATTATAGCTATAGAAAGAAAAACTTCAGATTTCGATTCTATCTTGAGCAGCGCCATGACTGCTCTCGAGTCCTCAGTTACTACGGATACATATGTCAGGGGGGGGGGGGGGCATGAGTGTTCAATTTCAGAGCAAGTCGCCAACAGAACATACAGTGCGTGAGTCACAGACAACAACAGCAATGCACTTTGGGACAAGAGGCTGCGACCACACGAGCATTTAAACAGTGACTTTTGTTTGCCAAAGAAAAAATATCGATCCTACGTCAACAGCTTACTGTTGAAGCTCATAGCAAAATTATAAAGCAGCATATCATCCCATACATAAGGGGTTTGAGTTTCTTGGCTATTTTGGCAAGTTTTGGCAAATAATGTGATTCGCTCGTCATCTTTTGTGGCATCGTGAGGATGGAAGACCTGCTCTCCAAATTCGCATTACACACTGGATTACTCCGTACACCGCGATGCTGTTGACAAGCATTGGCCTCGAAGCAACTGTATCGTAGATATATAGCTCATTGGAAAGCTCACTAAAAGGATTTTGGTCTATTTTTGCATCATGAGCTGGACAAACTCGTTATCTAGAAAGAGTGTTAGCCTTAATGTGTGGCACGCTTTGAGTTGATGCGACTTACAGTCAATACGGCCATCGCCGTCCTGATCAGCCTCACGGATCATCTCGTCCACCTCGTCATCAGTGAGCTTCTCACCGATGGAAGTCATGACGTGTCGCAGCTCAGCAGCGGAAATAAAGCCGTTGTTGTCGCGGTCGAAGACCTGTGCTTGTTTAGTCGGCTGAACAAGTCAAATTGCCTACCAAACAAACCTTGAAAGCTTCCATAATTTCCTCCTCGGAATCGGTATCTTTCATCTTGCGGGCCATCATAGTGAGGAATTCTTTTCTTCTAGTAAGCTGCTGCGCCAAATAGCACTGACGTAACCACTACACATACCGGGGAAATCGATGGTGCCGTTGTTGTCGGCATCAACCTCGTTGATCATATCCTGAAGCTCCGACTCGGAAGGGTTCTGGCCGAGAGAGCGCATGACAGTGCCGAGTTCCTTAGTGGTGATCTGACCTGTAATCTTGATATTAGCTCGATGTTCTTCGGATACGGACAGTGTAAACTTCGGCAATAAGCAAAATAGGTCGGTAATTGGCTTTTCGAAGGCCGGATTTCGATTCGAGGTAGGTAGCGAAGGGTGTTGGGGGTACTCACCATCGCCATCTTTGTCCTGCACGAACAGCGGTTAGTGACGAGGTTCAGAAGCGACGCCGAAGCGCCGAGGCGCGACATGGGAACCGAGTGTGTTGATCAACTTACAAAGAGAGAGAAAGCCTCCTTGAATTCGGCGACCTGGTCTTCGGTAAGGGAATCAGCCTGCACGAAGTAGATGCGTTAGCAATAGGCGGTAGCCGTAGCTATTTTCTGTCCCAGCCCCTCACCGCGGGGTCGCCGACAAGCGGGCGGTGAGAGGGTGCGGACATCGGCTCAGTGATAGACGAACCATGGTGGATAGGATGAGGAGAGAAGAGAATGAACGAGAGTAAAGCTCAAGTGTCTAGGTGACAGCAGCGTGAGGTTCACAAGATCTTGACTGCTTTTGCTCAGTTTGCGACAGCAGACGTGGGGAAAAGCAAAGGGGGGAGCAAGCAAGGCAGAAATAACAGTTGTGTGCACCCACAGGGAGCATGCACCAAAGAGCTGACGCTGCCCCTCTGACACAGACGCGCCGCCGCTTGGTTAGGTAGGCAAGGTGGTACCTACGTATAAACAGCTCCACCGGCTGCCAGGTAACTGCCTCCCAGTCACCAGAGGAAGAGTATCTCTCTGCCACGTGACAGCTCAGCTATTTGTTGCCAATCACCACCTGGGAGCCCATTAACTCGACATCATGAAGAAAAGTTGTGTTGCAAGTCATTCGCAACTGTCTCAGTCTGCGGGATGGCAGCCGGGCAATCCCTAGCAGGCTGGTGCTGGCTTGTTGGTTTGCTGATGTCATAGAGAAAGGCATAGAGCAACGTTATCAGGCTCTGCAAAGCTCTGGCGTTCGATTGCCCAGGCCGACAGCATCAAATTATGCCAAACCCAATTCTTACTACACATCTGTTATGTAAATAGAATCCTCATAGCTGTAAACAATACTCTTTTCCTGATAAGCCAAGAGTTTCTAACACATGCTGTAACCGGATCCACCACTTGTTCGCTCCCACCAACGGCTGGCACTGCGGGCAGCGTCATCCCCAAAGAGGCCACACGTACCTGGGGTATGTAACTACCTATGCTAACGGGCTAACCTACTACAACACATCCACCACAGTCCAGCTTGGCCACCAGACCCTACTCCCATCGACGTCTCATCCGACAATTTTGATTTCCAGAAAAGCCGCATCGCCTGCTCAGACAATACAGGACGGAAATTTCGCGTTGTAATTGCGTCCGCCATGTGGCGCGACCGCACCAACCTGTAGGAAAGCCTCCTGCGCGCAAGCACTCCTGAGTGCGCCCCTAATTGCTAACAGACCTTGTTTCTAAAGATATATTTCGTACCGACAGTCGTATGCGCACCACCCTACACAGCGAAACAAGTATGGCGGAAGCGCTTCTGGTACTGGTGCGTTTTCGGATGCGTACTCAACCAGCAATTATGCCGCTGAGGATCGGCGCGGCCTGCTCTCGGGCGGCGCATTCGATGACGATGGCGACGCTGTAATCGAGATGGATTTGCTTCCACCTCGATGGGCAGACGTATCGGACGAAATTACCGACCTTCTTTCCGATATTGTAACAAAGGGGCAGCGTTTGGAGAAGCTGCATCAAAAACATGTGTTGCCTGGATTCAACGACGATGAAGCGAAACGAACCGAGGAGGCACAAATTGAGAAGCTTACCCAAGAGATTACAAAGGGCTTCCATGACTGCCACAGATGTATTCAGCGTGTGGAGCAGATGGTCCGCGAATCGAAGCAATCTGGGACTATCAGCCGTGCTGAAGAGACCATGGCCAAGAATATACAGATCTCTCTAGCTACGAGGGTGCAGGACGCCAGTGCGAACTTCCGCAAGAAACAGAGCGCATACCTCAAGAGTAAGGGAATAATCTTTGGCTTCGTCACTGTTACCCGCTGACCACGATTATTGCAGAGCTTCGGGGCATGGCTGGATTGGGACAACCAACGTCAGACGGTCGATCATCCTCACCAGCAATTGGATCATACAGCGACCCTTCGATGCAGGAATCTGATGCCGACAGATCTTTTTCGCAATCCACACTTCAAGTCACTCAACAGAGACAACTCACATCAAACGACGCAGTCATAGCCCAACGAGAACGCGAGATCGAGGATATAGCTCAGGGAATCATTGAACTATCGGATCTCTTCCGCGACCTTCAAAACATGGTCATTGACCAGGGCACTATGCTTGACCGTATCGATTACAATGTTGAACGCATGCATACAGACGTCAAGGGTGCTGAGGTCGAGCTCAAAGTTGCGTCTGGATACCAGAAAACGACGACAAAGCGCAAAATTATCCTGTTGCTCATCATATTGATAGCTGGCTTGTTCATTGTGCTTTTGGTGAAGCCCAAAAAAACCAGTTGAAGGAACATTGCCTGGTGTCTCAAAATTTCGCATCAAGGTCAGACAACCTGCACTGCACATATTAAACAATATTCGACAACCTCTCATCGTGATGGACATGTACAATATCGTCGTATAAAGAGTTTCGCTGCGGCTTATCTAGGAGTTAGGGGTATATGGTTTCGAATAATATACAAAAATGTTCATTAACATGTTTTCGCGCTTCGATCAAGATGCTTTATCCCGTCGGCGCTGACAGCGCTCGAAAGTCTTTCTGATTGAGACCGATCACGTATGATGCGGGCATCAGCGTTGCTCCCCAAGCCAGATCGGCTACTTTCTTCATCTGCATTGGTGAAAACCACTGCCTACCTCTTGAATCCCCATCACGTTGTCTCATTCGCTGGCTGGAGTAGATGCCGTTGCGGGCAGCCGACTCAACCAAATCCATATCGATAAAACAACCTCGATCCCGCAGATTTGCCAGAATGTGTATGCCAGATGCAACATCAAATTTCCTCACCAACGCATTTTGCACGACAGGCGTTGATGCTGTACCCTCCGAGAGGTTCAGAGCCCAGGTAAATCCTAATTGCACGACAGTCCGTTGAAAGTGGCCATCAAAAATCTTGAATAAAGGATGATGATGATGATAGAAGGAGAGATCAGCAGGAATCAGACCTGAATGCTCCGTGCGCCGTAGAAAGTCTGTAGCCAGTTTCGTCATCTTGGGCAAGTCCACCTTGTGGACGGGCAACAAACATGCACGGCTGGGGTCGTACATGTCCACAAGCTCGAGGCTGAGTTGGGCCAACGCATCCAATCTTCCTTGATGCCCCAAACCGATCAGTAGCATTTTCCAATGCTCGGAACGGATGGCAACATCCTGAGCTGCAATGCAGCGAGCCAATCCGATGACTTCGTCCAAAATGTGAATACACTCAGTTGAACACCATACAATGCCACGGCTGTTGGCTGGAAAGGCTGCAAATGCTCTTCGCAAGATTGCAGAAGCTTCGATTGATCCGATTCTCAAATTCAGAGAAACCATGCGCTCCAGCGCAAGTTTCATTCGCCAAGGTTCGTCAAACAGCAACTTCTCTATAGTAAATGCAGGTGCGGCGGTGGCAAGGTTCAATGAGGGAGACTGTGTCGACAGTCGTGTTTGCGCGTCGATCGCACTTATGACACTCCGCATAAGATCTTCTTGTTTCGTATCCCGTCTGCGGATAGAATGTTCCAGAATCATTTGCCTCGTCTCTTCATCATCGAATTCCTCCGGGTGAATATCAGATTGTAAAAGATTGCTCAGCAAGGAGTCGTGACCCTGCTTCGCAAATTCTGATATTGCAGTACAGTATGCACCCGCAGGAATGGAAATATTAAGTTTGTGCAATGATTTGATCAGCTCGTTAACTTCTGTCGCACTGCTTGCTCGAAGGGCAAGAGCTTGGAACGCCCTGGGTCCTATTGATCGAATTCCAGCATTTTTCGCCAACTGCATAGCGAGATCAGGCGGCGTCCAGCTGCTGGCAAACAACTTCTCCACGAATCCATCTACTAGGCTCTTTATTTCTGGCCGTGGCTGAGCTGAGCCTTGAGAAGTCTCGAGCCTCCACGCGGATGAGACCAAAGCGTCTTCGCTCTTCGTTGGCGCAGCGATACATCTTATCGTTGTCGCGTTCTTGCGTCTCTTCGGGCTGTTTTTCTCTAGGAGGATATCGAGTATGCGACGTTCTTCTGGGGTAAAATTTGTGTTGGTATAGTAACTGGCCAGAAATGCGAGAAACGGGCCGGAAGCTTCAGAGGAAGGGAAGTCGCCGCTTAGCAAAAATGTTTGGCGCCAGCGCTTTGCCATTTTTGATTGGCCTGATTTGAAGAGGGCGGGAATAATTATGTCATAAAGATCATGCTGGGGTAGGGAAAGATAGATCCCTTTGAGCGCCTTTTGCATTCTGATGTCCGGGTTCGAGACAAAGTTTTCAAATAATAAGCCCAAGACGTGTCGATCAGGGAGAAAACTGGGTGCTAAGTACGCGTGTGTTTCGGCGGCTTCCTCAAAGGACTCTTTCTCCAATAGAAAGTGCATACATCTTGTGTAGAGATTCGGCCATCGGTAATCGAATCGTTGCAGGAGATCATCAGCGCAAGCAAAAAGCAGTTGTCGCTTCGACGACAATTGGATCCCGGCGTTAACAAAGGCGTTTCTTATGAGGTCCGATGGCATGACAACATCAAGGCTTTCGCGTTCTCTGAGCCGCTCCATTACTGCGAAAACACCCTGAGCGCCGTATGTGCTGTCCATGCAAATAATAACTTTGGTCCAATCGATAACCCCGCCATATGTCGCCTCTAGCTCAGCCGTATCGACTGCCTCGGTGGTCGAAAGCGGCAATTTCTTTCTCTTCGTCGCGTCGCATTCGGGATATGTCGCCATCCCCTGACGTGCACTTGATTGATTCGAGAATAGAAAAAGAGGCCTGCTTGTGCGTTTGCAGTACTCGTGCAATCTCCGACATAGGAATACATAGCTGGATACATTTGCTCTCAAATGGGGGCGCAGCGAGCCGAACAAGTGTCGTGCATCTCGAGCTCTGATGCCAGAGCTATGCTGCTCCATAGAGCCTATGCGCTTCGAAGTGTTGTATGCGCATTGTTGCAAGACCCTCGAGGGTTGATGCATCTATGCGAAGCGCATGAAATTATGGGCTCATCCGGTAAGATAATCGAGTTTCGCAAAGAGAAGAGACACACAGGAAGTACAATTACTTCTAACCACAAGCCTCATAACTGCTGCATTTGTCCCAATGGTCTGCTGTCAAATTTTAGCGGGCCCGGTTGCTGGAGGTTGCATTAAAACTTGACGAGTTAGATTCAGTGAAGCTGTGCTGAGTCATCAGCGCCCATTGGCCAATCACATTATGGCCTCATTTCTGCACCGAAGGCTCCATCCAGTGGCCTCATGCATACTGGCTGCCGACACATCCTTTTCAACGCAACAGCTCCGAATACCAGACCGCGAACTCGACTCAAAGAAATTCAAAATGGGGTAAGAAACTCCTTCGACGCTTACGAGGACCCAAGGCTTTGGTGTTTACTGCTATCAACCTGCCGCAATGGCACCGAGTCCTCCTCGGCTAAACCTCCGATTGCACGTACGATCGTGACGAGGCTAACAATACAACAGCTTGGTCAACGCTAAGAACAACGTGCCCAAGCACCAGCGCTTCTACCAGCAAGCCTACAAGGCTCACACTCGTCTCTGGATGATTGTAAGAACGAATTGTCGTGCTAGTATCGCGGAATGGTGCTGACACCCTGCAGAACAGCCGGAGCCGCTGGTACATGACTCCCTACCTCATTTGTCTTTGGGGTACATTTGGAGGTTTGCTACCTTTCTGCGCGCTGGGCCACCTTTCTCTTACTAATATTGTGCTAGCTACTCTGTACGCTGCTGGTCGTAAGATCACCGGCCACAACACCTACTTCGGCAAGGATTAAACTTGATCTCGACAGCATCAGGCGGGAGAGTGGAATTGTTTTATAATCAATTGTCGTGTGTGATTAGATTTCGGTCTGTTTAAATCAATAGAACTGTCGCAATCAGCTTCTACAGCAATGTTGTGTTACGCGTATGAACAGCAGCAAGAATAACTGCTTCGATTTTCCTGCGATAGAAGGAAGTGCAGTTGTCTAAATTACATGAACGCGATTGTGTTTCTTTTCGAGTGGTGGCAGGCTCGCCTCGATTCTGTCATCGACGGGGGCCTTCTGCAGTGACATTTCAGCACTGTTAGTATCCGGTAGCTCCTGGTGCTTTGTCGTCCTTGCGAAGATTCGCCAACATTTCACGGAAGCGCTCCTTGCCACTGCCCGAAGCTCCACCTTTGCTTCCCTTGCCGCTGACATCAACCAGTTTGGCAATTCGGTCCCAACTAGTGCCACCTGACACGGTATCATCTCTGTTTGCAAGGAACTGCTCGGCATCCTTGCGAGTTTGAGCAATGCCCTTCTCCTTCTTTGTGTTATAGTTCTCGTAGAAGTCGTCGATGTTCTGCTGCGCTTCTCTTATCGTCTCTTCCTTTTGCGCGGCCAGTTGCTCTGCTCTCTTCGCAATCTGTGCGTCGCGCTTTTCCCTCCATTGCTTAATCACGTCGGGCTCTTCTTCGTCGGTCGCAGTGGCTTTGTATCCCGAGTTGTAGCTGACAGACGGACCTGTGATTGTAGACGCTCCATGCGCACCTGGCAGTCCCTGTCATATCTGTGTTAGCTTTGGTTTGGCATGCATTGCGATCTCTAGTTATTCCGTACAGATGAGGGGTCAGCGAGATCTGGGAACTGCGATTCGAATGTGGATGGAGCGTTTCCTTCGCCCAAAAGATCCCCGCTAGTATTTTCCAATGCAGCAGCGTCGCCGACAGTGGCAAATTGGTCAGCATCGTCGCCGAGAAGGGCTTTCTCGCGCGCGAGGAAGTCCTGTTCGGCAGAGCCAGTGGTATCCTTCACCTCCGTTTGCGCTGCACTAGTTGTTAGTGGTCTAGGCCATATGAATAATTCTGAAATGTTTACCTCCGGAGTCGAAGTCATCCAGTGATGGAAACCGGTCTGCCATCGTACTTGCTGTATTTATGTGAGTTGCAGTTGTGGTGGCGGCGTGGATAGGAGAATGCGTGCAAGCGCCAGTTAGATCCCTAGGTAGATGCCAGGCACTCTGCTCTGCGACTATCTGTACGCAAATGCCAGCCTGGTCTGCATACGTCACGTGTCCACATTGTGGATTCTTGATGCCGCGCCAGTTCACTTGAGAAGTTTACATTACACTGCGAGTCCAGTCTTACTCCCTTTCTACCTGCGTCTTCATTCTTGCTATATTGATTTGACCTTCTTCTGACCTGAAATTGCAGCGCAAAATGTTGCCTCGATATAGTTTCTAGGTACTTTTCTCGCTGTTTGCTGTAATTACGTGGGTGTTTGCGATCCGCATGTCAAGTATATCAATTGTTGAATGTGTTTTCTTTACTGGCACCAGTCTTGTAAAAGACTTAAGCTCATTGGCCACCCACATGGCCATAATCCTGAGGCTGCTTTGTAGTGTAATGAGAACGTTGGTGTAGGCAAGCTATCGGCTACAACTTCACTGATGGTGACACAACCGACTTAACTTGCTTTCGGAGGGGTGGGGCGCTAAATATGTACACTGAGTATCAAGGAGATCGCCTAATTGCATACACCTACACCTCCGGCCGTAGCTCTGTTTATCGCCCCGTGGCTGCCCATCTCCTCCACTGGCGCCAGCCGCTCTCAAGACCTACCTACCGTGACACGAAAACATACTCGGCAGCAATTCGCTTTAGAAACAGCCTTCGCCATATCATCTCGTCAACTAGTCCGACCACCCACTAGCCGACAGTTGGTCGCACGTTGAAGGAACAACCGTTAGCTGCTGCAGGGATGCTTTTGCTCATGCGACTAGACTGCTAGCGAGGTTTTTCAGCATCGACATCAAGCATAAGGGTTCGGAACAATGGCATACAATGATGATGCTGTGCTTGCTCGTTTATCTGCGCTCAATGAGAGTCACGACAGTATCGCGACAGCTGCGCAATGGATCATGTTTCACAAGTATGCGGAGATTGCTGTAGACTACTTGGCACCGTGGAACTGACTTACATGGCTGCAGACGACACGCGGATCGCACCGTTGCGCTTTGGATGCAGCGACTGAAGGATTCGTCCGCGACAAGAAGACTCAGCCTCGTTTATCTCGCAAATGGTAAGGCGCGTGCATCGAGTGCAAAGCGACTGCCAGCTAATGCGCATTGCAATACAGAAGTCGCACAACAATCACGAATTCGGCGAAAAGAAGATTTCATAATTGCTTTCTCGCCCGTTATTGCTGAAGCTACAGCACTTGCATACAAAGGCGCACCAGCCGAAATACACGGAAAACTGCGGCGCGTGGTTGACGTGTGGAGAGATCGAAATATTTTCGAAGCTCCTATACAAAATGCCATTGAGTCGCGCCTAGACGGTAGCTACACATGATGCGAGACTTCCAAAGAAAGCAGATGTGCTAATACCAAATAGAGCTGGACAAAGCGAAAGGAACGCCTCGACCAGGATTTGGGAACTCACCATTCACCTCGAATACCGCAGCGGCGCCACCACCTGAACTTGCGCCAGTTATCTCGGGACTTCAGACGGTTCAGAAGCTGAGCGCGCCGCTCAAATCTACGCTCGAGTCCGCGAATCAAGAATATGAAAAACAAACAGATCCGTCCATACCTGTACCATCAGCACCAGTCTTCGCGGCCCGCCTCAATGGCCTTTTGAAGACGCTGTCGAATGCAGAAACTGCTACTAGCGAAAGCGTCAAAGCCCGTGAGAGTCTAATTGCTGGTTTGGAGAAGATGCTCGAACAAAACAAGACCGAGTTAGAGACGGACCGGGCGACGCTTGAGCAACTGGCAACCAGAAAGACAGAAATCGAGGAAAGGAAGCAGCAAGTAGAACTAGCTATCATGCGAGCACTTGGACCGGCCGATGGTAATGGATCACAAAGCAACGGAAAGGAGGGAGCACTAGTACAAGAGCTCGACCGGCCCGAAATGGAGGCCCTCACACCACCAGCGATGGAAGAACTCACGCCTCCACCCCCGGAGACGGAGCCTCTGAGTCCAATCGGCGAGACTAAATCCCAGCACGAAGCGGATGAGGCCACCATGGATACTGCATCACACGCAGTCCCCATATCTTCCAATGGCTCAAAGAAAAGACGGAGGGTTGATGACGAATCTGAATTTGCAGACGTGGGAGGAGACGATGGCATCGACGAAGATGTCGCTGCAATGCTGAAAGACGAAGGGTTATAGAGGCATCGCAAGGATGGCTATGTATGATAATTCTGTATGAATTGATCTGAAGCAACAATTTAACTTTCGTTAATGCAGATTCGGCGGATTTCCGCGACGATCCGTCGGGGGTGGCAGGCTTGTTCCACACTTCCTTCCCCTTTGTAGCGCTCTATCAGTCATAGTAGTTGTGCATGCATTCTCTGTATTGATGCATACATATATTTAGAACGGGCCTGCACTGTCGTGTTAGTTAATTAATAGTTGCGGCGGACAACTTTTTGATATGGAGGTCGGAACGGTTAACCCGCTCCGACCGAGGCCGACGTCGTCGCGCATCAAGCTAGGTAGCTAGCTCCACACCAAATTTGAGTCGGCCTTGATTTCGTCAGCAGGAAATGCCGCTTCGAGGCTTCGAGGCATCAGCGTTTTCAACAACCGAATTAATTGCAGACCAGATTCGCCATATCAGCCCACGCCTACGATCACTCCTGAGACCACGAATTGAAAAGGCTCGGTGCTATTGGGACAGTCTGACAATGGGACGCCGTGGACCGGAGTAGCCAAACTTGGTCAGGATGGTTTCTGGAGCATTGCGCCGGGCTGTAGCCCCTCGACTGAACACCTTTCCCGAGGCGCATTCATACGGAGCAGCCATAACAGCGCGCAAATTTCTTTCGAACTCATCTGCGAAGCCGAACAGTATCGTTAAGCCTGCTAGCCTTCTTCATACTGCATCGGAGCACCGCCTTGGCTCTGCGACGCGCGCCTTGTTCGACGCCACCTTCTCCGCGCAACCTTCGCTTCTGCGCCGCCTTGCGGAGCGTCAAGCTGCCTTTTCTTATAAGACGTCTGCAATTCAAATCAGGCGATCCTTCTCGACAAGTTCGAGTCTACAAGAGCAACGACAGAAACAAACACCGAAGACAGAAGAGACATCGCAGCCTTTACAGAAGAACGACCCCATTGAAGACGAAGCCGATTTTGAGTTCAAAAAGAGCGATCGCGCTGCTCAAGCTGCGCAAGTAAACCTCGCTGCAAAGCTTTCTAAAGATAGCAAACAACCTGGAAAGGCAGGACTGAGAGAGATATGGCGACTGATCAAGGTTGCTCGTCCTGAGCTCCGCTGGCTCGGCATTGCATTCATATTCTTGGTGATTTCGTCAAGTGTGACCATGTCCATTCCGTTTTCAGTTGGCAGGATCCTGGACCTTGCGACAAAGGGAGAAGCTGATGACATTCGACTTTTTGGACTCACGTTGAACCAGTTCTTCATAGGGTTAGCTGGCATTCTTACACTCGGCGCCATGGCCAACTTTGGCCGAGTTATACTGCTTCGCATTGTTGGCGAGAGAGTGGTTGCGAGACTTCGATCGCAGCTCTACCGCCGCACATACGTGCAAGACGCGGAATTTTTCGATGCAAACCGAGTTGGTGACTTGATCTCACGACTCAGCTCCGACACTGTCATTGTCGGCAAGTCAGTCACACAAAACCTCAGTGACGGTCTGAGGGCCTTATTCAGCGGTGGTGCTGGATTTGCCATCATGATCTGGACAAGTCCCAAGCTTACCGGTCTTTTGCTCTTGATGTTCCCTCCGATTGCGATTGGTGCATTCTTTTATGGTCGAGCGATTCGGAACATTAGTCGATCTATTCAGAAGAACCTGGGTACACTGACCAAGATTGCGGAAGAACGATTGGGAAACATCAAGACCAGCCAAGCTTTCGTCGGAGAAGTTCAGGAAGTTGGCCGCTACAATAGACAAATTCGACGGATTTTTGCTCTGGGCAAAAAGGAGTCACTTGTTGCGGCCACGTTCTTTGCTTCTACAGGCTGGGCTGGCAACATGACTATTCTAGCAATGCTTGCTGTTGGTGGAAGCTTTGTTCGCAGCGGGGCCATGTCGCTCGGAGATCTCACATCATTCATGATGTACACGGCGTTTGCAGGATCAAGCTTATTTGGCTTGTCCGGCTTTTACTCTGAGCTGATGAAAGGTGTAGGCGCAGCGAGCCGCTTATTCGAACTCCAAGATCGTCGCCCTGGAATTCACCAAACTGTCGGGACACCTGTAAAGTCTGCGCAAGGCCCCATCAGATTTAATAATGTCACTTTCGCCTACCCGACGCGGCCTGCGGTCAAGATCTTCAATGGTCTTGACTTTGAGATTCCCTCCGGAAGCAATGTATGCGTCGTTGGCCCCTCTGGTGGTGGCAAGTCCACGGTTGCGTCTCTACTATTGCGGTTCTATAACCTTACAGAAGGAAGTATCACCATCAATGGGGTCGATATCTCGGGAATGAACGTGAAGTCTCTGAGGCGTCGCATCGGTATGGTATCTCAGGAGCCAGTTCTCTTTTCCGGAACGATTGCCGAGAATATTGCTTACGGCAAACCGCATGCAACTCGAGCAGAAATCATTGCCGTGGCAAGACGCGCCAACTGCAATTTTATCGGCGATCTCCCTGATGGACTGGAGACCCAGGTAGGCGCAAGAGGATCGCAGCTCTCTGGTGGTCAGAAGCAGCGCATCGCCATTGCCAGAGCTCTTCTTAAGGATCCTGATATTTTGATACTCGACGAAGCTACCTCGGCCTTGGATGCCGAATCCGAAACACTTGTCAACGAAGCTCTTGCTGGCTTGCTTCGTGGACACAACACTACCATCTCCATTGCTCATCGTCTGTCGACTATCAAGCGCTCTGACCAGATTATTGTCCTCAATACCGAGGGCAAAGTAGCAGAAATCGGCAGCTACACACAGCTCGCTGCCAACAAGGACAGTGCTTTCAGCAAGCTGATGGAGTGGCAGATGAGCGGTGGTGAGATTACAGAGAAGCGCCCGTCCGCGGGGGCAGCACACATCACCGAGGCGGAATATATGGAGCAGGAGAGGCAAAAGGACGAAGAAGAGCTCATTGAAGGGGAGCAGGGCGAAGAGAAGGAATCAGAAAGTGAAGTTGCTGAGCAGAAGCAAAGATGATTGATTAGCACCAAGCTGGTATAGGTGCAGTGTCGGCGTTGGTAGTCCGGCAATTGCTTCATTCACTTCTCACTGTTTTGTAAAATATTGTTCCGGCTACTCTGTCCTGTTTATTTGATGGCTTTGGGATAAATGCCATCTTTGACGTATTCGAGCGACATTCCCACTGACAGGGCTATATGGCCGCCCTCAAACGTCTATCCGTTCAGAGAAATCCCAAGCAGAGGGCTTGGGCTGTGATTTTGGGGATGTTTTTTTTTTTGTGTGTAATGGGGGCCTTCGAGACTAGAATCGATACAATCAATACAGACGCGATTGTTTTGCATATAATTAATTTATTTACACCTCTCCCGCAGCCTCCGTCGACGCCACGGCGGCGGGAATTCCAGATCGGGAATGGGCTCCATTCAATGCACCATCACATGATTGACTGTATGTATGCTCCCTTTACGATGGCCAGATAATCGATAATTGTCCTCTTCAGGGGGAATTCCTCTTTCTATAACTACAATTTTGACCAGCATAAGAAGTCTAGTGACTGTTTAGCTTTTTCTTAGTTTTCGTGGCGCTCAAAGAAACTCCAACGTCAGTTTTCTTAGCCTGACCTGAAATCGACACTGCAAAGAACGCTCGTGTTGAGTCGTCTCCGCATCGCCCGCGTGCCGCTTACCTCTCAAAAATACAAAGCCAACAAGAGTTCAAGATGTCTACAACTGAAGGACAGTTCAAAATAGGGGACGTCAGTCTTTACACCAAAACGTGGACTGTAAGTGCTCTCTACCTAGTTATTTCCAACTTTGCTTTTCTCGATATTTGCCTTTGCTTCAGGGGTCTTGTTGCTAATAAATGCCTGAACAGCCGACAGGCCCCATCAAGGCCAAGCTCATCTTTGTCCACGGGTTCAGCGAGCACATTAATCGCTACAATGACTTCTTTCCCAAATTAAGCGAGGCTGGGATTCAGGTATTCGGCTTCGATCAGCGCGGCTGGGGCAAGTCGACCACCAAAAAGGCGGAGCGCGGCTTGACCGGCCCAACGTCTCTCGTCATCTCGGACGTCGCCGCTTTCATCGAGGACAAGCTTCCGTCCGACGTGCCCGTATTCGTCATGGGCCACTCAATGGGCGGCGGTGAAGTGATTACCCTGGCGGCGGACCCCAGCTATGCCAAGCTGGTCAAGCAGGTTCGCGGCTGGATGCTCGATGCGCCCTTTATCGGCTTCTCGCCCGACGAAGAGCCAAGCAGCATCAAGATTTTCATGGGCCGCCTGGTTGGCAGGCTGCTGCCCAAGCAGCAGCTCCGACACGAAGTTCCACCCGAGCATCTGAGCCGCGATGCGGCCGTTGTGCAAGACTTTCGCAACGATCCTCTGTGTCACAATACCGGCACGCTAGAGGGCCTGGCCTCGCTCCTGGACCGGACCGGCGCGCTTTCTTCAGGCTCCGTCAAGCTGGATGATGATTTGAGTCTTTTTCTCGCCCACGGAACTGCGGACAAGACTTGTAGTTATGAGGCGTCAAAGAAGTTTTTCAATGAGCAATCAACGAATGACAAGACGCACAAGGCATACGACGGCGCGTACCACCAAATTCATGCAGATCTTTGCAAAGATGACTTTGCTAGGGATGTTATTGAGTGGATTAGTGCTCGCTGCGATAAACGAGAGAGCGGACCTGCGGAGTCAAAGTTGTAAAGGGGCTGAAAGCAGAAAGAGATGGATAGTCTAGTGCAATCTAGCATCGAACAGTTAGTTGAGGTTTTGGATAAGATTTTGGATAAGATTTTGCGGATTTCAAGTCGGCACGTTGTTTTGTAATACAGCCTATAATATGATGAGATCTTTAGTTCCATAGGAGACACGAGAAGAGAGAGCTTTCGAAAAGGCACTCTTTAACTCTTTAGTATAAGTGTTTCAAAACTACTCAGAAAAGATCAATCGCTAGAGTATGAAGGAGACTCGTCCCAAGCCTTCCGCCAGCTCCCGAAGAAGCTCATGGATCTGTGGAGCAGGACTGCCCTCTTTGGCTGGCTATATGTTGGAAAAAAAGGAAGTAAAAAAAGAAAAAGAAAAAAAAAGACAACCCCATCTTCGTCGCATCGCTGTTCGTCTCAAAGCTACAGCCTGCACCAAAGCTGCGCCATGACACACGCCTGGGATCTGCTTCCTTATTTACCCATCGTTTTCTCCGCGAACCAGAGGCCCGCAAGACGGGGCTGATAACTGAAAGACCAGTTCTTTAGCTAATATTTTGTTATTCTGATAAATCCTGCCAGCCTTTTTTTTTTTTTGCCGCTTCCATCATGGCACAACACCCCCGCACTTGGAGGCCGCCCGGCAAGCCTATACCCGGCCTTGAGGACTTAGCAACAGTTTCCTTTGCTCCAAAGTTGGCCCCAATTTACAGTTTATGCGACCTCTGTCTGAAAGCAAGTTCTTTTGTCTTGAGAGTTTGTGTTTACACGTCAAAGAACGCGTGCAAAAGATGCTGCTTGCCAGGAAAAGGGAGGAGGCGCAAGAACTGTTGCTGGCATCATCTCACTACTGCTTTATGAGGTGGTCACCATGTCCAGCCAGACTCGACAGATCTCTGAGAATTTCCGCTGCCACGCAAAAAAAAAACTGTTTCCCAGCCCTCGTGCTTTCACTTGTGCCTGATGACAAAACAACTTGTCTTGACTGGATGGCCTACATACCAGTACCACGTTGGCTGGGCAGGAGCCAAGGGGAAGACGGGTGTCTAGACAAAGTGGAACTGCCCGGTATTTGAGCAAGCCCAGTTGCCATGTTGCCATTTATTACCAAGTTGTTTCGAAAGCCAGCGCACCAGTTCCTAAGCAAGGCTGGCAAAGCTGGCTGGCCCATGTTTCGACGCTAAATCAAGCTAAAGTTGGCTGGAACTAACGTTCCTTGCTTATACGCCAACAGACTTCAGACACTCGCTGATCCCTTTATGCGACGGCCTCAGCTAGTTAGCTCATCCATCCCAACTGCCTTGGTGGTCATCAGCTCGCCGTCATACTTTTTTTTTGTACCTTGGCTATATTACCCCTACTCGTCTGTTGCCTTGATCTGCCGGTCTGCCTCTCGCGTCATCCTCTCTTGCACAAGTCTCCAGAACCAACCCGCTTGGTTCTTGTTTCGGTTCCTTTGCTTTCACAGTTTGTCTTCACCCGGGCCGTCACGGTGGGGGTTGGTTACATTGCATCTCGCTTACGAAGATCCCCCTTACATCAAGTATATGTAGGATCTGCGAGGCTTGTTCACCATATGTACTACCAACCACTACGGATACTTTGGCAGCACAGCTTTTAGCTTTCACGGCCACATATAGATTCTTCCTTTATCCTTTCTTCTGCAAGATACACACCAGCGGCAAAAATGATTCCCACCGGAAGCAACACCATCACACATCATCCTTCCGTCTATCACCTCCAGCACTTGCCTTCCAGTCGCAGCAGCTCCAAGTCGCCCACTGTCCGCCATGCATCTAGTACTGCAGTAGAGACTGTACCGCCGATGAGCAGTGATGACGCTGTAGAGCGCCATCCCTCTCATGCCACCGATGTCGAAAGCCAAGTCACCGTCGGGCGTACATTACGGTTTCCTCGTGTTGCGGCCGAGAGCGATCCTTTTGGTCTCTCCTCGGCATACAAGACGGATTCAGATCTTGAGCAAATCAAGGCCAACTCGTCGCGCAAGAGAGGCGGCGGTGGTGGCAAGCTCGATGCTGCCCCCAAGCTTGATGCACGCAAAGTCCGCGGATTCTACCAGAACCAAAATGCTGCCATTGAGCGCATGCTGAAATCCGTCGAGGAGCATCGCGCTGATGCTCGCCAGGAGCAAGGCGACGACCAGCTCAAGTTCAAGATTGCCATCTGGGGCTCATTCACCGCCAATGTCATTCTTGCCATCCTGCAACTCTATGCCGCTATTTCCTCGGGGTCTCTGTCTCTGATTACCAGCATGGCTGATGCTGTGTTTGACCCTCTGAGCAACCTGACTTTGATCTTGTCCAACCGTGCCATCAAGAGGGTCGACCCCAGGCGGTTTCCTGCCGGCAAGGCTCGTCTTGAGACGGTCGGAAACATTCTCTTTTGCATGCTCATGACATCGGTTTCGTTGATCATCATTGCGTTCGCTGTCCAGCAGCTGATTACGAAGCGTGACGACAAGGAGTTTCACATTCCTTCTGTAATCTCTGTTTGCGTTGCCTTTGCCACAAAGTTTGCCCTCTTCCTCTACTGTTGGGGTCTCAAGGACAAGTACAGCCAAATCAATATCCTCTGGCAGGACCATCGCAACGACCTGGCTGTCAACGCCGTTGCCATTTTGACTAGTGTCGGTGGTTCCAAGATTGTTTGGTGGCTTGATCCTGCTGGTGCCATCCTGCTGTCTATACTCATCTCAACTGTGTGGATGCGCACTGCTTTTGGTGAATTCTTGCTCTTGGTCGGCGTTTCGGCTTCGGTCGAGTTCCAGCAGCTCATCACATATGTGTGTCTGACGCACTCGGATGCCGTGGAGGGAATCGATACCGTGCGCGTATATCATTCGGGACCACGTTTGATTGCCGAGGTTGACATTGTCATGGATCCCGACTGCTCGCTGAGAGAGTCGCACGATATCGCCGAAGAGCTTCAGATAAAATTGGAGAGCCTTCCCGATATTGAGCGATCATACGTCCACATTGACTATGAGACTACGCATAAGCCAGAGCATTTTTTCAAAAAGGATCTTTGAGATGCAAAAAAGGCTTTGGTCTTTGCTTTTCGGTACTATTCAAAACAGAGGAATTCTTAAGATGGCAGTTTTTGTCAAATGGTAATTGGTGTTTTATTTGGCCAAGCAAAGTGATATTTTGGCCCCGGGTTTGGTTTCAGTGATATCAAAAAAAGAGAATGACTACAGTTGAGCTGTATGCAATTTGAAAACTTTGGCTTTTTCAACAATGACCCAGCCTTTCTTTTCCTCGACGCGAGTCTCTCGTGTCTTGATTACTTGCTCAGCTGCCGGCGGCAATAGCTGCTGCTGCGCATGCTGCTGCATCACCGTATCCTCTTCCAGACCGTCATTGCCTCCATGGGGCCCTTTTCCTTTGGGAATCTTCCACTTGAGCACATTCTCGTATTCCCACACCATCCTCCTCGTAAGCGGCGGGGGCAGCAGCCCATCACCCGCCAGCGTCGTCAGTCCCGCAAAGTTGAACAGGTCTCGCAGGTACTCGTTTGTTTCGGCACCCCACGGAACGTCGTGAAAGTACTGGTGCTGCGCTTCGGTGCGCTCCGTGCGCTCCTCCTCCCACTGCTGCTGATGCCGAGGCGACGGCAGAGGCTGGGCGTTGCGGCCGGACCACAGCCGTGCAAGCGCAATGGCTTGGTACTCGAAGCTCCGGAAGGTGAGGGTCCTGGGAAACCCAACGACACCGAGGGTGGGATAGTCGCGAAAGAAGACGTGCTGGTAGCAGCCCAAAAGCCTGTTGAGTCGGTAATCAAACAGCGGGCCACCGTTGATCTCTTGATTCCAAAAGGGAAAGGAGGGCTTGTATCCGGTACAGTATATGACGGCGTCGACGCCGGCCAAGGCAGTCCCGTCGGCAAAGAGAATGCTGCCGTCTTGCCTGTACTCGGAGACGACGGGCTTCCATTCTATCCCCGGCGGCGGCTCGTCGCCCTCCCACAAGGCCGGGCTTCTGCGCGACAGGTACACGCTGCCCTTGGCGACGCCCACCAGCTCCTCGCTCAGCTCTCTGCCGGAAACAGAGTTGCCAATGATCAAAACACGCCGGCCGGCGTAGAGCTTTGGATTGCGGTAGCGTTTAGAGTGCGATATGCGGCCTGGGTACTTTTCAATGTACGGCCCAAGACCCTTGACTCTTGGAACCTGCTCTCTCTTTTGGTCATTACAACAATTTTGGGATCATTGCGGTGGGATATCTACATCTCGCTGGCCAGAGAAGAAACTTACATATGGAACGGCATAGTGTCCATTGGCAAGCACAACAGCGTCGTAGAATTCCTCCCACCACTCGTCGACTTGGCGAGCGGCATCGTATTTTCTCAACGTCAGCCTCCACTCGCCCTGGCCGTTGTGCCATGAGAGCGGCGATCTTGCGAGATCCTCGACAGTGGTATTCGTTTGGAGCAGCGTGTCCGTCTGATGCAAGGCAAAGTAGTTTTCCACATATTGCCTCGCAATGTAGTGCGGTGCAAATGGACCGTAGGGGAGGAGCGCGTCCGAAAAGGTCATGGCAATGTTGGGAACATTTGTGCTACTCGCATCCACAACACAGGATATGTCAGTCTTCAGTCTTCAGTCTCAAGGGAACCCTTCTTTGTTTCGGAGTGGTATGCTCTCTCACCTGAGAGAGTCATATACGGGTGTGGTAGCCCATCGATTCGTTTTATCTGGAGACGTTGTCGTTGGCAGATTTCTCGGTATATCCAAATGTACATCTAGTTCAGTAGGTAGCTTCCCTGGCTCGACCGGTGTGACAGGGCCGGGATCTGGATCATGAATCCTACATAGCATGCTGTCAGCGATGATGCTTTAAAAAAAAAAAAGAATCAAACGGCGGGACAAAATGCTCATTGTCCCACATACCATGTACCGCCAGCAGTTTCGCGACGCTCAAATACCCGGATTCGGTCAAAGTAGTTTTCGGCCTTGAGTGCTGCCGCCGCGATGGCGCCTTTTGTTGTTGTAAGTGACAAGAAAAAGTTAGCCGGGTGCTAATGTCCTTGGGGCAAGCTGGCGGGCGAGAATTCTTTGACAATACCCGACGGACCAGCGCCAATAATGGCCACTGATTGTATTCTAACCTGAGACGACGAGTTCATCTCTTTGTCGCAAAACGCTCTCTACATGCGATGATGTGTGTAGAAAGACGTCCGGCTCTTGCAGGAACGGACTTGTTACAATACGAGCAGAAGAAGCACGCAGCCGGTGGCCGTTTAGATAATCCTACCTACTCCATTCCCACCGCCATGAGCTAGATTCCATCCGAGCTTATTATTGAATCTCTACTTCAGATTGGTTGTTTTTATCTGCTCAACCCTCCAGAGGGAGTATCAGCAGTGGAACCCCAGGGGGGGGGTTGAAGGGGCGCTTTCTAGCTCAAGAGTGAGAGGCTCGCCATATGCACCCGCATTGCATCACCCGTCAAGCGTCCCAATCGGGAGTACTCGATTTCCCCAGTGTACATGGTTATCAATGGCACCATACCTTAGTACTTTGCTGCATTTCCTCCCCCACCCCATTTGTCAGCCCGCAATTCGCGGCTTCAGTCACTCACTGACTTGATAGACTTGCCCAGTTTCACATGGCCGTCCCTTGTCAACCCGCGTGAATTGACCGAGCATCTCAAAAAAGATGGCTACCCATGGTGATGATGTCGAGAGTCAACAACAACAACAAGAAGCGCATAGCGAGGAAACTCCTCTGCTAATAAATCAGGAGAGTAGTCATGCGCAGGAGCAGGCGGGAGCTGCACAAGCCCAACCACGGCCCTACCTATCATATTCTCTAAAAGCACTAGCCGGGCTCATCGCCGTCGGCATCGCCGTCGTCTTTGTCAAAGGTTGGATCGATGCTGGCAGCGATGTCGATGTAAGTGTGATTTGAATTTCACCCTACCAAAAATATATATTTATATATGTTTTTTTTCTTCTTCTAATCTTTCAATACGCCATTACTTTTGGGCCAGTTTGATTTCAAAAAGGCGCTGAAAAAGGCCCTTGGCGGCGGTCTGAGTGGTGCTGCGGCCATGGTTCTCCAGGTGCTGCTCCTCATGGTACGTCGCGCGCGCGCGCTCTCTCTCTCTCTCTCGGACCTGCTCGGAATAGGGTTAAATAAGGAAATGGCAGCCACTTCGGACCATTATGAATTACCAATACCGGTATGGAACTTCGTTTTCGACAGCCAGCGCGACCTTGTACACCAGCGGAGGCCTGGGCCGCTATTACGACGGCATTGGGGCAGCATTAATCCAAGGTATGAGATGGACGTTTCTGTTCTACTACAAAAAAAAAAGAAAAAGAAGAGAAAAAGAAAAAAAGAAAGAAGAGAGAAAAAAAAAAGAAAAAAAGAAAAAGAGAGAAAGAAGAAATAAAGAGATAATACTAAGACTTGGTTACAGGCCCTGTTTCGAGATTTGGCGACACTGCTGCCAATGCCGGTATCCTCGCGCTACTCCAGTCAAATTCATACCTAAAAGATTTGCCAGTCCTCATCAAGACCATATTCGCCTCTCTTTGGTATGACTAAGAAAGGAAGTAGTTTTGCAAGTCTCGCCAGCTAATGCTAAGCAGCGCTGCCGCTTTCAGAATGATCCTCACCCCCGTCGACACGTTAAAGACGACGCTTCAAGTACAAGGCCCCGAGGGCAGGGCTCTGCTCCGCGAGCGCATCAAGAAACACGGCGTCGGTACACTCTGGTGGGGAGCATTTGCGACTGCGGGAGCGACCTTTGTGGGACACTACCCATGGTTTGCCACGGTATGTTTTTTTTGCTACGGAGAATGAAGGAAGCCCTTAGACTTACAGACAAATCTTTCTGTCTCGGCAGTACAATATATTGAGCGAAGCCATCAAAGAGCCACCCAAAGACCAATTCTTTCTTTGGCTTTTACGTCTGGCATTTATAGGCTTTGTTGCCTCATTGGTATCTGACTGCGTATCAAACTCGTTGCGAGTGGTCAAGACGTATCGCCAAGTCAACGAGACGCAGGTTTCCTACAGTAAGAAGTGGACAGCGAATATCCCCCCCCTCTCCTCCCCAACCTTGGCGATATCATCTTTTTGACGTGAAAATTAGCCAAAGCAGCAAAGCTGGTCATTCAGGGCGACGGTGTATCAGGCCTTTTTGGCCGGGGACTCTCGACGCGCATCTTGTGCAACGGTCTGCAAGGCCTTCTCTTTTCCATCTTGTGGAAGCTGTTTCTCGACTTGTAAGTTTTTTTTTTTTTTTTTTTTTTTTTGTTGGGTCATGCATGTATGTTGCCTGTCGAGATGAGCGGAATGCTGACACCGATTCCTTTAGCTTGGAGTCGAGAAAAGGTGCATAGCGGTGTGTTGGCATGACCTAGGTTGAAGCCATGATGAACATGTCTTGGGTTGGCCAAGGTCAAATGCATGCATGATTGACATGAGCCACAAAACTGGAGCTCTAAATTTAAACTGCACGATAGATGGCCGATAGATTTACACGTTGACGAGAATAGAGAAACCCGAAAGGATTCATGCACAATCAGCATGGTAGCAATCGGTTTGTTGAGGCGAGGCCAACTACGTATTGGTACCAGCCCGGCACCTTGATCGGCACCTAGATGGCCAGACAATTGGCGACAGCCCAGTGAGTATCTACAGAGCTGCTCTTGAATGCTTTGAGCGGTTCTAAAGGAATTTACAGTAATTATCCAGACATTCCATAATCACCATGATTCTTTCATACTCTCAACATTGTCCAGAAATACTCATCCTTTCAACATTTGTCCAGAAATATCGTCTTGTCCCTGCAGCACAGACGTACTGTAACCTAGCCAACCCATGTAGCAATCAAAGGGCTCCAGTGCCATGCAGCCACGAATACCCAGCTTGTGATACACCATCTAGCTCGTATTTCAGTCAGTCTCCCTCAACACATCAACCTAGCATTATCATTATCAATAGTTCCTTTCTACCAAAGTACCCTGTACCGCGGGCAAACAGCCCAGCAACGGCTACCTACAAAGTAAAGCTATCTACCTACCCACTTCGCCTCCACCTCCACATTGAGACGTCACCATCTCCCCAAGTCAGTTCGCCTGAATAACCTCGCCTTTGTCTTTTCCGCCACCGTTTTTTTTTCCTAAAGCGCAGAAACATCCTCCCGAGTGGCGGACAGGGCCGGAGCGTCGACATTTATCGCGCCGACAATTACATCTCCCGCTCCAGTCGCCGCAGACACGTCAACTTTTAGGGGGTAGCAATAGCGCGAGACCACACCAACAAGCAGTAGCTCGTCTCTCACAACATCTAGCGCCTCACCTCTCCTACCTCACCGACGTCACCATGGCGGCCGTTGCAGACGGAGAGCAAGTGTACGCGACGGTATGATAATCTGTCAACCCAGCCGTGCAATTTATCTGGCCCAATGGACCCCCAGAAGCTAATACTCTTTTGTTCCTCCCAGCTTCTATTGACCGACTCGTATCTCCCAGGTCAGTGGCCGACGTCATTGTCGCAAAGCCCACCAGGCCAACAACACCTTCTCCCAAACCTCGCCGCACTGTAGCTAATCTGTCCCGACCCATCGTTATAGGTGCCCTTGTCCTTGCGCATTCTCTCCGAGATGCAGGTACTGCGCGGAAGCTCGTCGTCTTCTTCACCCTCGACAGCGTCTCCGCCGACTCCATCACGCAGCTCCGGGCCGTCTTCGATCAGGTCATACCCGTCCCTAGAATCCGTAACGAGCACCGCGCCAACCTCTACCTTATGCACCGTCCCGATCTCGACTCTGCATTCACAAAGATCAATCTCTGGAAGCAGACCCAATTCTCCAAGATTATATACATAGACGCCGATGTCGTCGCCTATCGCGCCCCGGATGAGCTCTTTGCGCTCCAGCACTCTTTCGGCGCCGCGCCAGACATTGGGTGGCCGGACCTATTCAACACTGGTGTCATGGTATTGGTTCCCAATTTGGGAGACTACTATGCTCTTCTGGCCATGGCGGAGCGCGGCATCTCCTTTGACGGTGCAGACCAGGGGCTGTTGAACATGTACTTCAAAAACACAGTGCATCGCCTTTCCTTTACCTACAACGTCACACCTTCCGCGCATTACCAGTATCTGCCAGCATATCGTCATTTCCAGTCTAGCATCAACATGGTGCATTTTATCGGCCCAAACAAGCCTTGGTTCGAGGGCCGTCATGCGTCGCATGGAGCCTCTCCGTACGGTGAGATGGTGGGCAGGTGGTGGTCAGTCTATGATCGCCATTACCGTGCACAGGTAGGCGCTCTGCCTTTGCGGCTCGATTCATATAGCTCAACTCACCAACACTTACTAAACAGCATGAATGGGATCAATCAAGAGGCGACAGCGAACCCGCGCAACCGAGTATCCAAGTCCACCTTGCTCCCCAACAGCAGCAGCAGCAGTCGCCACACCAAAACATTACAGAGCCTTTGCCTCAGATACATGTACAAGAGCCGACGCATCAGCACGAGACCAAAAAGAAGTCTCATTCGCGCAACCAGAGCTGGGACGCTCAGCGGTAAGAAATACTTGGCAAACGAAGCGGTCAATGCTCTGCTAACTGATTCCAGACAGCCTCCCCCAAGAGATTCGAGGCCAGAAGCCCAAAACTTTCCAAATACCCATTACGCCATGTCCCAGGATGTCAAGCCATTTGTCCCTCCCGCAAGATACCCGAGTCCGCCCAAAGACATGTGGTACGAGGTTCCGAAAGAGCGTCCCGCACCGCCAGCGCAGCCGCCAAAGCCCGTGTTTCCCTGGGAAGGCCAACAACCTCAGGCATCACGGTCATTTCCTGCTGCACCCGGCGAGCTACCAGCTGCTGAAGAAGACGCCAAGGACAAAGAGACTCGGGCAGCAACGCCACAGACTACCGCTCCCGCCATTGACTCATCTCCTACTAAGCCTGCAACTTCCCCCAGCGTTTGGAGCTCTTTCACTGTGGTCAATGCGTGGGACGATGTTCCCGAGATTAGTCGTTACGTCGAGCGCACCAGGGGCCATCGCCGAGGCAAGAGCTCTCAGGTCAGTCTACCAGGGCTCAAGGCTGGAAATGTGCTGCCCGAGTCAGCTTCTCCAAAGAGGCTCAGCTTTCCAGGCCTCAAGCTCACAGACTTTCCCACCGAAACCGAGCGACCCAGCTTGCCTGTTACACCCGCGCCCGTCCGTCGCCCGTCATTCTGGGGCGAGGACGGAGAAAATGCCAGGACTAAAGACGCCATCGCCCAAACAACAGTACCTACTGCAGACGGTGTACCTGCACAATCCGAATGGGTAAGTACCTAAGGGATTGACAAAAAGAGATGTCCATGCATGGGATCTTTTGTTGCTCTGTTCGAAAGCTGGCCCTTCAAACTAACCAAACCCAAACACAGAACCCAGGAGAGCAGCTACAGAAACTCGCCGCTCAGCACTCCGACGAGCTGCTGCGGCGACTCTCGGGCGCCGACAGCGACTCTCTCGGCATGTTCAACGAGTCTCCGCCACCTGCTCCTGCTGCGCCGACGAGCAGCCCCGGCGTGCTCAGCCCGAAGCCCATCAAGGCCGACGGGGTCGCGCCCAAAGGCTCTCTCGACACCACACACCTAGCAGCCGCCGCCAAGCAGACTGACTGATGGCGGCCCCGCGTAGGTTAGGCAGTCAAAACGGTATATGAAGTGCATAATGATTTTTTTTTTTCATGGTAAGAGCGCGCGATTTGATGGTGTCGGTATTGCATGTTTTTTTTTTTTATGTTTTGTGTTACGTTGAGCGCTGTCCTTGTTTCTTTTTCATTGCGGCTTTGTTTCTTCTTTCTTGATTTGCTTTCCTAACTCGACACTATATTGCCATTCTTGTTGTGCATCATAAGAAAGGCTAGGTAGGATTGGCTGTTTCTACCGTGTGTACATTTTCAATTTCATCCTATTTTACTATCCTACTATCTTTGGGTTGCGCGTGTTTCGTGCCTCACTCATTCTTCGACGTAAAAAAACGGCCAGACATTATTAGCTTGTACAATTACGCACTTCATAACTCCATTGTAATCTCAACATAACACACAATCACACAATCGACGCGGCATGGAAGCGGAACAAATAATACACATCATCATTGGCATGTTGAAAACAAATGCCACGCTATGAAACCGGTAAAAAAGCATACACATGTCTTGCGTCCTATCTCGTAACTACCATCACCGCGCTTGTTACAAATATAAGCCATTTCAGTCATCCTCTTCATCGGGTACCTCTTCAATGGTAACAGCCCGACCTGCTGTTTTGCTGCCTTCAGCAGGTTCCGCCTGGTCATCGGATTCGGATTCAGATGATGGAGACGCGGCGCCCCTACTCTGGTCACTATCCTCTGCAGACTGGGTACTGCCCGCTGCTAGGGAGGCTGCCTCTCCCACTGCTACACCGGTTCCGTTCTCCATAGACTCAGACCTCGCTGCACTGCCAAAGTGCTGCGAAGACCCGCCCCAGTTTGGAATATTGGAAGCTGCGGCGGTAGCAGATGGCGGCGCCTCAGCTGATGCAGCTGCGTCGGATGTAACAGTGGTGCTGTGTGTCGAATTGTCGGGCCTCGTTCCAGGCCCAGACTCTCCGCCTCGACCTCGACCGAAGGACCTATCTAGGATTTGCTGTTGTGCCGAGACAGCTCCCGGCTGCGCGTCGGCCGGCGCGTCGTTGGAAACAACTGTCGGCTCGGACCTCGCTCCCGCACCGTTGGATCCACTGATGCGGAAGTTAGTCGTACCGGGAATACGTTCCAAAACATGAGCATTGGTTCGTTGGGATGGCTGCGACGTAGGAGCTTGTGAAACCGGAAGTTGGGACGTGCCATCTTCGCCGTGCGGAGTCGTGGCAGGGCCAGCGGAAGATGCTCGCGACGAGCGATGTGTGCTAGCAGGGGGAGCCTGGTGCTGGCTATCCAACCTTTGCAACGGCATCAAGGTCCACCCAGGAGGAATGGCGACGCCGTCAGGCAGATCGGGACTACCGGCAGGGATTGCTGCAGAGTACGAGGTAGCTCCATGTCTCATCATGACGGGACTTTGCGTCCGTGAAGGTACGCTTCTGCTGCCGCGCAACTCGGCTGAGCTCTGAATGGTCTGATCATGCGCCAGGGCTTCAGCGCCAGGGAGAAGACTGTCAGCATTTTCGTGCTGCAACAGCTCTAACCGCTCGAGCTCAGTAACCAGCTGTCCAAGAATTTGCAGTTGCTCGTTGGATATACGAAGAGCCTCAGCTTCTTGGCGGACCAACACAGAGGCTTGGCTGTACATATTTGAAAGCGTTCGAAGCCTGTGTGATCTCAAGGCGGAGCTCTGGTTCAATAGGATGTGACGCGAAGCATTGGACTGTGAAGCTGCAAACATTGTTTGGGGGTTCGTATCTGTCTGATGTTGTACGGCAGATGGCAATACATGTCCCTGTGTGTTCGCAGATTGGGCAAGTTGAAAAGGCTGAGATGATTGGCCCGATGCAGGCTGATCTCCTGTACTTTGCTGAGACTGCTGTTGGGCTGATTGCGATTGAGATGGATCAGCCTCTGGTTGCACGCCTGAAGGATCCTGTGGGAAGCCACGACGCCAACGTCGGCGCATGCGCTCTTCTGCTTCCTGGCGAGGCTGCCCCTCGTTTCTGAGTATGGCAAGTATATCTTGCATTGGTCGTACATGTGGTGCATTGCGGCGCTGAGGAGCCTGGGGAGCCGCATTGACCGGCCGGCGAAGCGCGTCCATATTCGGGCCAGCTTGAGCTGGTGGATCGTGCAGTGCCTGCTCTAATGCAAATCTGCCAAATCGAGGTTCCTGGACAGGCCCCCCTTGAGCGGCTTGCAGTCCATTGTTGGGTATCTGTGGCGCAACAGGAGCGCGGTTGGCATTGTTGGTTGTGGGTGGCACTCGATCCGGAGTGACGGGTCTTCTGCATGTTGGGCAGACTTGCTGCCTCTCGAGCCAGCTTTTGAGGCACCCGAGGTGAAGTATATGACCGCATGGTAGCTTTTTGGGTCGAATTCGGTCGAGCGCTCCCGGATTGGCATTGAGATCCCAAACACGCATGTCTTCTCGACAGATGATGCAAGTATTCTCTTGGTCCAGTTCAGCTTGAGTAGCATCTGGGTATCTATTCATCTCTTGTATGGCTCGACGGTATCGCAAGACCGAATTGAGGCGCTTCAAAAAGTCTCTAGCGGTCATGAGCAAGTCGCGCATGATGTGTATCGGGAACGTGTAGAAAATCGTCAACAAGACGAAGAAGGTAACATAGAGAACGAGCTTCAGCGTGTCTATAATATATTGGTCAGTAACAAAATCAAAGACCATGTGTTCACCAGCGGCTTACCTGTTAGAAGATCCAGCCAAAGTACCCATTCTCCTTTCGTCGCCCAGCCAGGTACTTCGATGTCCATCTCATCAATGTCGTCTGGATTGGGCAGAGGCTCTTCGGTCTCGATTGGCTGGCCGCTGGCAGCCGCTTCTTCGCGTTGTCGTATGATTGTATCTCGCTGTTCCCTGACTTCTTGCCTGCGCTCCAGGAGACGCGCTTGCGTTTGTGTCTGAATCATCTTTTGCTCAATAATGGATAGAATATAGCGGACTCCTGATCTCCCGGACGTTGTTGCTAGAACGGCGAACTCGAAGAGGAACATGACCATCATGTCAGCTCTGGCCTCTTGAATAACGGTATTGATGCAGTAGCGAAGGATCCAAACGTCATAGACAAAGCTCATGAGGAGCGAAATAGTCAGACGAGTATGGAAGAGGCGAGGGTTAGCCGGCGGCTGCTGTTCCAGAAACTCGACTCGCCCATCTCCTATCCAGCCCCAGACTTTGCCTGTTACGAGGGCTGTGAACATGACAAGGAACCATGCCCCGAGTTCATCGCGGAATATAGTCATCGCTAGGCATGTTTCAGTGATGGCGAACCAGGCTCGTTCCGTAAGTTGCTCGACTTCGGCGGTTCGTAGCGTTCCCCAGCACAGCTGAGAAATACCGTATACAATGGTTCCGTAGATAAGCAATGTGAAGTTGATTAAGACCTGTTGTGTTATTCCTATTAGACCATCACTGCCCTGCAGAAGGTGGCTCAGCGTAACTCACTAGCAAGCAGAAATTGCTCTGCGATAGGTAGACCATTGCCGAGTAAAAGTTGGCCCTCTGCTGAAAAGCCGAGAAGACAACAGCACCAGCGAGGGCTGTTGACGCCTAAAGACTGACTGTTAACGACCATGTTTCATTTGATGGCGCCCCCTAGGCGCGAGCCGCGAACGTTGCGAGCTTACCCCGGCGTACCATCCAAGACGCATCTTGGGCATTGGCACACGACTTTTGATGTTAATATCCAAACAATAGGCTATTCAAATCCGTTAGATCCCCATTTTTGGAGCTCTCGGGCAAGCGCGACGAGAGAGGTGGAAAGTCGCTTCAAGGCAGCTGAAGGTAACTCTCAAGAAGCCACGTTAGTGGTTCGCGGTTTGGGGGGAGCTCCAATGACGCACTTAGTCACCCCAGGCACGTGACGATCCAACGGTGGCGGGTGAAACGGAGCTGGTGACGTTAACACCAATATCTAATGCATTTCTCTGAGTTCCGCTACAGAAAGCTCATCACCGATTCCAGGATGGCATTCTGATACCAATTTTCTCCACGAAAATAGATGCCATTTTACGAAGCCTGACGCGCTAGAGCGCTTGTGGCACAGGAACCCCCTTACCAAGTAATTACTCTCGTGTCTCAATCGCCTTAGTTTCTCCGTCTTCTATCTTCGTACATATCAATAATAGCAAGCGTCTTAAACCCAAATCATAGCACCTCCGTTTACCAAGTGCCTCTAACCCGAAACCCATTGGCTGTCCGTCCAGCGAAAAAGGCAGCCACGCTGGCACTTTCGGCTGGTTCACCGAATCGGCCCAATAGATTCTGCTTTGAATAGAGTGTTTTCTTAAATCCAGCTGAAATCAGCCCATGACACAACTTGAAAGCCACAAAACACTCCAAAAGAGCTTGCGCCTAAACACCCCAGCTGTCTCACCGTTTATTTGTTTTTTTCATGTCTTTCCCCAGACGTTTGTCTTGCACAAGATCACATGCTGAATGCCTTTGCCGGCCGGGTGAAAGCTTACTCTGTACTCACTATGCCCGGTTTGTGCAGTCTGCGAGAGGATGGGCGTGGCAACTGGCTGATCACTCTTACTAGCGTTCTGTCCGGGCGGGCAACTCGAGCTTGTACTGCGATTTTATCAGGGTTACTATCAATTATTGTTTTCAGCTGAGGCGTCTGGCACGTACGCTGATGGCTTTATCTCGGAGGATGGAGGCAGCTATTGTGTACTTTGGGTATATAATGGGCTGCCTTCCGCCGCCACTGATCTCCCATCTCGCAGAAAGCATACTTTACTTTCCAATGAGCAGATGTCAAGCGACATGGATTGCACAGATATCGACGGACGGTATGGCAGGCAGCGGTTGAGGTGCCTACCACACTCGGCAATGACACGGACATTTACGCATGAACTCACGTGCCTTGCATCGTCTCGCGTGGCGGGCCAAGGTCAAATCACATGGGAAACAAAGAGTGGTTCTTAGGTGTTTGCTTCAGAGGTGAGTGTATTAACAAGCAAAAAAAAAATCCAAAAAAAAAATTCCAACTGATGCATAGAAATCCGGGGCTGGTCAACCAGCCGAGGCGAGTCCTTTTTAACCAAGATTGTAAAACAATATAGAGCAATACATAAACGCCAACCATCTGTTCCATTCAAAAACAGTATGCAGAAAATCCCGCTCAAGAAAGCAACTACAGACAACAAGAACAGGGTATCAATCCATGGCACTGGCCTTTGCCTATTGAGGAAAGTGCAGTGCGAGTCAATTCGACTCTTTCCGTCAAGGTGGAACAGAAGTTCCTATTATAAATATATCCCAATACTCCTTCATGACATCAAAAAAGTTTGGGTTCGCCTCGTCGCAATGCATTGTAAAGCCGAAACTTGCCGAACAATGGTTCTGGCAAGTCGCCCTCGCAAATCGTGTACTGGAGGGCGAGGCACAGCAAGTCATATCATTCCGCGCTTCGTCGTCAAAATGTTTACGAAGAAGCGGGAGTCGTTTCCGTGGTGGTTTCGGTGTTACTGAGGATTTCTTGCACTCTCTGCATCTCCAGAATCTGCTCCTCGGTAGGGTCATCAGAAATCCAGGGGCCCTTTTCGTCGTCGGTGGCGTTGAGGAAGCCCTCAGCGCGCTTCATGGTCTGCACGTCCAGGTCGGTGACGTAAGCTTTGCCGTCTGAGAGCTTAAGACGAACTTCACGGTCGGTGGAAAGCATCAAATCGTCCTTGGCTAGGCGACGCCCGCCGTCAAAGACGGCCATGATGCGCTTCTTCATGGTCATTTGACCCTTGTCGAAGCCCCAAGAGGATGGATAATCCTTACGGTTCTTACGACCGCGTGTCTTCCCAATCAAGGGAACGCCGCCGCGCGAGTGTGTCAAGCCACGTGACTTGGACACGCCGTTTGTGAGGGCCATCTTCTTCTTGGGTGACATGTTGAGGCGATCTTCACCGTCTTCCATGTCATCATCCTCTTCATCATCCTCACCGGGAGTAGAGTGGTTGGTGGGAGTGACGGTGGGCAGGTTGTTCTTCTCCAGGGTCTGGTGAACGCTACTATCGTTCTCCACTTCGGCGAGGCGCTGGGCGTTGATGGCTTCGGCGGGATCCTCCTGCTGAACAATGCGCAAAACACAGTCATCCAGATGCTCATAAAAGTCCTGGGCGTTGGAGAAGGTCTGTGAGCAGGTGCTGCACTTGCCGGTAGCGTCAGGAGCGTAACCGGTGAGCTTCTTGCCAGGGTTGATGGCGGTGGGGGCCTTCTTGCGAGAGTTTGGTGGCGTCTGCTCGACACCGTGAACGGTTGTCAGATGGCGCTTGAAAACGTCGGCGCGGTTGAACGACTTCTCGGCAGCCGAACCAGAACCAGGGCAGAAGCCGCAAACCATGGTACCCTTGTAATGGGTCAGGGTGTGTCGGTTCTTGTCGTACTTGCGAGCAAAGCCCTTGACGTGATACTCGCAGGTCTGGATGGGGCACTTTTCAGGGCGCTCAGTCTGGTGGGTGAGCATATGGGCCTTGAGATCCTTGAAGACTTTGCCGCAGTCAGGATAAGTGCATCGCTGGCGCTCCTTGTTCTCGTCGCCGGAAGGATACTCGGCAGAGCCAGGCGAGATGAAGCCGCCGGCCATGCTCGGGCGACGGCCGGTGGGGTCCATGGGAGTGCCGTAGGGGCTGTGAGAGAAGGCTTGTTGGAAGGAGCCATTATGAAGGTAGGGCGAAGAGGAGCTGGTGCGCATCATCGAAGGTTGAGGCGAGGCGGCGAGCGAAGGAGAGGCGGGATATGGGTGGACGGGTTGATGGAATCCTGCGTCATATGGCGAGAAGGATATTGGGTTGGGCTGTCCAATTTCAGGGTGGATCAATGAGGGATCTGGAGCCGGGTTCATCTTGTCAGTAAGGCTGCCACAGCAGAGCACCGGAGCGCAGCGAATTGATGTTTAAAGAAGCTATGCTCGGAATGATGGAGCTGTAACGTCTGGACTGCATGTAAAGAGAGAGAAAGAGAAGAAAATTGAACAAGGTGCAGTAGTGGTGTGAGGGTTGTGGACGTGGCTGGAGCTTGCAACCAGCCAGGAAGAGGGGCCTGAATAGATATGGACAAATGCAAAAGACTGAAGAGAGAAAACGTGCAGCGTAGTTGATGCAGCGGGTACTGGTAACTGGGGCGCTGGATAGCGTGGATAGGTAGGCAGTGGACTTGGTGGGCAGCCACGGTAATGTCTCGGTTGGCTAAATGACCCGAAGGCCCTCTTAAATGGGGGCTGTTGATGGGAGGTGATGAAAAGGATAGGTTGATCGGATGATGATGAACGTGAGATATGTGAGCAATATAGGCAACATGAGCAAGTAGAAAAGATGCGAGGACAGGCCTTGCGTGTGCAAGGTACCGAGATACCTTGCCTCTTTTCTAGTAGAGTCGAAGAGAATTGGAGAGGGCTGAGGATTTGCGCTGCAGTCAGAGAGGCGCTGCAGGAGCGAACTTTGAGCGAGCCAATATGATGACCGAAGGCTGTCGGAAGGTAGGGAAAAGTGTAGAATACTTGGGTAGGCCTCCCGAAGCACCGCCAAACTGGTAGCCACTCAGGTCACTCAACCGGGTTCAATCGAGCACAAAAACTGTGGCGCAGGCTGTGCTAGTGGCCAGCTGAACTGGCCCGGGGCAAGCGGGTCCTGTGGCTCGGCGATGCACGCTAGGTAGACCGACATGACCTTGCAGCAACGAAGAGGAGCGGGACAGACACACACACGCAAGACGCTCGCTGCCTCGGTGCCACATTTGCGCAGACACGACAACAACGGCCGCCGGAGCCTGATCGGTGCAATTTCTCGCTTGAGAAGAATTGCGCCGTCGTATTTCAAGGAGAAAGGGGAGGGGGGGACAGACGAACCGAAACGTGTACCAGAGTCGTTGCGCGAACAAAGACGAGCAGTAAAAGGGCAAAAAAACAAGGCAAAAGTAATGGAAAGGAACTCACCAACAAAAGTTTTGGCATGTGTAAAGTCAAAGGTCGACAAATCATCTACATTCGAGCTCGAAAACGTCGGGTACTCACCACCCGTCATGTAGTCGCCCACAATGCCCGGCTGCATACTTGCCCACTCGGGTACGCCCAAATGGCCAGTGTGCGACTGCGGTGATCCGACGACCGATGACGGTGCTGACGGGGCCGACGCCGTCGAAAGGCCCGAAGACGACAGTCGCATGTCGCCATCGTCGGGGTATACGCTCGGCGAGGTGCGGTTGTTGAGGACGTAGTTGGGAACGCCGCTATCGGTGCCGTACATGGTCTGCTCGAGGCTGCCCATGGTGGTCGCGAGAGAGCCGGCGTATGCGCTGTAGGCTTCGGCGGCAATGTTCATATCCATCGGGGCCGATGTGAAGGCGACGCTGTGCGAGGCATCGTGGTATCGCGCCATGTCCTTGTCGTCCTGTTGCAGGAACATGGTAAATGTTTGCTCAGTCATTCTGCGACTTGTGACTGTTGAGAGACGAGGCGCCTTCGGTGATTGCGGCTGGATTTCGGAGTCGCAGTCAGACTTGGGAAACCTTGACTTGCTGTGAGCCTCGAACGAGCGCTCGCGTGTTCGGTTTCGACCAAGACGGTAGCAAGAGAAGAGATGATGAGGTGAAGAGGCGCAAGTCTATCGCATTCCACAGTCTGGTGCTCGTCTGGACCGTCAAAGATATTCGATGGTGGTGGGGCGGCAACGGGTTGAATCCAAGTGAATTGGCGATGCTTTTTGGCTTGAACCGACAGACAACTCTAGTCCTGTAAAACTAGAATGCTGCACGAAACGACAAGAGCGAGTGTATGCGCAGTGATTGTGCCACAGAGTCTTGGGGAGGGGGGGAGAGATGTAGCAGTAGTAGTGAGAGGATGGCAGGTTGTAAGTCGAGTACGGCGTGTACACGCAACAAATGCAGGTTTACCTCAAAGTTGCAGCGTTGTATAATGAGGGTATCAAAGGGTGACAAGATTGGAAACCCAAAGCTTGAAGTTTGTAAAAAAGGCTGCGGGATGATGCGGGTTGGGGGCTTCGACGTAGATATAGACCCGAAGCTACCTATGCAGGACGGACCAAGAGCGGATCTGCTCTGCCTGGAAGGGGAGGGGGGGTAAGAAACGAGATGCTAGTTGGTGACTACAGACATTGTACTTTGGTCGACGGAGCACACGAGAGGGAGAGCGCTGCAAAGTAAAGAAACGGTTTAAAGCAACACCCTGTAGATAGGGCAGACAGCGCGGATGTGTGGGTTCTCTTGGTCCCTTTCCGCGTTCACTTGGGAGGGGGGTGCAAAGTCTTGGTGGACAGGACAGGATAGACGACGTACGTGGACCATGACACACCGGGAAGAGGGGGGGCAGTTGGCCCATGTCACGCTAATAATTAAGAGCAAATCAACCATGACTAGGGGGGAGGGGCGTGTACCGGCTGTCTAGGCTGGGAGTGGTGAGCGGTGGGTGTGCTCGAGATGGGTGGTGGCAACTGGCACAGAGTGTGATGTGTGGGTGGATGGGCGTATGAAAGAATAAACTAAGATACTGGTACAGATTTATTAGGCACGCCGGTCAAAAAAAGAAGGAGCGAGGCTTTTTGGTGGGTTACTTGCCGGCTTACGGACGACTTCTCCATGTTATGGGGCATGATGCAGCGAGATACAGTGCTCACGGCCACTCCGCCGGTGCCGTTTTCATTCTAGAATGCTTTTTTTCCTGTCTACATCTGCATGCATGCATGAATAAGACGCTCTACTATTCGGGCGAGTCCGAACCCATGTATGTACGTGTAATCGTAAAAAATGACGCCTCTCGTCAGGCATTGGGTTGGGCGAGGTGCAGGTCATGAGAGAGGGGCCGCGCGCGCGCGTGCGCGTTGGCAAGTTTAAAGAAGGAGGAGAAGAAAAAAAAAGGCTAAATAATAAAATAAAACAAAAAAACGCCCCCCCCCCAGTTTCTGCACCACAGTGGATGAAAAGGCAACCGATGCGAAGAAGAAGAATGCCTAGATTCAAACTGGTGACTGGTACTTGAACCATAATGGGCCTAGTAAGGGCAATCGAAAATCGATTGCAAGTTGAAGAGTGAGGCAGCCAGTGGGAACACGGAGGACAGAGGCCAAGAGAGGTGGTGTCAAGGCGAACAAGTCTCCAGCGGTGCTAGTACCTGTAGGGAGCTTTACAGCGCCGTTGCTCTGGGGTCTTGATGGGACGATGAGATTGGCTGGCAGGTCAAGGTCGAAGCCCCCCGACCCCCTGGTCACTTTTGCTCACTCGTCTATTTAGCACTGTGGACTTGCCCGCTGGTGCCAGCGATCCCATAATCCGTACGGTTGGTTACCTGGAGTCTTGAAGCCAGTTGAGTGGAGAGCCCGCCTGGGCCAACCTTTTAGCCTGACTGAGAGCCAGCAGCACGCACATTGGAGAAACTTTGACAGGGCGGGCTTTTTGTTAGCGACTTGGCGGACTTCCAACGGCCTCTTCACCTAAATAGCATGCGCCGATGGTACCCCGCCGTCGCGCCCCCCTCCCTGCCTGCTCTTGTTATTATTACAGTATGCCTTGTCAGTTATCAACGGTGGTGGTGGTGGTGCCGGCAGGCAACAGGGACGTTTTAAAAGGCATCCATCTTTTTTAACCTCATTTCTCGGGGGATCGAGATGGGACCGCCGTTGGCGATTGCTTTTCAGCAATTGTCCATTACGAGATTCTCCGAAGAAAAAGCAAAGAGAGCGATATTGTTGCCCTATATTCGTCGGACTTTGTGCCTCTTGTCATTGTGTCAATCAATGTCTCTCGACTGTCGGTAGTTGTCCTTTGACGTGGTCTCTCAATGCCCCCCCCCCCGCGCCTACACACTTCTGGGATGCGAGACCACCGACTCACACCTTGTCTTTGACCAACCAGCAAAAGTGTTTATTTTTCCTTCGACGCCGCCGCTTGCGCGCCTTTTTTTCCAGGTACCAAAGTGATAGAGGGGCGTGGCGGCGCCGGCCACCGCCCCGCCAGACCGGCCACCAGAAACCCCCCCCCTGGAGGGCGATCGAGCTCTTGCCTACCAGTACACAATTTTCATGTCAGTCCCAGTATTATGTGATCGTTTATTCTCACAAAAATCAGCAGTGCGAAATTGCACAAAGAACCCCGTATTTTGGAGAATGCTCGTCGCTGTCCCAGATATGGATCAGTTCCAACAGTTCGAGGTGCCATCTTTTGACTACGATGCTACGGCGCTCGTAATCCGGACCTCAAGTTATCCCGACGCGTGCTTGGTTCGAAGCAGGAAAACGCCAAAGAACGACCGCCATGCGGCCATCTTCCTTCAGTTCGCGCTGTAAACGAGACAAAAGCGGGCAAAAGACCCGAGACCCTTTTTGGAGGAGAGGGGGGGGGACGAGGTGGCCGGATTAGTGGCATCTCAGTTTCCGCTCTGCCCTGTAAACTAGAGCTGCTCTTTGTTCGAATGGAACTACAGTTCACTGTACCTGTCTGGAGAGAACCGAAAAAATTGTGTCTCTTGGTCTCCTCGCTCACTGACCGGGCCGGCCCCCATGGAAAATGTGCAGATGGCTGTGAGACATGCGTCTGCCATGCGAGCTGGAACCCCCTCTCACTCAGACTGTGACTCTTTTTTTGGGACAAATGTCTCTCTCGAATCGGGCTTCCCCTATGGGCTGTTGCTTGGCAATCCCACTTCACAAATGCATGGCCCCGGGGGGTGGGCGGCATACTGGTAGGCAAAATGTGCACAGGCTGTGAATTCGCATGTCGTCGGACGGGAGTGTTACAGGGAAAAAAGCACGGGCTGGAGATCGGAGGGGGGGGGAAAAGCCAGGACCAAGTCAAAAACGTCATTGTCTCTGTACCAAAACGCGGGCATTTTTCTTTTTTTTTTTTTAACGACTTATACTCCGTAGTTATTATTATCGGGACTTGTAAAAGCACCGGCGGGTGCGGCCCGTAATTATAAGAACATGATCAAGCATCGTGCACGACTTGTGTCCTTTGCCCTGTTGCAAGGGGGGTGAGCTTTTGTCGCCTTTTTTTTCAACTTCAAGGCTAAAATTAAAGGGGAAAAGAATTTGTATGCACAAGTTAAAAGGATATTCCACCATTGCTTTTTCTTCCCTTTGTTTAGAAAAAGAAAGCTCCCATGCAGCCCGGAGACATCCCGTTGGGAATGGGGACTTGCTTCACTGACAGGTTGACGCTAATAATAATGACGAGGGCCTACATACATTGAAGGTTTCTCCGCTCATCAGGACCCAAGTCCGTCCAGGCAAGCCACTGGAATTACCACATGCATTATGAGCATGGGGGGGTTTGCGACCCAGTGGCAGTGGCTTCCGTCTCCGCCATCTCGCCTCACTCTGCAGATTGCAGTAGGCAAGAAAGAATTGCCCCAGCCAAGCCCAGTCCAGGGGGGGAGGGCCGCCAGCGAGCAAGCAAGCCTTTTGGTATGCCGTAGTTGTGGCGTACTGCCCGCTGCAGCGAATCAAGTGACTCCAACAAGGATGTATGTAGCAACTGGTGTTGCTTTGTTTCACTGGGTCGTTGCCTGTCAGACCGAATTGCTGGAAGTTTTTCCGATTTACTGTCTCGAAGTCATGTCCTTGCTCCAATACGAGGCAACACATCCTTTTCGGTAGCTCGGTCATGTTCAGTGGGAAAAATAAAAATAAAAACACACCCCCAACGAGTACGAGAAAGCAGAGCAGGCTGCCGCCAGTGCTGGCTACTTGAAAGGAGCGTGGCAGGTTGTCGTAACCTCGCCCAATAGCAGCCAGCGCTCTGCCGCACCGGCTCCGACGGATGCGCCGTCCTAAAACCCGGCTCGCAGACCATCCCAATGAATACTGATCTTGTCTCAATACGTAGTATTACCAATCTGCAAAGATTGTTTCGCGAGAGCATTGCCGTTTATGGAAGCTCGTGTGCGCATCACAACAGACAGCAGCTCCAGAAGGCTATTGTTCCTTCTGTCTCTGATGAAAAATACCGTCTTAGGTGTTTAGGACAGCAAAATTGTCCTATTCTCAAATTTTTGGCTCTATGCCTTGTTAGAGGAGGCAATCATGCGCCTTATTCTCCTCAACACCGGATAAGGCTGTTCTGAATAACTCTTTTCCCATTTACTTTTTCGCCCGTGGCTGGCCAAACCAGTCTCGAAAGGGCGAATTCAAGGCTGAGGCTTGTTGAGGCGGGATACTTTGTAAATAAATAAGCACTTGGCCAGCGTCCGAGGAAAGTTTCGTGCCACGGCGCGCGCCAGTTGAACCGCTACACCTAGTGGGGATTCAAGTGTGACACACACCGCAATGCAGTGACATGACGTGTCTATTCTAATTCGTGGCACGCGCCTAATCTCGAAATCGAACTTTGTGTTGCAAGTGAAAAAAACAGCAACTCTGGGAAATTGGACCCCTCTTTGGCGAAAAGTCATCTGTATAATCCGTACATGGCGAAG